ATAATCGTACGGTGTTCCATCAGTCCAAGCCCAATTTCTAAAACTCTTTCTCCACCTTTCAAACTCAATTTATAACAGAACTTAGATCTTTTCCCCCCATTCTTACCCATTAATCGTTTGCCCACCAATCCACATTCGGTAGCGTTGCTTGAGTTGACTGCATAATTGACAACTTGCGTCAATCTGAGCCATGCCTAGAGTGTTTAAGTAGAAAATACCGAAATACTGAAAATACACTCGAAAATACAATTACAATAAACAAAAATTTATTAACCTGTAACAAAGTCGGCTTCGTCTTTTGTGTGAATCGACGCGAGATGTCCACCCCGAGAGACACAATCGCTCTCCGCGTCCAGCCACGATTTCATCTTGCCTTTCTAAAATGTGATTCTACTACGTTTACCCAAAATTGACGGCAAAAAGGGGGGGGCCCCATAAAAAAAATTTAAAATATTTAAAACCCCAAAAAAAAGAAAAAGTGTTTTTCGCCATAGAAAATCTTTAAATTTGGGGGAAAATTTTAAATTTTTTTTTTTAAATTTCAATTTTGGGAAATTTTTAATCTATTAAAAGAAGTTTTAAAGGTTTGGGGTAGGGGGTGGTTTTTTATTAGGTGGTTTCTTTGGGGGTGGTTTTTAGGGGGTTTTTATTATAATTGCAATTTCTATTGCATTTTTCTATTCTTTATTTAAAAAATCATTAATAAATTACTCACAAAATAGCAGGATTTTGTGCTCGCATAGTACGTCCACTCGGATGGGCAACTTGGTCGACTTGGTGCCACTAAAGAGTTTTTCTTTACATATTTTATAATCAAAAATTTGAAACACAACTTTTCTTAGTGCACTCGTGCACTCAATTCTTCAATTTGCTAATGTTTTAGTGTCCAATTTCAACCAACTTTGAATAGTTGAAAGAGTGCAAACGAAGGGATTCGTCGTATGACACGCTGTGGTACGCCATTTTCCGCTCAAAGCGCTCATCAACACACAAGAGTCGTTCCCGGGTTCACCTGAACGTGTTTGAATTTGCTTTAGATTTTTGTAATATTGCTAAAAAATCAATTTATCAAGTCAATTTACCTGAATCAAAGTTGAGATATTGTGCCGAACTCCCATCACTCCACGCCCATCCATTCCAATTCCTCTGTAAACCGATCAGAAACGATTGACCGCTAATGCCTAGAAAGATTTTTAAAGTATACTTTGTTTCTCTTTGGCACACTTTGATTATTTTACTATTTAATTTATATTTAACACTACACCTGCCACATAACTTCTGATCACTTCATTAACGAAAGCGCTCGTGATTGAGCTTAAATGACCGCCCGCCAACGAGCACCCTGACTCGGCGTAGATAAAAGGAGTCGCTGAAATGGGTTTGTTTTTTTTTTGGAGAAATTTACCGTATTGGAACCGTATTAGATCAAAAAAGAACCGTATTGGAACCGTATTAAATCAAAAAAAAGAACCGTATTGGAACCGTATTGGAACCGTATTGGTACCGCATTGGAATCGTATTGGAACCGTATTAGATCAAAAAAAGAACCTTTATTTGTTTATTGTTTATTGAATTTCTATTGTTTTTGAAATTATATCGATAAGTGAATGAACTGAATGCTCACTGATCTTCCCTGTTCACTATAAGCTGATAATCTTACTGTTCGAGACGAAGCAGACGTTTAGAAGTGAAAGCCAAATTTTGAGATGAATTTGCGAAAGAAATCGCCGCACTTCTAGTTTATTTTGGGAAAATTTAAGAACTCTGGATCAAGCGCTTTCTCAAAATCAGATTGATTCAGGAAAAATTAGCTTGAAAATTGAAACCATGAAGATTTCGCCGAATGGAATTGCCATTGACCAGAGTCTTCGTTTTGTACGAGTCTGGTATCAAAATGTAGCCCTTCAATTCGGCTACACGATCGTATAAAAAACGTTTAGAAAAACTGTTGTTTAGTACAAGAAAAATGGCCGCAAATTGAGAGCACCAGCACTACACACCCATACAAAAGACGGTACGTCGTTGCTTGTATTGCGATGTACAGTCGGCGCTCTCACTTTGCGGCCATTTTTCTTGTACTAAACAACAGTTTTTCTAAACGTTTTTTATACGATCGTGTAGCCGAATTGAAGGGCTACATTTTGATACCAGACTCGTACAAAACGAAGACTCTGGTCAATGGCAATTCCATTCGGCGCAATCTTCATTGCCCTCCCAAAAATTAGCCTCTTTTTAAAATCTATGACAAAAATATAAAAAAGATAAATATTTTTATAAATTGCGTTTGTAATTAAAAAGGAAATACAACTCAAAATCGCATTTCAATGCCACATTAGGCCACATTCAATGTCAAGAGTAAAAGCTCAAATGGAAAGCTCTGACGACAGCGCGTTTCGCTTTAGACAATTCTAGACGAAGCCTAAGCCTAAGCTTAACTCATAGTTTATACGAAATCAATCAATAATTGCTCTGACGCTTTTGGCGAGCAATTTTGCCAACTCACCAGTTTTGGCTCCTCGTAAACACCCTCCATTCCCATTATCGACACTCCCATCCGGGCAACCTGCTTGCGCCAAAACAAATAAACAGACGAAAACGATGTGTAACATCGATAATTTGTTGGATTCACCAAAAAATTACTCGAATTTAAAACCAGCTTGAGCTAAACCTCCTTTCAATTTTTCTTATCTCTCCAATTTCTTTTTTTTTTGGTGATTTTTTTTCCCCGAAGACCCCTGCTGATTGGGATCATTTAAAGGCAAAATCTTATTGCATCCGGTGAAAAATATTTTTGTTTATTTGTCAGCTTTTGGCTTTACAACTTTGTACAATAACAAAAATGAGAAAAGTTTGGAAAAGTTTTCTTTGGATTAACAAAGCGAACAACTCGTGCCACAGTAGAGTTGACGAGTGCTCAGTGAGTAGAAAGACGACGAACAGAAACCATTTGCGATCCAAGCGGTGCAGCTGAATAGTTTCATAAATGCTAATTTGAAAAGAATAGTTTGTGTAAGATTATCGTAGCTTTGACGCGTTTTAGAAAACTTTTGGCCACGCTTTCAGCTCTTTATCAATATCAGTCTTTGACTCTTTCACCTAGCTGATGAAGCATTGTCTCCGCACGTCGAATTTCCCGTCGTCGCATTGCAGAGATTGCCTAGGAAACTTTGGGTAACTCTTTGAGAAAAAAAAAAAAACTCACATGTAACACCACAATATTTTTGTCTTTGCGCCAATGTGTAATTGGTGTTATTGCAGAAGAAATTCACTTGCCAATACGAGCAACTCGACGACAAATCCGAGCATCCAAACACCATAGCAACACCTGAACTTTGTGATCAATTTTTGCCAGCTCAATTTCCAATCAAATCTCATTTACGTTTTTACGTTTATTTTGAAAGAGGATTTTTTAAAATGTAGATTTGTAATGATAAGTTTGATATTGCAATAAAAATATCTGGATTAGAATATGAAAAATTCCAGTGAAGTTGATGTTTTTAAAATTTAATTAAATCTAAAGGGAAACATTGCTAAATAAGTGTTTTTTTGAGGATATGAGTTGATGTTTTTAAATTTAATTAAATCTAAAGAGAAACTCTGTTAAATAAGTGTTTTTTTTCCAGTGAAGTTTATGCTTTTAAATTTAATTAGATCTAAAGGGAAACACTACTAAATAAGTGTTTTTTTTTCTAGTGAAGTTTATGCTTTTAAATTTAATTAAATCTAAAGGGAAACCCTGTTAAATAAGTGTTTTTTTGAGGATATGAGTTGATGTTTTTAAATTTAATTAAATCTAAAGAGAAACACTGCTAAATAAGTGTTTTTTTTTCCAGTGAAGTTGATGTTTTTAAATTTAATTAAATCTAAAGAGAAACTCTGTTAAATAAGTGTTTTTTCTCCAGGAGTTTTTTAAAAATTAGATCTAAAGAAAAACAAAAAAAAAAAAAAAGAAAAAAAAAAAAAAAAACAAACCCAAAAAAAAAAAAAAAAAACTTTCAAATATCTCACCAGCGAAAGCGACGATGAAAACGGGAAGAATTAAACGAGCCATTTCTTCAAGAGAAAACTCTGGTTTAAGCAAATTTCAGGAAATTTCGGGAAATTTCAGGAAATCTCGAAGGGAATCTCAAAGGAAATCTGCTGAATGAATGCTTTTTCTTTTAAATTTCAACCACTTTTATACCCAATGCTTGTCATTTACCAAAAAAAAAAAACTGGCTAGTTTGGTAAATTTTGGCATTGTTTACACAGCTTTCAATGTCTTCAAAGTTGAGCAAATTAGCAAATCTCGTTTTTTGCTTTTACTTTTGACAAAATCACAAGCGAAAACAAGTCATAGCTTGTAAAGAAAGTCGAAAATTTTGTAATTTTTGTAAAATCTTTGAATTTTACAAGTATTTCATTGAGATTTGAGTGGTTTTTTCATAAAATTTCATGAATTTCCTAAAATTCTTGTTGTTGAACTTTGATTTGATGTTTTCTCAGCTGTTTTTCCTCTCTTTTTTCCTCTCTTTTTGCCATTCTTTTTCGTTTAAAATTCTCATGTTTGATTGGTTTTTGTGAACTGAAAAAGAAATTTGAAACAATGAGAACATACATTGTTTGCTTAAGTTCTAAAAATAAATTCTATGACTTGTTTTACTTGTAGAATTTTTTGGGAAAGTTTCTTTTCTTTTCAAGTTTATTTTAAGCAATCTTTGTCTTGTTCTAAGCAATCTTTACCTTGTCCTAAGCAATCTTTACCTTGTCCTAAGCAATCTTTGTCTTGTTCTAAGCAATCTTTTCCTTGTCCTAAGCAATCTTTTCCTTGTTCAAGCAACTTCCTGTTCAGCAACCACCTTGTTTAAATCTTTACCTTGTTCTAAGCAATCTTTGTCTTGTTCTAAGAAATCTTTACCTTGTCCTAAGCAATCTTTTCCTTGTCCTAAGCAATCTTTTCCTTGTTCTATGCAATCTTTACCTAAATTTATTAAATATCTTTATTCTTTTCATGATTCTTAGATAAACGGCGGTGGTGGTAATGGCCCAGACTGATTCGTTTGCCTAAAAGAAAAATTGAAATTAAAAAATTAGCGTTTTCTCCATAAGTGACTATGATTTTAAAGAATTTTTGAGCAAATTAGGGAAATTTTGATTTAATTTGAATAAGCACACTTTAAAAAGCTTATTATGGCTTAAAAATCTATTAATAAGTTTAATTTCTTTTAATAGAAAAGCCTTTATAAACCTTTATAGGATTAATGAAAAGTTTTACTCGAATCTCTCGACTTACTCGCATAAAAGTTGCCATATAAATTCGACAAGTGTCGGGATGAAATTGTCACGATCCGGTTGCACAATTTCAACCATTCTTGAGTCAATCCACAAAGGATACGTCTATTATTTTCGATTTTCAATAATTTTCAACAATTTTCAACAATTTTCAACGATTTTCAATGATCTCTATCTCTATTTTTAGTTCAAATTTTTTCTATGCACCGCTTGAGCCTTGGTGAACTTGATGGGCAAGAGGAAGTGCTGCCAGTTAGGTAATTGATCCAGAGAAACCGGGGATGAGGCTTCGTAACTGAAAATTTAACGCTAAAACTTGTCGAAATAAGTTTCAAATCTTTGCATTGATTAGATCTAAACTAGACAGTAATCTAGAATAAGAGTCTAGAAGAGTAAACTAGAATAGTCGAATCGAAATCGATCTAACTCGGCTCGAGACTAAAAACTTCGATCTAATGAACCACATAAAAAAGTACCTCAAATTTTCTGCGCCCTGCACGGCCACTGATTACATTTGGCTGGGGCAGCTACGCAGAAATTTTGACGTTTTAGAAATTAAAATGCGTTGTATCGAAGTTCGTTATGTCGAAGTTAGGGCGTATTTAATCCATTAGCACCCTGCCTACAGTAGCTGAGTGGTTAGCGCGCTAGCACGGAGTTCAAGTGTTCGAGGGTTCGAATCCGCCTCCGGTCAAACATTTTGCTTTTTTTGCCAAAGGCTCAAATATAATAGAAATAAACTTTTCAAGCAAAAAGAGCACTCCCAACTTTACGCTAGACTCTTTTCTTTAGAATTAGTCATTCATTTACCGATCGCTATTCGGAATCCAGATCATTAACTGTTTCACGCCGTATTTTGAGTCCAATCGTCGACAATTACAATTTAGCCCTTCTGTGTAGTTTTGCGCAACTTGAATTGGGCTAAAGAATGTTTAAATTAATTTTGAACCTAAGCTACTTGCATAGAAATATCTGGGTATGGATTTTTGGTGATCCCTCCGGTCATAATCGACGAGTAGATTGTTGAGAAGCGATCACTGCAAAAATCTGGTTGTTGATTGTTGAACCATTTGTCAGAGTAGTAGACAATGCCTAAATCAGAGTAGTAGACAATGACTAAATCAGAGTACTAGACAATGCCTAAACCAATGCCAATGAAATTTCGTTTTTTTTAAAGGAAAACGAACCCGATACTCGGGTGATTTGTTGACTCAAAACTCCGAAATCACAAGACGAGTTGGAGAACCATTGCGTTTGAATGGCCGAGTCGAAGGCTCGCAAAACTTCTTCTACCTGGAATCGATTTGCATAAAGGCAATTAGCAATTAGCATTTGATTGAATCGATTTGCATAAAGGCAATTTACAATTTGCTACTTATCATTACTGATAGATTCAAGCAATTCCTATTAAAAAGTTAACGAACAAGTCATAGCCGCTTTTTCGTTTTTTCCCCGAAAACAAAAATACTACGGGAATGGAGGTAAAGTAATGGAGTAAACTAATCACAAAAATAATTACCTACGATTATTTCTTAAAGCTTTAAACTTCTTAAACTTGTAACTCTTGTAACCCCACCAAGAACTGATCATCCGCATTTGAGGCCGACTCAACCATGAAAAAGATATCAGCTTTTGCGGTATCCGTACAATACATTGGACTTTCTAAATCGATTTTTCGATAAATCGATAAAAATCTATAATAATCTACAGAAATCGATAAAACTTTAAATACTCAGTGCTGGCAATTCGCAGAAATATGGCTGAACAGCTGTACAACTTTCTGTGTACCACAGGGAATCGGTGGTGTTTAAATAAACACAATCCAGGTCAAGATTTGGAGAGGATGGTTGGCCTAAAGGTTTAAGAGTTGAACAATATGCTTTGCTTTACCTGGTGCCCAGTTGAAATAGCTGATCGGTGCTGAGTTGTATTTGTCATCCAAGAAAAACCATGTTTGGTTGAGGCGATAGATGCCGATGTTGAAACTCTCGTAGGAAGTGGCTAAAAGGTTTTCCCACCAGTTCGAGATGCGTAAAATTTCAATCTACATGCAATTTTTTTCCTTCTTTCTTTCTTTCTTTCTTTCTTTCTTTCTTTCTTTCTTTCTTTCTTTCTTTCTTTCTTTCTCTCTTCTTCCCCCCATTCCCCCTCAAGGGACCGGATAGCTCAGTGGTTAGTGCAATTGCCTGGAAAAGATCGAGGGTTCAATCCCCTCTACTGCTTTTTTTAGATCCCACCAGCTTGTGCAGCTTTCACTGCAAACTGATTGTCGAAAGAGTTCTCGAATCTAGCCGATCGTCCATTAGCATTCTGGCACCGAAAATCGCCGTCTTGTGCGGTGAGAACTAAGAATATTTTTGTAAACAACATGGGAAACTAAGAAAAGACAAGACAAGCTCGATTCATAGCATTCATAGCATTTCTAGGCCCACTAAACTCACATTGATTCAAGACGATCGTCAGACATTGATTCTCTTTCAGTGAGGGTTGAGTTCCGGATGGGCAAACAGCAAAAATTGTTACAAAAAGGGAAAACAACCATAAAATCATCACTAAAAGAAAATTCTTTTAAGAATCTCTTGCAAACAAGGAGAATTTTTCAGCTTTTTATTGGTTTGAAATCATTGATAAGGCTCGGAATCGAGTTCAGAGTTGAGCTGGGGAGAATCTGAGCTAAGTTTTTGCTCGTTTACAGAAATTTTGATGTTTTTAGAAGACTTAGAACAAAAAAATGACTTTGAGCGGGTTTAGAAAATGTTTTGGAGTACTTTGTGCTCAAAAGGAATGAGAACTATCTGGAGTACTTACTTTAAAGGGGGGGAGAAGGTATTAATCGCGGCCGGGTGACCATGACTGATGTTCTTTATGCGCGCCCACAATCGCTCTCCATCTGGCAAACGGCGCTAGCATAAGGGACTTCCCTTTTCGTTCCGTTAAAGAGAAGGAGAGGTCAGCGATTTACGGTTGTTATACTTAAACAGCCAAACTGATAAAACAATGCGATCTGGCCATCAAGTTTTGAATGTCCTTGAGTTGATCTTGTTTTTCTCCAAGCCTTGCAGCGTCTCCAAAAATTTGTGAACACATCAAATCGCTCTAGCCGGGTGATTTTTATTCTTTTTATAATAAAATCAGCGATATTAAAATAAAAAAAACAGGTGGTTGCCGTAAATAAAAAATTTTTTATGGTCGCCCGGCCGCGATTAATACATTCTACATTCTACCTTCTCCCTTCTACCTTCTCCCTTCTCCCTTCTACCTTCTACCTTCTCCCTTCTCCCTTCTCCCTTCTCCCTTCTCCCTTCTCCCTTCTACCTTCTCCCTTCTACCTTCTCCCTTCTACCTTCTCCCCCCTCCCCTCCCCTCACTTTAAATAAATCTAATATCAAGCACATATAATAAATGGAAAATCTGACAATTTTGAGTAGATAAGAAAGCCTTTTAAACTTTTAAAATTCATTTTTCATTGCAAAATAATGATTTATTCAAGTTATTTACATTTTTCAATTCCTCTAGACCAATGGTGGAAGCGGAGTGTCACCGACAGCGCCAGTTAAACTAAAAAACGTTATTAAATGCAAGATAAATGCAAATTGATCTTTGTTATTTAAAAAAACGAGTTGAAATTCTTCAATTGATTCAAGCTCACTTGCAAAGTAAACGCCATAAACGAAGAATTTGAGTGGGAATGAATTCAGGCCATGGACCCGGCAACGAGACATCGTTCATCAATGGATCTTTCCACAATGGGAATTTCTAAACACAACAGAAATGTTCCTGATATATAAATGCTTCTTCAAGATAAGCAGTTTTTTTCTATGACTTACAGCAGTTGCCTTGTTGACACGAATGTCGAGCAGATAGTGCTCCCATGAGGACAACTCGGAGAGGGAAATTGGGCGAGTCGTGTTGTATCTAGATTTGGGCAATTTGAATCTTAGCATAAGAAGCAAGAATAAAAATCTTAAAGAATAGCTAGTTAAGTAGGCAGGCGGGTCGAGTTGATCACTATTTTACGGTTTCCAAGTTTTCACAGAAGCTCAACACTTGAACCACCGGCAAGATCTCATCGTCAGCTACATTTTCCGCCCCCACATCGATAGGTTTTGATAAGCGCTTTTCGAGATTTCGAGGAATTTAGGCGACGCTTTGGGTACACTACTATTAGAGAGAAGACGGTATATTATTCCAGGTTAGGCTAGTAGATCAGACTGATCTATTTCCCTAATATTTCCCGGTGAGCCGAGTTGATGACGATTTTATATTTTCCAAGTTTTCACAGAAGCTCAACACTTGAATCACCGGCAAGATCTCATCGTCAGCTACATTTTCCGACCCCACATCGATAGGTTCTGATTTCGAGCAATTTAGGTATTAGGGTATTAGAGAAAATACGGTAAGTGATTTGGTAATAGAAAATTCAAAATCAAATTAAATTTTTACTTACTCATCTCTCATCGGAATCCAGATCATGATCTGTTTAGTCTTGTAAGCAGAATTTGTTCTTCGACAGGCGCAAGGTTGACGTTCCGTATACACTTTGGCGACATCAATGGCCCTGAAAAAGAACCCAACTATCTTCATTTTTCAGGTTTCTTTCAAGATAAGATTGCTTTAATAGACATATCGTTTCCGACATGAGAGCGCCATGAAAAGAGCGCCATGAAAAGAGCGCCATGAAAAGAGCGCCATGAAAAGAGCGCCATGAAAAGAGCGCCATGAAAAGAGCGCCATGAAAAGAGCGCCATGAAAAGAGCGCCATGAAAAGAGCGCCATGAAAAGAGCGCCATGAAAAGAGCGCCATGAAAAGAGCGCCATGAAAAGAGCGCCATGAAAAGAGCGCCATGAAAAGAGCGCCATGAAAAGAGCGCCATGAAAAGAGCGCCATGAAATCTCTGTGTGAGTTGTTTGTGCTTTGTGAACTGATTGCGCTAGAAGTTATGAAGTCATGAACACATCTGTTTTTAGTCCAATCGACATCTCATACACATCAAAACTCACACAGACATATCGGTGATGATCGGTTGTTTCTTGATATTATTGTGCATCGCATCAACCATATCGATAAAGTTGTCAGCACAGAAATTCGGCGTCCCTATCCGCAGATATGTGTTATCATAGTAAACGACTCCTGAAATTTTAGATAAATCATTTTCTGAATAGTTTTACATTTATTACATGTTTTAAACTTGAACAATGTCTACCTGAAAGTCGAATTTGTTGCCTCTTCAAATCGGCATCCCCGCAGCTCGATGGACTGTACCATTGACTAGGCAAAACGGAGTTGAAACCGAAAAGCACGTCGTGCATCTAAAATTGCTTTATTTCTCATTTTGCTCAACAAACTAGAGCCAGTTTTGTTACAAAAACTAAAAAAAAAGAGTCATTTTACTCACAAAAGAATATCAGCTGCATCTGGTGGCCAAATGACATATACCACGGTTTATTTGACGCAGAATTCAACGCCGATTCCGAATCTGTTTTTCATTTCTGCTATCGAGCACTCTGTCAAAAGTTAAAGGTTGTAAAGTTTTGTATGGGATTTCAAAAATCAACTCCCTCCCCCCGAGTTTATAAGCAGATTTCCCTTCCCTCCCAGGAAGCAGTCGTGGCCAAGTGGCAGTGGGTTTGAACACAAGCCAAAGAATAGTTTCCAGGGCTCTGGTTCGAGTCCGCCCTTCGGCTTTTTCCCTTTTTCCTCGCAAATTTAATCGTTCTCCGTTTCAAATTCAAGTTTATTTTAAACTACTTCTGATAAAATCTTTACTATTATAATAGCTATCATTAAAATTCAAAAAACAAGACTTTGACATTTGTTTTTTCATTGAAATCGCATAGAAAACTTTGCAGCCTTATAACTTTTGACAGAGTGCTCGATAGCAGAAATGGAAAGCAGATTCGGAATCAGCGTTAAATTCTGCGTCAAATAGCCCGTCATTTGACCATCACATCCAGTTGACATTCCGTTGTCAAAGCCCAACATTCCCCTCACCATTCTCGTCTCATTGTGATCTCCCGAGTTATCGATCATGAAGAAGACATCGGCGTTGATTCCATCCGTGCAGAATGGAGGAGTGTCGTCTTCAAATTTTAAAAGGATAATATTTAAGTTAACCTTTTAACAACTTTATAATCAACCATGAAAACTTACGAATAGCTGGGATGTCGCAAAGATACGGTAGTTCAATGCTGCACTCCATCGAGTACCACATCTGATCGACGACATTCAACACAGCACACGAGCGACTCGTCGGATTCGATGGTTCACCTAAATCCAATTTTTGCAACGTTTTTTTGAATGCTTATAACTTGAAACAAAGACAATAGATTCATCTATTCGTAATTGATTTTAAAAGAAAACATTTTAGGGTTTCAAATGAGATTAAATAGAGCTAGATTTGATAGATTAAAGGTAAAATCAAGTGACACAAAAAAGATTTCGATTTCCTCGAGACTAATCAATCCAATCTAGCTCTATTTAGTCTCATTTGAAACCCTAAAATGTTTTCTTTTAAAATCAATTACAAATAGATGAATCTATTGTCTTTGTTTCAAGTTATAAGCATTTGAGAGACTTGACTAACCATTCGATTTTTGAATGCTTAGATTTACAAAAAAGACAATAGATTCACCAATTTTTAATTGATTTTAATATTTTCAAACATTTCAAGCTTTCAAATGAGATTAAATAGAACTAGATTTGATAGATTAAAGGTAAAATCAAGTGACACAAAAAAGATTTCGATTCTCTCGATTTCTCGAGACTGATCAATCCAATCTACAGTGCCGGACAAAAGTTTAAGAACATAACCTCAAGTTATGGAAATAGCTCAATATTTTTTAGAAGGTGAAGAATTTCATTTAGGTCCTAAAAGCATTTTTGTTTGCCGCAATTTCGCGAATTAACCACATTTTATAACAGGTCATAAATCTAAATATGATAGATTAAAGGGTAAAATCAAGTGACACAAAAAAGATTTCGATTTTCTCGAGACTAATCAATCCAATCTAGCTCTCAATCAATATCTAGTCTCATTTGAAACCCTAAAATGTTTTCTTTTAAAATCTATTGTCTCTATAAGTTATAAGCATTTGAGAGACTTGACTAACCATTCAAAAAGTCCCCCTTAAACCTAAACTATTCAAGAATTTCATCGAAATCCACCTGGTGCCCATTTTGTGAAAGTGACAGGCAAATCACTGAGCTCATCATCCGCATATTTCCACGATCCATTCGAATAAGTGAGTCCAAAGTAGAAGAAATTTTGTTGATTTGAAGCTAAAGCAGAAAAATCCTTGATATTTTCATTTCCCCCCAAACCAGCAGCTGCTTTGTAGAGTGCCAAATTGTTGTCATAGGCGTTTCCCAAACGAGCTAAACGACCTGTGCCCGAGTTCCAGCATTTTCGATAGGCTCGCTCGTAGTTATCATCTAGAAAACAGGGGATTGTGAAAGCGTAACGAATTCTACATCCTGTTAAACTCTTTTTCTTACTACTTTTTCTTAAACAGCATTTTAAACCTAGAGAACAATTTGATTCGATTTTTTTGATTTTTGATTTTTTTTGTCTAGCGATTTCTTAGAATTCTTTAGTCCATTCAACTTCTATTTTATTTGGTTGTTCGGATATAAACAAGCGTTGTAAACCGATTCCCTGTGGTACACGGAAAGTTGTACAGCTTGTTCAGCCATATTTCTGCGAATTGCCAGCACTGAGTATTTAAAGTTTTATCGATTTCTGTCAAATATTATAATATTAGGTTGTTCGGATATAAACAAGCGTTGCTAAACTTTTTGTTGTGAGAGAAGCTTTTAAAAAATTTCTTTCTGTATTTAAAAAAAATACGTTATTTTGTGCGTATTTGGAATCTTTTTAAACGGATAAGTTATTATTTTTAAGATCTTTTTCTTTCTTTAGATCTTTAAATTCAGTCGCTTTTCATATTCAAGAAACGTATCGATGCTTTAGATCTAGTGGCTCTTTGCCGTAAGTAATTGGCTTATTGATTTCAGTATGTATTGTATGATTAAGTATCACTAGGGGGGCTGAACCCCACACCCTCAGTTTGGAAGTGATAACTTAACCAATACACCATGAGGGCCCCAATACACCATGGGGCCCTCATGGTGTATTGGGGCCCTCATGGTGTATTGGTTAAGTTATCACTTCCAAACTGAGGGTGTGGGGTTCAGCCCCCCTAGGGTTCTCTTCCCTAGCCCGTGCGCCCAGACTAGAGGTCTCTTCTCTAGAGCTGACTAGAGATCCCTTCTCTAGCGGAGTTCACTCTTCCACTGGGTTGGCCCATTCATGGCCTGAGGTTATTAAAGCAAGAAGCCTATCTTCTATCTATCTTCTTTTCTCCCCGCCTCCACATCGCCGAGTAAAATATCTCATCTTTCTCTATGTATTTATGTGTAGATTTGTGTATTGTCTGACTGATTACGCTTTATTTCATGTCCTGAATAAAGTATGAATATATATATATATATTAAGTATCACTGTGCATTTCTCTATGATTTCTTTCACTTTATCGTTTGAATAAAGTATTATTATTATTATTATTATTATTATTATTATTATTATTATTTAGATGACCGACTTCGAACATCAAGTTCGCGTCTGTCTACTTTACGATTTTAAACTGAGCAAAACAGCCGCGGAATTCCATCGAGATTTGGTAAAAGCATTTGGGAATGATGTATTGTCGATGTCGATGTAAAGCCGATGCTGAGCCTAGTTCTGACGCTTTCGGAATGGTGATGAAAGTCTTGAGAACCATGAACACTCTCGTCGACCTCAAGCGGTAGACAACGATATTTTGAGGGCTACAATCGAATCGGATCCATGTCAAACGACGCGTGAACTTGCTCAACACTTTCTATGTTCAAATTCTACTATTGATGAGCATCTCCACGCCATTGGAAAGACGATCAGATGCGGGAAATGACTTCCTCACGAGTTAAGCAGTGCAAAAAAGGCTTCACGGGTCGCTATTGCCGGAATCCTCATCCGCCACGCTAAATATCATGGTTTTTTGGTTCTCTCGTTACTGGAGATGAGAAGTGGATTCATTTCGATAATACTATTCGAAAACGGAAATGACTAGGACCAGGAGAACGATCAAATCCGACCCTGAAATCGGACATTCATGGAAAAAGGTGCAAACGCAGTCCTCACGAGTTAAGCAGTGCAAACGCTCGTTTATATCCGAACAACCTAATAAATTATTATAGATTTTTGTAAAAATCGATTTAGAAAGTCCAATGTATTGCACGGATACCGCAAAAGCTTTTTTGATGTCTGATGTCGTTTTCATGGTTGAGTCGGCCTCAAATGCGGATGATCAGTTCTTGGTGGGGTTACAAGAGTTTAAGAAGTTTAAAGCTTTAAGAAATAATCGTAGGTAATTATTTTTGTGATTAGTTTACTCCATTACTTTACCTCCATTCCCGTAGTATTTTTGTTTTCGGGGAAAAAAACGAAAAAGCGGCTATCACTTGTTCGTTAACTTTTAAATGGGAATCGCTTGAATCTATCAGTAATGATAAGTAGCAAATTGCTAATTGCCTTTATGCAAATCGATTCCAGGTAGAAGAAGTTTTGCGAGCCTTCGACTCGGCCATTCAAACGCAATGGTTCTCCAACTCGTCTTGTGATTTCGGAGTTTTGAGTCAACAAATCACCCGAGTATCGGGTTCGTTTTCCTTTAAAAAAAAACGAAATTTCATTGGCAGTGGTTTAGGCATTGTCTAGTACTCTGATTTAGTCATTGTCTACTACTCTGATTTAGGCATTGTCTACTACTCTGATTTAGGCATTGTCTACTACTCTGATTTAGGCTTTGTCTACTACTCTGATTTAGTAAATTGTAAATTAAAATGTAAATTGCCTTTATGCAAATCGATTCAATCAAATGCAAATTGCTAATTGCCTAAGTTTAAAGCTTATACTAAAATCATACTAATTACTGATAGTTTAAAACGCTCGTTTATATCCGAACAACCTAATATATCATTTAAAACCTAAAGTTTTATCTTTAAAATTCTAGTTAAAACATTAATAATTATCTCTATATAAAAACAAACTTTTATTCGTGACCACCGCAAGGCAATACGGATTCGGATCCTCGGCATCGGTGGCTGTAATCGGATCACTTCCCACCGGACAACCCGCCCACGAATATCCCAATAATAGAAAGAAAAATGAAAGCAAAACTTTCATTCTTGTAATTCTTTTGCTGAGAAATGAGAAAACTAGAGATTCTGAGGGGAGAAATGGAGAAATTTTACTTCTATCAAACGCAAAAACGTTCTCTGGAAAAAGCGATAACACATCATTTTCTGGAAATTTTTTCCCATTTTTCTGCATTCACTCCCATGTAGTCTATGAGTTGAAAAAAAGCATAAAATTTGCAAAACTTTTAGCACTACTTTTGCCTTTATATAGTTCTAAATTTATTCTAATAGATCGAGCACAATAAGAGCAAACCAAAGCTTGCTTACCAAGCTTACCAAGCTTACCAAGCTTACCAAGCTTACCAAGCTTACCAAGCTTACCAAGCTTACCAAGCTTACCAAGCTTACCAAGCTTACCAAGCTTACCAAGCTTACCAAGCTTACCAAGCTTACCAAGCTTACCAAGCTTACCAAGCTTACCAAGCTTACCAAGCTTACCAAGCAAGCTTTGACTTGATCTTATTGTGCTCGATCTATTAGAATAAATTTAGAACCATGGTTAGCTTACCAAGCTTACCAAGCTGTGTGTCACAGAGAGTTTCTGGTTCAGTCTAGCTGAATCCAGCTGACTCACTGATCTTTCTTTTGTTTAAAAAATGCCAAATTTTCCTTAATCTTCATCCTTAATCAATTTATTCAAAAAAAAAAACGAATCTTAAATAAAAGGTGCCGGTGGGGTTTCGCCAGTAGAGCCGGTTAGACTGAAAAGATTGATATGTGTAAATAGTAGAAATTTTTGAATTTTAACATACCGTAAATACTGTAATTAGTACCCCATCGCCATAATGACGGTGCGGAGTGTTGCGTAGTCTAGCTTTGAACGAGTTTTTCTCGACACTGGTTTATGCTACAATGCTCGCTTAGGTATCAAAAAATAGCTGAAATTCAGGGCCATTTTTTGATACCAAAAACACATTTTTTAAAAGTACGGGCGCTTTGAAAAAAAATGAAATACTAAAAAACTTTTGCGACTACGCGACTGTACGAGGGGGGTGGGGTACTATTACAGTATTTACAGTTATTTTCTTTTCACATTATATTACACCAAATTCCCTCACAAATTTCAATCATAAATTCCTATTTTTCTATTTTATACCAACTTGCATAAGAAACGCCACAATGTTAAAACTTGAGTGGGAATGAATTCGGGATGATCGCTTGGCATTTGAATCTCTTGCATCAATGAATCAATCCAAAGTGGAAACGTCTAAATGTTAGAATTGAAACTATTAGTGCACTAGAAAGAGTGTGTTTCCCCATTTTTTGCATGAAAATCACCTTACCGCCGTTTTCTTTGATACTCGAATTGGCCACAAGTAATGTTCCCAAGTAGCAAGCTCATTTCCCAATGAGATATTGCGTGATGTTTGATAGCTGAATATACTTATAGCTTCAGTTATATATGTCGCAGCCGCTCGTGATTTTCAGCCGCTAGTGATTGAATCACCATCGGCTAGCCGCTAGTGATTGAATCACCATCGGCTAGCCGCTAGTGATTGAAACCATGGCCTAGCCGCTAGTGATTGAAACCATGGCCTAGCCGCTAGTGATTCAACCACTAGCGGCTCTGGTACACTTAATTCTTCGTTTTCTCACAGGAAACGGCTTGATTGAATCACTAGCGGCTAGCCGATGGTGATTCAAATCACTAGCGGCTGAAAATCACGAGCGGCTGCGACATATAGCTTCAGTTTATCATCATCAACTGGTCAATCTACGCTTACGCATCTCTCATCGGAATCCAAATCATGATTTGTCGAGTCCCGTACTTTGCAGCGTTTCGCCGACAACCGCAATCACTCATGAACATTTCAACAATGTTCATTGGACTAAAAAAGATGTGTTCATGAAAACGTAGCCCTATTTAACTCACACAGAGATAGCGCAATCAGTTCACAAAGCACAAACAACTCACACAGAGATGTCCAAGACGAAATCGCTTTGTTGTCCCGTTGTATACATACTATCAACAATCTCAGGGAAACGATCCACACAGAAATTCGGGCCAGAATTAGCCGAAACCCATGTACTATCATAGTAAACAATTCCTAGAAACATATTCTTACATCCATGTGCAAAAGTCTTTTAACACTCAATTTTCTAAAAAATCCATCGATTTCATCGATTTTCTTTGATAAAGTTCCGCTCTTTTAGGCTATTAATAGTTTTAGTTATTATTAAAATATTAACACAAATATATGCACAATTTATTTACACAAACGTTATCGCTATACAACACTTATTCATCGAGAAAAAAGGGAGTGGGACAAATGCGACCTTTTTCTTGCGCACCCGGACATTTGCGCACCTTTTTTTCCGCACCTTGCCCATTAGCGCACCTTTTTTCGCGTTTTAAAAAAGCTCTAAAAGCTAATATTAACCAATTTCTATTCCAAAAGTTGTTTTTCTAGGTAATTTGAGCTTTTGTGTACTGGCGAATTATCTTGATAAAGAAAACAGCCTGGATTCATCGAAACAGTCGCAAATGGAAGTAGACATCTGTCCAATATCTCAATATATTGGCGGGAATCCATTGTTGACTTTACGAGGACAAGCGGACCTGTTGAACTTTTACACATCGCATCTAAACAAATATGCCAAAATTTCGATTCTACGCCCTAAAATTACCTAAAAAAACAACTTTTGGAATAGACATTGGTTAATATTAGCTTTTTAGAGCTTTTTAAAACACGAAAAAAGGTGCGCTAATGGGCAAGGTGCGGAAAAAAAGGTGCGTAAATGTCCGGGTGCGCAGAAAAAGGTCGCATTTGTCCCACTCCCGTCAAAATATCAAAAATCGTGGTGCAAAAGTCTTTTAACACTTGCGAAGATTTATTTTCGAATTCTTTTTTATTATTTTGATTATTTTGGTTCGCTTCGTATTTACTGGTACTAATTTCTCTTTTTAGATGCCAGGAACGTATTTGTCAACTCTGGATAAAGAAATGATCGTCGAGGCAAGGAAGCAACGAATGCCACGACAAGACATTGCTCGCCTCTTAAGATGTACGCCCACAACAGTTTCTCTTGTTAAGGCAAAAATGAATGCGTCTGCAAATGTGCACAGATGTAAGAAAAAGGGACGACCGAGGATTACAACAAAGAGTGAAGACCGATTCCTTACGAAAGCTTTCAAGAAGGATCCGAGTTTGACGTTCAATGATGGAGCCATTCTTTTCAAGCAAACTTCAAACAAGAATATTTCCCGCTAGATCTTACATCTACGCTTGCTTCAAGCAGCATTGTATACTAGAAAATCTACTCTCAAGCCTATCATGACAGTCAAACACAGGAGGCAACCTCTTCAAATTGCTCGAACGTATTCAAGTTGGACAGTCGATGGTTGAGCCCCGTGTGATTTTCGTTGATGAAACAACGAATTCGATACTTTTTTCCTTCAAATCGAAAACATCTGATCCGGCGTCCAATTGGAAAGCGATATCAACTCAAGTACTTGCAACCTACGGTGAAAACAGGCGAAGGATCGATCATGTGTTTCGGTAAGGATAATCTTTTTATGCAGCCCAACGTGATTTCTTTAGGTGCGATGTGTAAAAGTTCAACAGGTCCGCTTGTCCTCGTAAAGTCAACAATGGATTCCCGTCAATATATTGCGATATTGGACAAAACTGTTATTTTAGTTACTATTGTTATTATTGAATGATTTGTCTATTCTTATGTAAATGCGATCTCCCCTGTGCTTATCCCTTTTATCGCCGAGAAGGGGCGATCCTTGGGATGGCCTCGGAGGACAAGTGAGGCTCTCACTTGGAGTCCCCCGTCCCCTTTCACTCATTTGTAATCGATTCGTCTTATCGTACTAGTACTTGCAACCTACGGTGAAAACAGGCGGAGGATCAATCATGTGTTTCTGTAAGGATAATCTTTTTATGCAGCCCAACGTGATTTGTTTAGATGCGATGTGTAAAAGTTCAACAGGTCCGCTTGTCCTCGTAAAGTCAACAATGGATTCCCGCCAATATATTGAGATATTGGACAGATGTCTACTTCCATTTGCGACTGTTTCGATGAATCCAGGCTGTTTTCTTTATCAAGATAATTCGCCAGTACACAAAAGCAAACTTTTGATGGGCCGCGTTGTGACTCTCTCGAATGAAGGGAAAGCACGTAAATGAATTGTACATATATTTGTGTAACTAAAACTATTAGTAGCTTAAAAGCGCGCTATGAACTTTAACAAAGAAAATCGATGAAATTTTTTAGAAAATTGAGTGTTAAAAGACTTTTGCACATGACTTTAGTTCTTAGTTTTTCAAGGATTATAAGCTGGGAATTAACTTTTCATGGGTATTAGATTTTAAGTTGTTTTTTTGTATCATTCGATGCGCAATTAGATTCTGCATCGAATCATAGTTAAAATAGACAAAATTGAAGAGTTGGTGCTGAGAAAAAGACGACAAAAAAGGGCTGACAAATGTTTTAGTGTGTTTTTACTGGTTCAGGGAAAGTTTAAGTACGATTCGAATGATTACAGTAACGCTCACCGGTGACTCTCGTTTGCTCCTTATCGTATCGATTCTCGGACTGGCAACTCAACGGATCTTGGTACCATTGTGTTGGGAGAACGGTATTAAAACCAAATAAAACATCGTGAATCTGAAAAGTTTCTTGTTTTAATCAACAATTCAATACGCGACCATTCGAGTGTCATTCTGATTTCCCGTTGCGTCGATCATAAAAACGATATCAACGTTTAGCTTATCTGTGCAATAAAGTGGTGTATCTAAATGTTTTACTGAAGTAAACGATGAAAGAAACTCACGCAACGCTGGAACATCGCAAAAATACGGCAAATATTGACCACAATCAGCTACATACCATTTCCCGTCCACGCGATTCATTATCACACAATCGCCACCATCTTTCAACGGTTGACCTAGACAAGATGATCAAAAAAAAGATGAAAAGCCTGAGCTTGTCCAATAGAATTATCAAATTCTCAACTTAATAGCTAGCCTAAAGTCTGGTAGATTTATGTTTCCACCTATCTCCAGCTGTAAGCTAAGATAAGATGCTTACAGCTGAAGGCAAAAAATGAATGGTAAAGAACTTGGGTCAGATGGGGAATTGAACCTCGACCCCGTGCCATCCACCTTCTCCATACCAATCAGATGCTCTACCACTGAGCTATCGGTGCGCTTTTTCCGCGAAGAGAAATAGGCAAGACAAGCAAGAGAGGGGGGAAATACCCGGATCTTCAGAACTGTGGGCTTGACGATCAGACCACGGTATTAGTAATAAAATCAAGAAATGAATGGAAAACAATTTGAAAGGGAGGGGGAATTGAACCCTAGACCTTCTGCTTACCAGACGCTCTACCATTGATCTATCGGTGCGCTTTTTCCCCAAAGAGAAATAGGAAAGACAAGGAAGAAGATGAAGATATCCTCAAGAGCTCACCCTTTGCCCAATTGAAATAAGTGACTGGATCAATTCCATATTCATCATCCGCATACCACCACGATTCATTGACTCGTTGAAGACCAATATAGAAAAATCCGGCGTTTGTGGCACCTAAAATGAAATGAAAATGAAATTTGGAGTGTTTTCTTAAGCTGAAGCTTTACTTACTGCTTTGTATCATCTTTATTGCCAACGCGTTGTCAAATGAATTCTGAATATGCGAGAGGCGGCCATTCTCGGCAAAACAACGAGCATTAGCGACCGAGAATTGATAATCTGAAATAGTTTTGAAGTTTTGAAAGCTAAGTTTTGAAAGCTTTTAAAAGCTTTTATTAAGATGTTAGAATGTCTTCGCAATTCTAACCATAATTTGTGGCTAATGCGAGGCACATCGTCGAATCAGATGCCAATGATTGAGCACCAATCGGACAATCCGCTGACAGCCATCGAATAAAACAAAACAAAAACGAAATTATTGCCAAATTTTGCATTTATTTTCCTTTCTCGTTGATCGATTTATATTATTTTTTGTGAGAAAATCGAAGCAATGCTTTTTATTGAGAAAAGATAAGAGAGGTTTTTATGGGATTCTTTAAGAAAATCGCATCATTGAAGCCAACCAAATGAAAAATTTACAGTTTGAACTTCACAGAATTCTCAGAATTCTCAAAAAAAAACTCGTTAATTTTGTCGATTTGGGATTTTGATTAAAAAATGATAATGGAATAGAATAAATGAATTGAAATAACCCTCTGTAATTCGCTCAAGCTCAAGCAATTCGCTCAAGCTCAAACAATTCGCTCAAGCTCAAGCCAAAGCTCAAGCCGAAGCTCAAGCCGAAGCTCAAGCCGAAGCTCAAGCCAAAGCTCAAGCCGAAGCTCAAGCCAAAGCTCAAGCCGAAGCTCAAGCCAAAGCTCAAGCTCAAGCAATTCGCTCAAGATTTGTCTCCTTTTTGTAGTCTTTTTTTCAATCAAATCATTTCGAATTTCGATTTTCTCAAAACAAACTTTAGATAATAAGGAGCTCTTTGTAAGCTCTGAATTTACAGTTGTTGCGAACATTTAATTCGTCGAGTCAGGCTGCTTTCTTTGCGTCAAACTAAGCAGATCAATCTAAACCTTTGTCCAATCACGCTTAACACTCGACATAATTCAAGTCAATCAAAAAAAAAAAAACTTAAAATTTCCTATATTTACTTAACTTTTTTTGTTGTCTGTAATTCTTATGTATTTTGATGTAATTTCAAGAAACGATTGGTCATTTTTACTCTAAAAAAAACTTAAAAAATCATTTTTAAGCCAATCAATTCAGGGAAACTAAGTGAAAATGAACGAATTTTCGATCAAATCGATGCAACGATTCTGTCGTTGAACTTTGAATTGATTTTTTATGCAAATTCGATGAGCAATGAACAGTCGATAATTGAGCCCCGTGTGATTTTCGTTGATGAAACAACGAATTCGATATTTTTTTCCTTCAAATCGAAAACATCTGATCCGGCGTCCAATTGGAAAGCGATAACAACTCAAGTACTTGCAACCTACGGTGAAAACAGGCGAAGGATCGATCATGTGTTTCGGTAAGGATAATCTTTTTATGCAGCCCAACGTGATTTCTTTAGGTGCGATGTGTAAAAGTTCAACAGGTCCGCTTGTCCTCGTAAAGTCAACAATGGATTCCCGTCAATATATTGCGATATTGGACAAAACTGTTATTTTAGTTACTATTGTTATTATTGAATGATTTGTCTATTCTTATGTAAATGCGATCTCCCCTGTGCTTATCCCTTTTATCGCCGAGAAGGGGCGATCCTTGGGATGGCCTCGGAGGACAAGTGAGGCTCTCACTTGGAGTCCCCCGTCCCCTTTCACTCATTTGTAATCGATTCGTCTTATCGTACTACGGTAAATAAAGATATATATCTTCTGGGTCTATGCAAATGCAGTTCAGGTCGGTCATTTCACAGGATTTCCTCTCTAATACATTGGAGGAGTTGAGTCGGATTGTCGGGGTGTTAGAGATGGCTGGATATCAAAGGGGCACACTCTCGATAACTTAATTCTAGTCCATATCCGTTTACTCCTAGGAACGAACATGACATTAAGATTGGGGTACTTTTCCGTTATACATCCACAAAAATAATCATTTAATAATCAGAAAAAATCGTTTAATATAATCAAAATCAAAAATAAATAATAAATAATGAAATCTCTATCGGGGATTCTGATTGAGCGATAGCTTCATAAAGTGATGGTTGGCGTGTGTGAGAGTAGTAAGCAAGATGCGTCGTTGTTGAAAGAACGAAGTTGCATCAGCCTCGGTAGTTGTTAAGCGAAAAATGAATCTACCGTCTGGAAATAGCAAAAGAATTCATTTTCTGTTCATTTTCATCAATGTTTAGTTTAGCCGAAAGGCGTGGCTCGAAGCTTGGCTCGAGGCTTGGCTCGAGGCTTGGCTCGAGGCTTGGCTCGAGGCTTGGCTCGAAGCTTGGCTCGAGGCTTGGCTCGAGGCTTGGCTCGAAGCTTGGCTCGAGGCTTGGCTCGAGGCTTGGCTCGAGTTTGGCCGAAAGGCGTGGCTCTTTTATCTTGCATCCCGAATCTGCTTTCTCTAAATCCTCTAGAGCTTTTTTGTGAATCGTTCGATTAAAGTTTGGAATTGCCTTCCCGAAAAGTGGCGTTTGATCTCCACCGTTTGATCTCTCTGTCTGATTTTAAAAGAGGACTACTTCATTGCATTTTAAGTGACCTTGTGATCTTTTATCTGCTACTTTTTCCATTGCGTTTTCGCACTTTATTTCTTTCTAAATAAAGTATTTATATAAAGAAAAAGAGCCTTAAAAATAGAATCAAAAATGAAAGAACATTTGGAAAATCGAAATTCAAAAACACAAAAATTCCTTTTTCAGCAAATCCAATGACCTAGCTGAATCATTGAGAAAAATAGGTGAATCTCTCTTTTTTTTTTTCTTTAAGAAATGGATATAAAGAGGTGAGTGAAATGACCCAAATTCCTATTTTTCTCTCTTTTCATTCGATTTTGAACCGTTTTCTCAAGACAAATCTTTCGAAAACTATTGAATTTTATATATGAAATTGAATTGAATATATGTTTATTGAAATAAAACAATTTATTCCAGCTTTCATCGTCGAATTCCCATGCTCGCCTTGAGACTTTTATTTCTTCTTTTCACTCTCTTCTTCGTCATTTCATTTGCCGAATTGAGCATCGATGGAGATGATGTCAGTTTATTCTACTTTTGTATTCATGGAAAATTGTAAACTCTCCTTGTAAACACTCAATTCCTGGTATACGTAATTTGTGTATGCTTTTGTAGACTTTTATAGGCTTTTTTAGGCTTTTGTAGGCTTTTGTAGGCCTTTTTAGGCTTTTGTAGGCTTTTGTATGCTTTTGTAGACTTTTTATAGGCTTTTGTAGGCTTTTGTAGGCTTTTGTAGGCATTTTGTAGGCTTTTGAATATGCTTTTTTAGGCTTTTAATAGGCTTTTGTAGGTTTTTGGTAGGCTTGAAGGCTTTTATAGGCTTTTGTAGGCTTTTATAGGCTTTTATAGGCTTTTGTGAAGATACTTTGTAGGCTTTTGTAGGGCCTTTGTAGGCGTAAGCATTCTCTCGACCTATTAAGTTAAAATTTAAAAAATATTTGATTGAAAATCAACTTCTTCACTTTTAGTTAGTGCTTCGGGTGGAAAGTCCGATTCTCGTGCGACGGGTTCGCGATGTGAATGGATAAATTTCTCTTTGTACAATAAATTTCTTTACAAATTTACAATTTTAAACGATTTTAAAGGTTTTTAAATGATTTTAAACAATTTTAAACAATTTTAAACAATTTTAAACAATTTTAAATGATTTTAAACAATTTTAAATGATTTAAAAAAAAAATAAAAAATAAAAATAAAATAAATTTTAAATTAAAAAAATTTAAATTTTAAATATTTTAAAGTTTTAAATGATTTTAAACAATTTTAAACTATTTTAAACAATTTTAAACGATTTTAAACAATTTTAAATGATTTTAAACAATTTTCTTTACAAAATTACGATTTTAAAACTTTTCATTGCATGCAAAAAAAAATTTTTCTTGTGTGCTTAACAAAAAAAACAAAGAATCTATTTTATTTATCAGTATTTTTAACTTTAAAATACGAAAATATAAAATAAAAGAAAAGTAAAAACTAGTTGATATGTAAAAGGAGAGAAAAAAAAAGAAAGAACAGGAAATAAAAAAAACCAAATTTGGAATGGAATTTGAGGAAAATAGGAAAGAAATTTGAAAGATTTGAAGGCACTTTTTTCGTGGAATCATATTTTAAAGAAGATCAGCAATCGTTTCCCTGAAAATTCGAGAAAGTAAGAGCTTTTCTTTGAAAGTTTAACATGTAAGATTTACTAGAGTACAACTAGAGTATTCTAACTACAGACTATGCTGACTATAGAGTAGTTAGTTAGAGTCTTAAGAGTGCTTTAGGAACTGTCGTAATCTTGTTTTACGTGCCTTGGACTTGAGTAGGCTTTAGCTAGCGTTCTGATAGATGGTATTTTGTTATTTTCGAGTAACTATCGTAATCTCTACTACAGTAGGCTACAGTAAGCTACAGTGAGCTACGGTGAGCTACGGTAAGCTACAGTAGGCTACAGTAGGTTACAGTAGACTACAGTAGACTACAGTAAGCTACAGTAAGCTACAGTAAGCTACAGTAGGTTACAGTAGACTACAGTAGACTACAGTAGACTACAGTAGGCTACAGTAAGCTACAGTAGGCTACAGTAGGTTACAGTAGACTACAGTAGACTACAGTAAGCTACAGTAAGCTACAGTAAGCTACAGTAGGTTACAGTAGACTACAGTAGACTACAGTAGACTACAGTAGACTACAGTAAGCTACAGTAAGCTACAGTAGGTTACAGTAGACTACAGTAGACTACAGTAAGCTACAGTAAGCTACAGTAGGCTACATTAAGCTATAGTAGGCTTACAGCATTTCGGAATAAAAGTACTGACTGACCAGTTTGCTTGCGAGATGGCATAGATGGCGATGGGACGTTGAAAGCCGTTGAAAGTGGTCGAAGCGGCTGACTGAAAACTTTCTTACTGAATGCCAGAATGCTAAAATTTTGAATTCTAAATTCAGAATCTTTCAGAATCCTTTCTATTAACTGAATGGCTATTTCACTTTTGTAAAAAAAGACATAAAAATTACAGTATAAGCGCCCATCTCCGGGTAAACAATCCAATCACCCGTCGACATCTCTTCCATCATTTTTTTATCCTGAAATTTGCGACATAACCAAGTGGGCGAGCTTTTTTATTGTATTCTAGATTATCTATTTTCTTTTTTTTTTTTTTTTTTTTTTTTTTTTATTTATCTATTTATCTATTTATCTATTTGTCTATTTGTCTATTCATCTATTTATTTATTTATTTACCTATTTATTTATTTATTCATCTATCTATTTATTTATCTATTTATCTATTTATCCATTTATCTATTCATCTATTCATCTATTCATTCTTTCCCTTTTCTCACCTCAATCTGATCCAAACTGTCACAAGTAGGTCCCCAGATTGTGCTCATCACCGCCTCAGCACCCTCTTTTGGCTAAAAAAAAGAAAAAAAATTTGATTTTAGACAAAGAACTGAAGATCTTTAAAACTGAATATCTTTAAAACTAACCCTTAATGGATGCCCTTTTGGATGAACATGATCAAAAAGAATACAATTGAACGATCCATAAACCCCATCATTCAAATAGTACATCATCCCCTTTGAGCCAATGTCTTTATCTGTAAATTGAATGCATTTATAAGTTTATTTATTTATGTTTATTTATTTATTTATGTTTTTTCAGCTATGTTTTTTAGCTATATTTTTCAAATATTCAACCATTATGAGTGATCCTTTCGGCGTTGACGGCTGTCGAGTGGATCACGTTCGCGCAAAGGGTGAACGGGCGAGCGGCAAAGAATCTGTAAAAAGTTTAGAGATCTTTATATTATTTTAAGCTATTTTTTCTCAATATACTGAATATTTAATCGAAATTTTATCGAATTTTATCCAACCTTCCAGGCTCGGCAACAACACGCACCGCTGGATCCGGGAAATAGCGGCATAAAGCTCCGGAGATCACAGCAGAGATCTAGAAAGTTTCATTAACAACAATCAAATTAACCAATTCAAATTAACCAATTCAATTTAACCAATTCATATTAACCAATTCAAATTAACCAATTCAATTTAACCAAATCAAATTAACCAATTCATTTCCATTAAGCCATTAAGCAATTCCTATTTTCCTATTCATTAACCAATTCATTTCCTATTTTAAAAGAAGTAGATAGATGATTTTTGTTTAAAGTTTGATAAAGTTCGATAAAGTTTGATTTAAATTTTAAATTCATATTCAAATTCACCTTTTTACTTTCAAAGTTCACAATCCTCACCTGTTCAAAAGCGATATGATGTTTCCCGCCCGGGAATCCACCACCCAAATCAAGAAAATTCATATGATGCCCCATTGCTTCACCCAAATCGAAAAGGCGACGAGCGTGCGCGATCGCGATCTCATACGCTGAGCAATCGTTGCACCCCGATCCAACATGGAAACTGAAAATTGAAAATATTAGATGTCAACTTGACTACAAGTATTTACTATTTACTTACTTACATAAATAGGCGATTTTGTTTTGCGTACTACCGTGATTTAGTTATCAAAGATTTGCCGTCATTTTGCTTTATATTTCCTTTTTTTTGCCGTACCTAATCCCCTCAACGTTGACGCCCATTTGCTTGGCTTTAGCCAAAAGCTTTGGCGCTGCGTGCACTGGATCGGCCCCGAATTTGAGATTGAGTGGACAAGTGGCCGTCGGATCGGAGACGGCAATGCGGGGTACCAATCTGAAATCGAGAATTGCGAAAGTCAACCGGAGGGACTTTGCTTTGTTTGCTTTGCTTTGCTTGCTTTCAATGGACTTTGCTTTTAACTCCGAATACTTACCTTGCCGAATTGTGTAACTCTTGGATCTTCTCGAGTTCCTCGGCGTTGTCGAAAGTCATCAGCTGAACGTCACGTTTCTCGGCGTGGCTGAAAAAAAGAAATTTTCTAATTTACTTCAAAGTACGATCGATTTTAAATAGTTAACTAAATAGTTGAAAATGAATGAAACCTTGATGAAGGCTCGAGTCTTGCACGGATTCGCGTAGATGATGCGGCTTGGGTCGACACCGATGCTCAGAACCTGAAAAGGTAACGATAAAGAAGCTGGTATCAAAACAAAATCAGAGGTATTAAATGTAATTATAAGCTTAAACTTATATTGTATATTACAAGTATTATAAGCTTAAATTGGCATTCTTCGGTTATCAATCGCATGCTTTTTTTGCAAATTTAAACCATTTGAAATGAATATTTCTAGTTTAAGGATAAGATCTGTTCACGTTCTATCCTTAAACTAGAAATAGTTCTAGTTCAAGAAGAAAAGCAAAAATTCTGACTTGACAAGCAAAAGTGGACTTTGTATGCCGAGCGGGGATCAAACCCAGAGCCCAGAGACCGTTCGCTTTCCAAGTGAGACCTCTACCACTTTGCTATGAGCGCATGGCAAAGGCATCGTTCCAAGAGGCTCATAACAGTAGCAATGACCATCTCTCTCTCTCTCTGGGATCCCCTTACTTTATCTACTCTTTATAAAGCAGAAGAGACATCTGTCCGTTTGTCCGTCTATGCGCAGCCATTGGCAAAAAGGGGTGGGGCTTAGATTGCGTGGAAAACACAAAATTTACTGAGCGTTTTTCGCTGGTAAAAATAGATAAACTAACATTATCTAAACTAGTTAGTGAAGAAACCGAATGCTCATAACTTCAATCACACTCACAATGTCGATCTCTTGCTTGCTAGCGCAATCAAAGTTGACCCCAAGCGCAGCCAACACACGTAACATTGTCACATCGGTGTTACACTTCACAGCATAGAATGGCTGAAAAAAAAAAAATAAAGCTTTAAACTATATTTGAAAGAAATTTCCACACTCACCTCAACGTGCGGCAACTCTCTCTTCCACAATTTGAATCTCTCAAGTAAAGCGTCCAAATTGATAAGCAGAAAAGCGTCATCGATTTCCTGAAAAATTTTTAATGAAATCTTTTATTCCCTAAAAAAAGCAATCTCTCAATGAAAGAACTTGAGAGATTTTCATTTCAGACCATTTTTTTGTTTTCGTGAGTGGGGCTCGATCAGAGTTGACGAGAGAAAGAGATCAAAGTTTGTCTATGCCCACAGTCAGTCTCATTGTCTTTCACCACACTCATCCGCTTCACATCGACAGACGACAGACTATTGTGGACGTCCTGTAGTTTCACACACTCTCATTTTAAAGGTAAATTTTCGGTGTGTGTATGCGAATTTTTTGATCCCTTTTCTTCCCATCGCTTACCTCTGAGTCGTACTTGTTGGCCAACGCTTCGACCATCTCTTCGGCAATGATTGGATCGTCATGGATCTCGACCTGAAGATGAAAATTGTTAAATGGGATAGAGAATATTCAGCTTAAACAAGTTAGATATGGATAAAACTAAAAAAAATGACGAACTCTCAACTACAAATGCTTTTAAATTGCTTTAAGTCTGTGCAGTGATAAGAGCTATAGCTTAAAAAATAGAGATTTCAAGAGCTTTTGAATGGATTAAATCATATTTAAAAATATTAATTCTAACAAAAGTTACAGCGGTTTGTAGCCTGGCTCGATTCGACCAGGCGCGAAAACGGCCAAGGCTACAAACCACTGTAACTTTCTTTAGAATTAATATTTTTAAATATGCTTTAATCGATTCAAAATCTCTTGAAATTCTCTATTTTGAGCTATAGCTCTTATCAATCCGATAGATTTAAAGTAATTTAAAAGCATTTGTAGTTTACGTTTGTAGTTTCTATTGCTCATGCCTAAAGCTAGTCTAGTTTTAATATAAATTTTGATATTTTTTTAATAACATCATTAATTTGATAATATTGATTATTCTGGATCAGCTTTATTCTAGAGTTTCAACGAGTTTCTTTTCAAAAAGTCAACTTTCAATTCAAACAATCAACCATATCGCAAATAACTTTAATATAAACTTTTAGAGTCACTTTTCTACCCAAAAGCATTTACATCTTGTAATTGTTAAATGCTAAAGTTGTTGGTGATTGTAATCGTATTTTTTAAAGAATTAAACGTACTTTAATATCTCCGATAAGCTCACGACGAGAGCATCCCTTGATCATCGTCATTTTCTTGAGAACGCCTCTAAAAATAAGCCATATTTCGTTTGATTTTTGTCATTAGTTATCATTAGTCATTAAAAAGAAATTCTAAAGCCAACCTTTTAATTAATATAAAGTTGTCTTCTTTCTTCTTCTATTTACCAGGGCGGTTTTGCTCTGCACTGTCCCTCTCCACCAGGGATATGAATTACTTGACCGACCTCGGATGTCGAGGCGAGTGTCTGAAATAAAGCAATAATAGCAATTCTAAGCAATAAAAAAAGTAATACTTGATACTTCAATAAACGCAATATTTGATCTTTTACTTTTTACACATTACGCAAACAAGATCCACTATTCTACCCTAACTCCATCTTAAAAACTAGCATTCACAAGGTCTATTTAGCGTTCAAAGACTCACCAATGGATAGCGGGTGGCCGCCGGGCGAGCACACCGAACAAGCGTCAACGGGAAGATTTTCTAAAATTTTCAATTAAAATCGGACGCAAAACTAATTCCTCATTGTGTTTTTTCTATATAAAAATCGAAAATACTCACCGGGTGGATTCTCTGTGCCTCAAGAAGTCAAACGCGTCAACGAGATAGGAACAGAGTCCTCGTTGCCGCGTCACTGAAAATGAAAATGGATTGAAAAAGATTGCATTTATTGAAAACCGATAATGTGATACAACGAAAAAGGGTACAGAATAAGAAAATAAAGGGCTAAACACACAATTTTATGAGATTGCAGCCGTTACCTTTATTACTGGAAAGCATTTTCCGAGAAACATTTTCGAGTCGCGCACTAAAAAGCACTAAATACCGTAATCCGTCTTTTTAAAAAAATCTTTTTTTTTGCAAATTTAGCTTTTTTTTCTTACTTTTGCGCAATTTCTACTCGTAGTTTTGCTTTTTTACATTGTTTTTAAAGCAATTAATGTTTAATAGAGTTTAAAAACAATGTAAAAAAGCAAAACTACGAATAGAAATTGCGCAAAAGTCGCAAAAGAAAGGCCGATTACGGTATTTAGTGCATTTTAGTGCGCGACCCGAAAGTGTTATCTCGGAAAATGCTTTCCAGTCTCTTATTATCCAAATGTGAACGAAAGAAAGAAAAGAGCCCACTTTGGTGGGAAAAAAGAAACATTTATATCTTGCCAACGTGATTTAACCCTCGACCCTGCCGCTTAAAAGACAAAACTCCTAATTGCTTTAAAAACAATTTAAAAAGCAAAACTACGAGTAGAAAATGCGCAAAAGTAAGAAAGAAAATAGTTAAAGTTGCAAAAAAGGCCGATTACGGTATTTAGTGCATTTTAGTGCGCGACTCAAAAGTGTTTTCTCGGAAAATGCTTTCCAGTCCCTTATTACCCAAATGTTGTGAAAGAAATAAACCCACTTAGTGGGAAAAAAGAAACATTTATATCTTGCCAACGTGATTTAACCCTCGACCCTGCCGCTTAAAAGACAAAACTCCTAACCGGTCGACCATCGGGGCAGATTAGAAAGAAATACGTATTTCTAATACGGGGCAGTATTAGAAAGAAATTTTAGTTTTAATTGGCTTATTGATTTCAGTATGTATTGTATGATTAAGTATCACTGTGCATTTCTCTATGATTTCTTTCACTTTATCGTTTGAATAAAGTATTATTATTAGAAAGAAAGTCTAACAAATTTTATAAAGAAAAAAAATGGCTTTTTTGAAATTTTGAAATTCGAAAGAAATTCTCCTTTATTTTATTCATTTTATATCGTTTTTGTTTAATGTTTTGAAAACAAAAAGAATTCAGGAAATGGCAATGAAATGCATTTTCTGAAGGAATTTTATTCAAAGATTTTGAAATGATAAGAAAAGCGATGGGAAAATGTGGTGAGAATAAAATGTTTTCAAAGAGAAATCCCTGAAGAAGGCTTTTTTTTTGCAAACGTTTTGTCTACAAAAGATTAAATCACAAATGAGAATGTTTCTTTGTGATGAAATGAAAGAAAATTCAAAAATCAGGTCTTATTTTAAAGTTTTTTTTTTCAAAATCAATCATCATTTTTTTATTTAATTTTAAAAAGCTTTTCAAAAACGATAAAAATTTCGCAATTCAGCTCTTGTTTGTGAGAAAATTGAACTTTTCAAATCATTACCTAATATTTCTCTTTTTTTGAATAAAAATAACAATTTGAAATTGAAATTTGAATCTTATATATACCGTATTTTCTCTAATAGTAGTGCGCTCCGGCGAGCCGAGTTGGTGACTATTTTACGGCTTTCAAGGTTTTCACAGAAGTCCAACACTTCAATCCCCCACAAGATCTCATCGTCAGCTACATTTTCCGACCCCACATCGATCGGTTCTGATAAGCGGTTCTCGAGATTTCGAGGAAGTTAGGCGACGCTCTGGGTGCACTACTACTAGAGAGAAGATGGTATATTATTCCAGGTTAGGCTAGTAGGTCAGACTGATCTATTTCCCTAATATTTCCCGGTGGGCCGAGTTGGTGACTATTTTACGGTTTCCAAGTTTTCCCAGAAGTCCAACACTCTAATCCTCCACAAGATCTGATCGTCAGCTACATTTTCCGCCCCCACATCGATAGGTTCTGATAAGTGGTTCTCGAGATTGCGAGGAATTTAGGCGACGCTTACGGTGCACTACTATTAGAGAAAATACGCTCTGCTTTATTCAGGGAGTGAATAGAAGCGAATCAGATAATCAGAATTTCAAAGTGAATCAGATAATCATAACCGCATATTGCTACAATACTTTCACAAAAAAAGAAAACTAAAAATAGTAAAGTAAGACTACAGTTAGGGAACACAGGTACAAAAAGATTAAATATAGAGCTGATTTGACATAGCAATAAGATCTAATTCGTTTAATCTTCTCAAAATAAAAAAAAAGGTTCAAATGAACTTTTCTAAACACAATAATAAGTGAAAATTCCATTATTAAACTGATTTTTTAAATAATTATAAAATAGAATTGCTTTTTAATCATCATTAGATGATGTTAATGAATTCTTATTCTTTTTTTTTCATTTTTTAGAGAAATGAGCCGGAAATGAGGTCATTAAATAGGCGAATCGCGTGGCTTTTCCTTTTTTGTTTTGTAAATAAAAGGTTATTGAAAATTTTCTTCTTTTCCAAGCCCAACTCTTGAAATAGAAAACGGAAAAACGTGAGGGTTGCTGTTTTTTTGAAGAGACTTGAAGAATAGATCTCTGCAATTTGGGGCATATCACATGTTGTTGCTGAATTATGTTGCGAAAGAACTCTTGAAATCTCTCTCTTTCAAAAATGAATCGGATTTTCATTGCTCAGTGAACCGATCCCCTTTACTCAATTGAAATAGAAATCCCCGAAGAAAATAATCAAAGAAAAGATTAGCGCTACGAATGCAAATTCAAAAAGCTTACAGTTTCATTTCGAAAAAAACACGTCACTTCCGCATTTTGATTAAGAAAAATGAAAAAATGGACTCATTTTAAGAAGATTTTAAGAGCAAATGCATTTTAAGAACAATTTTCTAATCGAATCTTTAGCGCACCCACCCTAAATTCGTTGCCCGAATGAATGGGAAATAGTTGCTGCCCCACCCGCGCGAACTAACTCTAAATGAATGGGAAATATATACTGCCGGTGGCCGCGCGAACTAACGTTCCCCGGCTGCGGCCACTTCGCTCGCGCGGCCACTTCGCTACGGGCTGCGGCCACTTCGCTCGCGCGGCCGCAGCCCGTAGCCGCTTCGCCGCATTTAAGCTTATCCAACGGTTAAAAATGCAAACGAAAAAAACAAGAGAATTTCAAATTCTGAACATTTTTCTTTTGTCTTTAAGATAGATAGAATTTTTTTTTTGAGATTTGAATGGTCTTAAACGCTTAAACGATAAAGCTTTAAAAAGTTAAAGTACAGTGACAAAATCGACTTCAGAAAGACGTTACGATATTTTGAAGACAATTTTCACTCAAATTTTTCACAAAATCAAGTAAACTATAATAAAAGTTTTCTAAAGAAGAGTTTAGATATATTTTTTAAACAATCATAAAGAAGTTAAACAATCATTTTCCTGGTTGAACTTGACTCAAACGACTTCACTGTCTTTTCAAAGGGGAAGCTTTTATGGTAAAGATCGACTAGAAAAATCTTAATAACTAAAAAATCGAAAATCTTAATCACAAAAGTTTTTTTATAAAAAGAATAGGTAAATATTTTCAGTGCAATACTAAGATAGTGTAAAAAGTTTTGAAAAATTAAATGATAAAGCTTAAGCAAGTTAAAGTACAGTGCCAAAATCGAAAAGTTCTCCGACTCCACCCCTTCCCCTCCCCCTCCTCTTCCCCTCTCTTCCTCTTTCCCTCCTCTTTCCGTAAAAAGGCCGAAAGAGACTTTCTTTATTAAGAAAAGATAAAAAACAGAATTTATTACAAGAAAAATTTATTTCTAAAGCTTTGAAAAGTGTCGATAGATCTATCTTAAAGAAGCCATTAGAAGAAGAAGATTTATCTGACGGCAGCACTCAACAACTCTCTCACAACGTGGAGATGTTGCGGGGGTGGCTTGAATGAGAAAAAAGAATTGCTGAATCTATTGGGGGAAATGGGCAGCCTATTTGCCCCTTCCCCCTAAATAGGATGTTGGTGAGGGATTGGAGGGAGGGGGAAACGTACACGGAGACTCCACCCCTTCCCCTCCCCTCCCCTCCTCTTCCCCTCTCTTCCTCTCCCTCCCCTCTTCCCCCCCTCCCTTCCCCTCTTCCCCTCCCCTCCCTTCCCCTTCCCTCTCCCCTTCCCTCCTCCCCCTTCCCTCCCCTCCTCTTCCCCTCTCTTCCTCTTCCCCTCCCTTCCCTTCCCCTTCCCTCTCTTCCCCTTCCCTCCCTTCCCCTTCCCTCCCCTCCTCTTCCCCTCCCCTCCCCTCCACCCACTTCGACTCTCTGCTCCCTTACTTCTTTGGATTTCACAATCTATTTCACAATTTACTCTTCTTTAGATTCTCTATGCTTTCACTATCACTTATATTCTCTTTTCACAATCTCTTGTCATCTCTCTACCCTCCTCTATAACTCTAGCAACTTTTCCCGTTCCTTCTTCTATATCCAACTTCTACAAGCTCTCCATTAGATCCTTTTTTCTAAAACCTCTGAAATCCCAGTGAAAGCAATTCCCCCGTCTTCTCTGCGCTCTCCAAATATAACAGCATCCCCTCGTTTCTCAACTATTCTCTAAAAAAGGGATCTATCGTTATTCTCGTATCTCTAAATCGCTTACTAGCTCTAGCTTTCTTGCCTCTTGCCCTTCTTCTACATTTCTCACTGCACTATATCTGCTATTCCTTTTTCCTCTATTGCTAACTTTATTTCCCTTACAATCTAGCCTCACTATCACCTTTGCCTTTTTCTCGAAGCAGACGATCTTCCTCTGCACCGAATCCCATCAAACCTTCCCTATCGCAAAGTGGGAGGGTTCATTCCCATCTCGATTTCTTCAAAAACAAAAAAATTCAAAAAGAGACTCGATGATCCCTTTTCCCTTCCTTTCCGGGAAATACAATCACGAGATTCGAGATGTGTGTGCGGGTAGAGCTTTCTCCATTCAACAAAAACAAAGCCAAATTTGGGAATGACGAATAGAGAAAAGGTTGAAATACAAAAAACCCAATGATCGGACGAAAGTTTGCGATTTGAAAATAGAAAAACAGAAAAACATTAATGCCAAATCTCACTTGAGCATGTGCCTGAATCAATACGTGCTAGAAATTGAGTGTGCTAGAAATTGTTTAGCTCAGAGGGTAACAAACGAGAAATATTCACCGTTTTGAGGATACAAAAATACAAGGAATGCACTCTAGTACGTAAAGTGCGTGCGTGCGACCGCAGCCGGGAACGTTAGTGAGGATGCCCTCACGCCACTCATAACTCGATTTTGGAGAGGATTAAGAGCCACGAGAAAGCACTAGAAAGCAAATGTTTGCTACAAAGTATTTTATAAAGCCTAGAGCAACTCAAATGTGTTTCTATCATCAAAAATCTACGAGATTCGAGATTTGTGTGCGGGTAGAGCTTTCTCCATTCAACAAAACAAAGCCAAATTTGGGGATGACGAATAGAGAAAAGGTGGAAATTCAAAAAATCCAATGATTGGACGAAAGTTTGCGATTTGAAAATAGAAAAACAGAAAAACATTAATGCCAAATCTCACCTGAGCATGTCCCTGAAGTGAGTCAGTCAAATTTGGGAAAAGGGAAAAGGGAAATAAGTCTTTTGTTTTGATGGGGAGAGAAAAGTTCAATAAATTTCAGAAAGAAATCGAAAGTGAAGCTCATTAAAAATATTAGGCTGGGGATTTTCAATTGAAATTACATTTACAAAGCTGAATCGCGAAAGAGCAAGAAAAAGAACAAGAACAAATCAAGAACAAGAACAAATCAAGAACAAAACAAATAACATTTCTCAATCACCCAATTCTTATTTAGCTTTTTAGTTCTTTTTTTAGCTTTTCTTGAGTGGGTGGAGCCACGTATCTTCTCTTTTTGAGCTCACCGTTTCTCTCACCGAATTGTCAACGAAAAAAGATGTGAGTCATATCACCGTGGACGATCTTATTATGTCTACAATTCATTAAAAAAATCCCCTAATCATCAAAGCAAACATCTCTCCTGAGTTTTCAATGAAAACAACAACTCGAGACTGACACGCACCGTTTTTTTTCTTTTTTTGTTTATCCATGAAATTCCCGTCAACGAAATTTCATTTGTTGCTAGAAATTTGATTTCCAAAAAACTGATTGACTAACTGAAATCTGTGAATAATATTAGTGGCCATTGCCCTTATTGTCGATTCGCTCGACAAGTACTTTGTGCATTTTCTGAGCACTCTGTACGTAAAGCATCCTCACGCCACTCATAACTCGATTTTGGAGAGGATTAAGAGCCACTAGAAAGCGAGTGTTTTCCACAAAGTATACCATACTAAGTACCAACTTACTACAAAGTATATTACCAGGTATACTACAAAGTATACTACAAAGTATTCTACCAAGTATACTACAAAGTATACTACAAAGTATACAAAGTATACCATACCAAGTACCAAGTTATTACAAAGTATACTACAAAGTATACTACCAAGTATACCATCTGTGAACAATATTAGTGGCCATTGCCCTTATTGTCGATTCGCTCGACAAGTACTTTGTGCACTTTCTGAGCACTCTGCACGTAACGCACCCTCACTCACAACTCATATCTCGATTTTGGAGAGGATTAAGAGCCACTAGAAAGCGTGTGTTTGCCACAAAGTATATTATAAAGCCTAGAGCAGCTCAAATGTGTTTCTATCATCAAAAATCTATAAACATCCGTGAATTTTTTGATGAAATCTTTCAAATTCAGAATTTCATTTGAAAATCGAACTCAAAAATGGATAAAAGAGATAAAAGAGATTTGATTTTACAAAAAAATCAACTCAAATTCAAATATATATCGCTATATTTGAAAAATAATCCTTTACTTTATTCAGAACCTGAGATAAAGTGCGCTAGATTTAAGATTAAAACACATCAATTCATACACATAACACGAAAAGGGCCGATAAAAAGAAACACGATATAATATATGTAAAATGTGGGTAGCACAGATAACGTCAAGGATCCACTAGAGCCTCAAGATCAAGGTCATCCACAGATAATGTATGTAATCTATGGGTAGCACAGATAACGTCAAGGATCCACTAGAGCTTCAAGATCAAGATCATCTACAGATAATTTAAAGGTTTCGAGACTATTGGACTCTCTCAAATTGTGAAAAATTTTTTTTTTGCTTCAAAAATCAAAACATAACTAGAAAAAGGAAAAATTTTGAAATTTAATAAATAAATTTTCTTTTTTATTTTTATATTTTTCGGTTTATTGTATTCATTTTTTTGTTTCATTTCATTCTGAACAAAGAAAATAGACTCATTTCCCCGACAGACTACTTTTTTTTTTGATAAGGAAACCTTTCTGACGTGTAAAGTCTTCAATTAATCAAAAATGACACTCAAAAAGAAAGCTTAAAGTGCTAAGAATTTCAATGAATCGGGTGATTGTTTTATGTGAAAATTTGAAACAAAAAAAGCTTTTGAATAAGTTTTGAAAAATCGGAAGACAAAAATCGTTTGAACTCGATTCCATTCGATCGATTGAATCGATTGAATTGATTGAATTGCAATTCCATTCGATTCACAAAACAAAACATTGAATGAAACGAAAAGCTGGAAAAGCTGGAAGAAGATTACGATAGTTTTCTAAATTATCTACCTTTGAAAGCTTTTGAAAAGCTTTTGAATGATGTTCGAAAAATTGGAAGACAGAAATCGGTTCTTGTTTGATTTCAAAAGTTTAAATTATTTGTTGAATGAATTTTTAAAATGAAGCTAAAGCTTTGCTAAAGAATGACAATGAAAACCTTTAGATTTTGAATTTCGATTCCATTCGATCGAGTGAATCGATTGAATTTCGATTCCATTCGATTCACAGAACAAAACATCGAATGAAAAGAAAAGCTGGAAAAGCTGGAAAAAGCTTACGATAGTTTTCTAAATTATCTACTTTTTAGAAATTGCTGAAAAAATCGAAAAGAAAAGCAAATGAAAGAGTGTAAAAGCGTTTCCCAGAAAATCCTAAACAAAGGAACTAAAAGCGAGCTAACAAATGGTGAGGGTGGAGTTTTTTTTTGGGTCTAGACTCTTTTTCTGAATCCCTTTCACCGAAAAATTGATCCTAAACGAAAAAAAAAAGAAAGCGCTTTAAAATCGTCAAAAGGAATGAAAAGGAAAAGGAAAAGAAAAAAAAAGAGTGATCTTTTTGAGATCGAATCGGGGAAAAGCTTACAACGGAGGGTTTTTCTTTCTTTTGAGAATTGACAAGAGCTCTTGAGAAACGAAAAATTACGAAATATTTGGTAATTACGAAAGAGAAGTGTTTTCGAAAGACGGAGGAACGAAAGAGAAGTGAAATGAAATGAAGAGCAAATTTTTGATTAGTCATAAAAAGACTTTAAGAAAATTACCGTAAAACTTCTCATAGATGCTCTATTTGATGTAGGCTCTTAGATAATAATAATAATAATAATAATACTTTATTCAAACGATAGAGTGAAAGAAATCATAGAGAAATGCACAGTGATACTTAATCATACAATACATACTGAAATCAATAAGCCAATTACTTACGGCAAAGAGCCACTAGATCTAAAGATGGTAATTGAAAATGAAAAAGATATAAATCTCTTAGCACCTTTACTCTACTTACACTTTTTCGCAACTCTAAAATCTTTTGATGACATGAAAGCTACAAAAAAAAGCCACTTTTCTCGAAAGTAAATTGCAAAATTTATGACTTTTATGGCTGATATAAATATCAAATCACTAATCAATCAATATCAGTTTCTTTTTTAGGAGAACTACGAGCCCAAAGAAGAAGAAAGTTTGCTCTATTAGATGTAGGCCCTTAGAGGGTAATTTAAAATGAAAAGTAGATATAAATCTATGTCTATTAGAACTTTTACTCTACTTACACTTTTTCGCAACTCTAAATCATTTGGTGAAACGAAAGTTTTAAAAAATCTAGCAGCCTTTTTCGAAAGCAAATTGCAAAATTTATGAATTTTATGGCTGATATAAATATCAAATCACTAATCAATCAATATCAATTTTTTAGGAGAACTACAAGCCCAAAGAAGAAAAAGAAAGTCTACTAGCCTACAATTCATTACAAAAAGCTATAGAATTATGGAAAAAATAGACCTTTACAAGCTTAGCATTTTCACCGAATTCATTCATCTCATCTCATTGTAAAACATTCGAATTTTCCATCTCTTTTTTTCAAATCCGATTCAAACATTTCCTTTTCCCATCACTTGACCACTTTCATTTCTCATTTCCGATTCTCGGATGCACTCAATCGAACCCCAATCATCGACAAATCATCCAAAAACCTCAATGTGAGCAATCGTCATCGTTTTGCGCAAAACGATTCCCTAGCCAAAATTTCTCAGCTCTCTCTCAAATGCGAAAAGAAAAAAAAGCTTGGCGAATGGATGGGAATAGAAATGAGATTGAGACGGAAATGAGTGGTCATTCGGCTGAAATGAATTGAGAGAAACGATTTTGGCTCTCGAAAAATGACCATGATTTCGGGGATTTGGCTAAATGTTAAATAAACTCGTGAAATAGCCATTTACTCACTTAATATTATTGATATTTTGGGTTCAACTTTGTGTCACTAGGTTACACTTGATTTGCTCTTGAAGGTTACTGGAATTTTTAGTTAATTCTTTTCAAATGCTTTACACTCACCAAAAAGTATAAAGAGCTATTATCATTGAAACGGAAATGACCGCTTGTGATTGCCGATTTATCTCTCATCGCATTCCATTTCCCCAAATCGGGCACTGATCGCGTTTCTTTGATTGATAGGATTTTCGCTCAACTATCGGTCACTTTTTTCCCCATTTTAATCCAAAAATACTCCCTCTCTGGGTGATTTCTCAGAGTTTTTAAAAATAAAAATTGTGAAAGATGAGTTTGCAAATTTCTGGTTTGAAAAACTTGAAGAATCACAGTTTCAAATTTTTCGATTTTCAAAGAAAGTCTCAAAGAAAATTGATCAGCAATTTATCAGGCTAGACAGCAACTTTCCCCCAAAATGGGGAGTGGGACAAATGCGACCTTTTCTGCGCACCCGGACATTTGCGCACCTTTTTTCCGCATTTAGCCCATTAGCGCACCTTTTTTCGCGTTTTAAAAGGTCTAAAAAGCTAATATTAACCAATTTCTATTCCAAAAGTTGTTTTTCTAGGTAATTTTAGGGCGTAGAATCGAAATTTTGGCATATCAGAGCTTGTGGAAGCGAACGGACGGAGTTATACAAAAGAGGAAAAATCAACAATTTTCTGTAATTTGATCTAGCCGTTTTGTCTTTCAAATTGTCTTTCAAATTGGTTCCACAAGCTCTGATATGTCAAAATTTCGATTCTACGCCCTAAAATTACCTAGAAAAACAACTTTTGGAATAGAAATTGGTTAATATTAGCTTTTAGAGCTTTTTAAAACGCGAAAAAAGGTGCGCTAATGGGCTAAATGCGGAAAAAAAGGTGCGGAAATGTCCGGGTGCGCAAAAAAAAGGTCGCATTTGTCCCACTCCCCAAAATGCACTTTTTTTAGACTAGCTGGCATACTATAATGATTTAGAGAGATACTAGAAAATACTACGGTAGCTTTCAGAAAGTGACAAGTTTTAGAAAGGACATTGATTGAGAGAAAAAGAAGTCAAATGATAAAATGACTATGATAAAATGATATAGTAAGTTTTACCATTGTATAGAATATAATATTAGTTATTTTTTAAAAAGAAAAACCTTTTGGAAATTGATAGTAGACCAAATTTGGAACTAAACAACAGATCAAATTTCATCTGACTACTGGCAAACTTTTTTAAAATAAACTGCAAACTGATTTTCTTTTTCCTTATTTCGGAACTCACCTTGTTCTTGGTGAGATGACAAAGAGAATATCAATATTTTTGAAAGTTTACCTTTAAAAAAGCCCACTCTTATATACCTTGTTCAGGCTACAGTAAGTATCAAGTACAGTTCGGCAATTCGCTGGCAATTTCCATTTTCATTCTTTTGACGTCACAAGAACACTTTGGCTTGTCTGGGGGGAACATTTTGAGTGCATTGACACAAAAGTGATATCATTTTTGTGCACTGAATCACATGGGGATTTCCCCCAAACACAGAAACACACGTCAATTCTGTTTCCTCATTGTGTGCTAAAGCGCAAAAACCAAAGCACTAAATTTCCATGTTCATGGTTCATACTTGTAAATTCGTCACAAAATGCGGAATGCGCCAAAAAATCAAGGACTGATCCAGAAATTTCAGCGACATTCATTCATGATCAAAGATAGGATATGCAAATTGGAGTCTCTTGATCTTATCGGACAATGTTTGAGAGGTCAACCCCGAATGCCTTTCTCAAAAATCAAAAATCAGACATGAATGATTAGAAACCCCAAGATTAAATCCACAATAACAAGACTCCGCGAAGTGGGGATTAACGATGGGGATTAACGCACTAAAATACATGTATGTGGATAAATGATATTCATATATCAAAAGGTTCAGAATTTTAATTTTGAATATAACAAATTTTACATATAAAATTAACAACTTAAAAACGTAACGATTTAAAATTACTTTAAAAACGACGATTTAACTATAAGCTGAAAGACTATCACAGACAAAATGCAACAAAATATGCTCATACCCGACAATTGAGACCATCAAGGTGACAAATCAGAGATTAACTTCCGGAAGATTCTCATAGATGTAATCCCGAAGCTCCTTGCTCTTTGACTTCCAGCTCTTGTCATTTTCACGCCTCATTCTAAAAACAATAAATAATGATCAATATGATATGGTCAAAATTTCACGAAACCCACTAGATCATAGTTGACAAAGTGTGGTTTGTCGAATGATTTGTGACTCATTTGCTTTTGGAAGACTTCGCAACAAACGAGCCAATAGACGAAGCAAAGGTCTAAATTTCTAAATTAAAAAGAAAGCACATATAATACAATTATAATCTATTTTAATGGTTTCTCATAGTTTCTTATAGTTGCTTTGTTTAAAACTAGTAAACGCACTGTATCTCAATCTTTAATCCACAAGGTCGCAACAAGCGCTTCCGACATTTCAAAAGCATCATGTTTACAGGTTGTCTAAAATTCAATAAAGTCCTAAAGTACATGTTTCTAAATAAGGGTACGTCATAATTTCTCATAATCACTCTGGAGGGTTTAGCTCAGTCAAAAGATAACCGATTCCCACAAAAATTTTACAGGTAAATGTTGAGTGGGTCTCCTGTAGCGGTGCCCATTATTTAACCGATAGGAGCACACAAATTTTTTTAAACAAGCTCTCAAAGTTGAGATTCGCACTTAGTTGCGCGCGACCTAGTTTTGGGGTTTTTGTAAAACGAGCTGCTTACTGAGAAGAGCTTATTTGTTGTTAGTTTTCAATCAATAATATTCAAATATAAATTTTGAAAACTAAAAATTACCAAAAGATTAGTCAGTTCGCTTTTCTTTCTCAAGCTTTTAAACACCACTCGGCCCTGATTTACATGACGAAAATCATGAATAAGCAGGGTTTTGTTAATTTTGTTTGAGATTTTTCCCGTAAACGATGACTGGAGGTTGAAAGACATTTTTCTGATAAATTTGATGCAAAAATTTCCCAATCGGCTTTCAATGTCACTTTGCTACAGGAGACCTTTGGATTACATTGTAAGGAAGCTTTCACTTCACTATGTTAATAGTAGTACTGAATTGTAGTATAAAATAGCTGATAATTGTTGGTGTTTACCTCACTCAAAGCAATATCAATAAAATGCGTAATTTGCGAAGCCGACACTCGTTCACATTTTGGAGCCACAACATCAAGAGCTTCTTCCAATGACCGTCCAGCATCCATTTCTTCATTCAATTCTTCACACATTTCCTTCCATTCTTTTTCCAAAACCTTGCCATCTCGAAACATCCTAAATAGATACAATCCATGAAAGGAAATAAAGCATTTACTTATTTCCGATTTCCTTCCATTCGGCTTCTTTAACATCAACCAGCATGCATTCCTGAAGTTTCTGAATTCCTTGTATTGATATCTTACGATATTCCATAACCAACGCCTTTCAGATTTTGAGAATTTTTAATGAAATCTCCACTTTTCGATAAACGCCATAATGCTACTCAGTGATTTTCGCAAAGCTTGGGCCGTGCAGAAGTGGCTTCGTCTCATCAGATAATGGGCAATACATGCTTCCTCATCCTTAGTCGTCACTGGAAACTCGCTATTTTGATCGAAAAATCGTGGTATTGCAGTGTATATCATGGCAGACGAACGATCAAGTAAATTTGCACAAAGTCGTGGCCAAAAATTCGTGTCTCGTACAAATTGCTTTGCACTTCCCTCGCTGCATTTTGCGTGTCCCCACAGCGAGTTCCAGTTCCAGTAAGTTGCCAAATGCTCCAATAAGTCAATCCGTAATCTTTCCGAAAAGATTCCCAATTGTTCTCAAGCATGGCGCGTTCTTCTTTTGAATAGCGTTTTTCCCTTCGATGATGATTCCATGTTGTTTGAGTCGATCTTTGTGAAAATCAGTCATTTCTCGTGGAAATCCATGATGAAACAAAAAGCCATTCTCGCCATAAATTCCAATTTCCGTTAAAGCGTACAGAAAATGTCCATGTTTGCTGCGTAGTTCTTTCATCGTGACTGACTAAAATCTGTTCGTCAATATTTGTAATGAATTATTTTTTAAAGAGGACAAAACTATGTACACGCCATCGTTTATCCAACCAAATACCAAAACCCCGTAAATGCAAAGTTCCCAAGTTAAATCAATGCTTCACAAAAAATTTATTATTTGTAAATTTGAAACAAAATTAAAAACTTGCAAAAGAGCACAAAATCATTATTTATTCTTTTGTTTTTTAGATGGCGGTGGTACTCGATCCATCCACGGCTTAGTGTTGCACATTTCGACCGTTTGTCGGGAAAGATCACACATATCCATCAAATTTGCTAACGACTTTCGCAAAGAGGTGGTATCCGTGGTTTTCAGGGAACTAAAAGTTACATAATTAGAAAATCAAAAGAACAATCTTTATCACCAGGGTTTCTTTTGTTATAAAACAAAAACTTGCATTATTAAAAAGCGTCCTTCCGTTGACAAGTTTCTCATCGTAGAGCTTCGCTTGGGTTCCTTGTCAACCTAAAAAAAGAGGTTGCAAAGCACAACAATGAATGCCCTTTTAAGCTTAACCAGGTAATTTTCAATTCAAATGCACATCCTTTTTAGGATCTCTGAGCCTGTTCAACGAAAAACCCTGATAAACACTTACAGAAACTGTTCTACAGACGATTTTCGCTGTTTCTTCATCGCCCATGTCCAATCGAGCTTCTCTACATAAATGCATTGAGCATAAGCTTGATAACGTATCATTCAAAAGCTTAAAAAGCCTACTATCAGTAGAAAAGGTTAAAAATTTAATTGGTGATACTAAAATACCTTAAAATTAATCACAACTTAATTGTGAAAACAACTCAAGAATAAAACTTACAATGAGTTTGTAAATGCAGTTGTTGGCGGTGCGGGTCCGAGCTCCTCGTCACTCGATGAACTTGCCCCATCATCGATTTCCATTTCCTGAAAATGCAGAATGTTAAGAATAATAAATTTTGAAACTGAAAAGAAAAGGAAATGTACGTTTTGTCCAAAAAAACCGAAAATTCGATGCGTAATCTAAACGTAACTGTCCTGTAAACGCCAATTGGTTAACAAAAAAGGCCAGCACATATATTTTATCCAAACATTAAGGGAAAACCAGACAGAAGAAAAAAGTGCATTAAAAGTAAATCGCAAAAAAGAAAGGAGTGGGACAAATGCGACCTTTTTTGCGCACCCGGACATTTGCGCACCTTGCCCATTAGCGCACCTTTTTCGCGTTTTTAAAAGGTCTAAAAAGCTAATATTAACCAATTTCTATTCCAAAAGTTGTTTTTCTAGGTAATTTTAGGGCGTAGAATCGAAATTTTGACATATCAGAGCTTGTGGAAGCGAACGGACGGAGTTATACAAAGAGAAAAATCAACAATTTTCTGTAATTTGATCTAGCCGTTTTGTCTTTCAAATTGGTTCCACACGCTCTGTTATGTCAAAATTTGAATTCGACACCCTCAAATTACCTAGAAAAACAACATTTGGAATAGAAATTAGTTAATATTAGCTTTTTAGAGCTTTTTTAAAACGCGAAAAAAGGTGCGCTAATGGGCAAGGTGCGCAAATGTCCGGGTGCGCAAAAAAAAGGTCGCATTTTTCCACTCCCAAAAAGAAATGTAATGAAGAAATGAAATTTTTGTTGAGTTTGGTAGAGGAAAAACATTTTCCAAGCATCGAATTGTTTGACTGAATATCTTGAAGTTGTCATTTAAAAATAGAAATTTTTGGTGTTTTCTCATTTCACGCTCGACCTATTCATTGTTTATTTCCGAACAAAATTGCTAATGTTATTTAATGAAGAACCTTCTCGATTCGAGTCCTGAAATGCACTTTTAAAGCTTTCTAATGAAGTATGGTGCTCAAAAAAATGTGGCAAACAAATGTCCCGTCTCACCGTGCATCTCGACTGCACACATAGATGAAATCCGGCCCATTAAAGCCATTAAAATTTGATCCAATCGAAAAACTGTATGCGCCACGATCCTCAAATAAGAGCCAATCTCCAGTTTTTAGCTTTGGCAATAGAGAATTTCTCTAAATAACGTTGAACTTGTTTTTATTTTTCACAAAACTTCAATCAAATCAGCTCCATCGCACGTGGGACCCCATAAAATGCTTGGTAAAACTTCAGCATCCAACTAAATTTTTTTCAAATTTTGACAAGATCGGATATAGGCTGTTTGAGTTTGGTTTGGTCTGGCCTGGCCTGGCCTGTTTTCAGTTTTTTAACTTCACAAACTTTTTCGAAAAGCGGCCTGCCCCTTTTTGGCGGGATTTTGTTAGTGATCGTTGCTCCAATAAATGACGAGTAAATCCCTTGATTCAAGTAGTACATCATCCCTATTTTAAACAAATTTCAAGGCATTTATTTTATCAAACCTTTCTCAAAATTTCGTTTCCTCCCCTCATCTTCAGTGACTTCTTTGGCTAGCATGATCCGAGAGCATAGAGTGAAAGGAGATGCCGAGAAAAACCTTGAAATTTTTAGAAAGTTAGCTTTTCGGTGACTCGATACTTTCCAGGTTCAGCGATGAATCTAAAGTCCGAGAAATTCTGAAGCTCGGAGCGGATCTCTTTGGCGAGCTTAATTTTTCGTTGTTTGCGATCATTGCTTCAAGTTCCTACATACCTCAACGAAGCTCTTTCCATCTTGTGCAGCACCCGGGAAACTCCCACCAATGTTGAAAATCTTCATCGAATGCCCAAAAGATTGACCGGTTTGCAAAAATCGACCCGCTTCACGAATCCCATGAAGAAACTTTTCAACTCCATCAGGCCCAGGTCCGACATAGAAACTGAAGAGTTTTCAAGTACATTAGGTGTCATTCTCTATCTCTTTACTTACCTGATCCCAGCAATGTCAATGCCCAAATCCTTGGCTTTTTGAAATAGGCTCTCGGGTTGGAAAAGCCCAAATTTCAGCGAGTTGTCAATGGAGATGCGAAGAATTGGACTGAAATTGAAATCGGGGGTATGGCAATCATTCTGACTTACGTAGCAGTTGGATGGTGTTTCGTTATCGCAAGCAACTCTTCTAAAGAATCGAAAACAATCAACTGAACATGAGTCTGGGCTGCGTGCTGAAAAAAAATCTAATATTAAGCCTCTCATAGCTTTGTTCATACCTTGATAGCGTTCGCACTATTGCACGGATGCGAGTTGATGATTTTCGACGCATTCACACCATTTTGCAAAGCCTAAAAGTTCTTCAACGACTAAATTCTTCAATACCTGATCAATTTCAGCCGCACTCGCACAATCGATCCCACAATCGCCAATTTTGGTCAAGATTTTAAACAGAATCTCATCGGTGTTTGATTTCACTGCATAGAATGGCTAAACTGATTGTTTAAGTAGCCTTTTTTCTGGTTTACCTCAACTCCTGGTAACTCACGCTTCCACAAATCGAGTCGGCTCAAAATCTCGTCTAGGTTCACCAAACAAAAGGCAGTTTCGATTTCCTAGAAAATTTTTAAGTTCTCATGATGCTAAACCACCTTGCTGTTCCTTTCAAGTGCTTCTTGTTGACAAATTTTTTCGACATTAACAGGTCCATCGAATATTCGAATCTTAACAGAGTAAATTTGAATTTAAAATGGAGATTACTCTGTCGAAATCCATAGAAGTCCAAGTAAAGCACGATTTGCAATGACCGAAAAGGCTGGGAAAATGATAAGTTGCCTTTTCCTATTTTTTGCCCACTACATGGCAACTCCAAACTAGAAACATCCTTTCACTTTCTAGCCTTTATGTGCTAATTGTGCCAATACACAAAGCTATTAAAAAACTTTATTCAGACAGGACCCGTATCACCAAAAGATTATAACAGATGTAGTAAAAGCAAAAATCAATCATCGGAGCATGAACACTTACAAGACTCAGCCAAAAACATTTAAACGTAAATAAATAATAAGAAATAGACATTTACTTCCAGAGTTTCTTGATGGACATGTTCTTGTCGGAATCCTTTTGCATCACCTAAAAGGAACAAGTTAGATGGAGATCAGATTTTTAAAAGCTACCTTTCCAACAGCCATTTCAAAATCTTCTTGTGTCACATGGATACGGCGTTCACGTAGGGCAAACATTCCAGCTTCGGTACAGACGGACTAAATTTTTATTATTAAACCTGACCACCCTTTTAAATAAAGAAGTAAAAACATATATTGAATAAGCAAAGCTGTGCTTAAAGCAATCAATCTTTCCCACCTTAACTTCGGCTCCACTCGCACCAGGAATTTGCTCAGCAATCTTACGCATGTTAATTCCACGCATCAGATTCATTTTTCTCGAGTGAATCTAAATATAGTTTGAAGTTGAGAAAATAATCTTCAACTTTTACTTTCAAAATATCGGCACGAGCGTTCTCATCAGGCGCTGGGAACTCAATTTTTCTGTCGATACGTCCTGGCCGAAGAAGAGCCGGGTCAAGAATGTCGATTCTGTTCGTGGCCATAATCACCTAAGTAAACATTTATAAATTATTTTAAAAGCTTCGCATTACCTTAATGTTTTTGGTGGCCTCGAAACCATCAAGTTGGTTGAGCAATTCGAGCATAGTACGTTGCACCTCAGAATCTCCACCAGAGTGTCCCTCTACTCTAAAAGTAAAATTGCAATGCATTTAAAATCTACATGCTTTATGTTTTAACGCTTAATTAACCTGCTGCTACCAATCGAATCAATCTCATCCATGAAAATAATTGAAGGTGCGTGTTCTCGTGCCATTACGAAAAGTTCACGAACCTAAAACACACCTTTGCAAATTTAAACTGTTAGGAATCTTTTACCATTCTTGCTCCTTCTCCAATGAATTTTTGCACAAGTTCGGATCCAGAGACACGAATAAATGTGCACTCTGTGTGATGTGCCACTGCACGAGCCAACAGCGTTTTCCCCGTTCCAGGAGGCCCATAAAGAAGCACACCCTAAAATTAAAGTAGTCGAGTTAATTTGTGAACCAAACCTTTGGTTGCGCAATTCCGAGAGCTTCGAAAAGTTCTGGGTGTTTGACGGGAAGCTCAATCACTTCTTTGATCTCCTTGATTTGTTTGTCGAGTCCTCCAACCATCTCGTAGGTTGAATCGGGAACCTTTTCGACCATCATCAGTGATACAAGAGGATCAACCTAAACAAAAGTAAAAGAATGACAAATTTATAATGTTACCTTGCTGGGAAGAATTTTATGGAGTGCATAAGAATCAGCTCTTAACGCAACTCGACTTCCAGTGTTCAACGTGTTGACATCGATGTTCTTGTCAAGGTCGACCACATATTTCCCTTCCGGATGTACCTAAACATTTGATGTTTAGTTACGCAAAAATGACCGTTGAAAACTAAATATAAACAACTAAAATAAAACTGACTTTAACGAGAACTTTTTGCTTGTCCATTGGCTTGCTGACTTCACCCACATACGACCCCTGTTCATGCAATTGTTGCAGTTCTTCCTTGAGTAGACGAACCTAAAAACACGTTTTTTTCTGCTACTTTCTGCTTTCTGTTTTTTTTTACTTTTATTTTTACTGCAACACTTTTAATTTATCCTCGCCCACATTAACTATTTCAATTACGCTTCAAACTTTATTACATCACACCATTTCAAAATGATCGCCAACCTTTGTATTCAGTTCGTTTCTCTGCGCTTGCAAGCGTCGCACATTTTGTGTTTTTTCGAGAAGCTTTTGCTAAACAAAAAATAATAAAATAATAAAAACTTACAAACCTGTGCATTGTCGACCTTGGTCTTGTAGTAGTTCTTCAACGTCTGCTCCTGATCGACTTTCTGGGTGGCGACTGGTGGAACGGTTCCAAAGTTCGGAGGCATTGGCGGCATTTTCACTAAAGATATGATTGTAAGTCATGTAAAGCTGAAACTCGAAAACAAATAATAATATTAGCAAGTTCCAGACCAGGGAAACAAAAAGGCGTGCGAACTTTTGGCGATGACAAAACGAAAAGCATAGATTTGAAGTGTCGTTTGAGTATGAGCGTACTGTGAAAAGTGTCGGGAAAGGGAAGCTTGCGTTTTTTAAACTTAAACTTTTAAACTAACGAACTTGTAACGTTGGACAAGCAAAATGAGACCATAATAATTTTTGCAGATTAAATACCCTTTCGCTTGACAGTAAAATTTAAGATATTGAGTAAAGGGATTAAATATCATTAGTACACAAAAGTATATAAACTAACCGCGTTCGCCAATTCCAAAAAATTGAGGCCTTCGAGGATCCGCAAACCTTGAAATTTTATTTTTCCTACTTCTTTTGCTAGCTTTCACCGGATTACGTTGTAAATTTTAGATGAATGGCGCCAATCAGATCACAGAATTGCTCGGAGGGCCAAGTTTGGAGGTAATTTTTTCGTTTTACAACGTGTGAAGTACTGTTAAAATTTTGTTTAATATATTTTTTGTTTTAGCAACCGCTCTCGCTCGAGAAGAAACCCGAAGGAAGTTTCATAGACCAAACAATCAAAGGCCTTTCGAGTAACCCGTTGTTCAGTGCCGGTGCCGGACTTGCAGGAATAGGTGAGTGTTAGAAAGCGGTACTTTTCTGGTTTGTTCCCAACCCAAGTATAGAGAAGATAGCATGATTTGTTTGAGTAAGTTCGAATTCCGTGCAAGTCGAGTTTTTTAGGTATGGCTGTTACGTTGTTGAAACGCTTTGCTGTCGTGGGATCATCGCTACTCCGTCGCCGTTACATTGTCTCTCTACAGTTGAATAATGAGGATCCGTAAGTGGCTTCACTTTTTGCCCCATAAACTTTTATTCTTTAGGGCTTATTCTTGGCTTCTTGACTTTGTCAATCGACATAGCAATCGTTCTGCGAGAATGTTGTCCGGACATACTTCTTTAAAGGTTAGAAAATTCGATAAAAATTTTGTTTTAAGCTTGGTAAAATGAGCATCTTTTGCTAGTCTTCAAAACTTTTTAGATTGGTGAGAGCGGTCGGGCGGCAATTTCTGTTGCGTCACTCCCTGGTCACGGAAATCACTATTTCTCCTACAAATATCGATGGATTCATGTTGGTTTGTCTTGCAATTTAATGAATTTTATTTTTCATTTAGTGTGAACGAACTCGTGAAGAGCATACCGTGTCGATTGATGGGCGAAGAACTCCGTTTGAGACGGTCACACTCACAACGTTAGGGACGGAACCGAAATTTCTGCTTCGTATGGTCGAAGATGCTGCGACGGAGGCGCTTTCTAAGGTAAAGAGTCATAAGTAAAATCAAAACTATAATGTCAATTTTTAGATTGATACAGGGCTAGTCGTCTATAAAGCGCTTGGCCCAGAATGGAGAAGATCAGGCGTGCCGAGACCGAAGCGACGTTTGGATTCAGTTGTATTGAAAGAAGGAATGACTTCACGAATCGTCGACGATATTGAAGAGTTTGTGGCTTCCAGAAAATGGTACGTACGAAATTGAGTTTTTTTTATATTTATCAAACAAGCTCTTTGAAGTTGCTTTCTAAAGTTGGATCAAGAATGGAAGGTTATATTTAGGTACGAAGAAAGAGGCGTCCCCTATCGACGTGGTTACCTCTTCTATGGTCCTCCGGGCACCGGTAAAAGCAGCTTCATCACTTGCCTAGCAAGCCATCTCGGGTATTCGGTTTGTATCATGTCGTTGAGCGACCGACTCCTCGATGACGACAGGTTTATATAATTTTTTAAATAAATGCTTGAGTGTTTTTAAGGCTAAATTTACTCCTCAACACACCTCCACAAAATAGTATCATCATTCTTGAAGACATTGATGCGGCGGTGACGAATCGAGAGGATCCAAAAAACTCAGATCCAATTTACCAAGGAATGACAAGGCGGGCAATTTCAGAAACCATTTTTTCTAATCTTTTTGCGTTTTAGAGTCACCATGTCCGGATTATTAAACGCGATCGATGGTGTCGGATGTGCAGAGGAAAGACTCCTCTTTATGACAACAAATCACGTTGAAAGGTTCGCCAAATGTTATATTTTTTAATTTGAATAAATTTAGACTAGACAGTGCTCTGATCAGACCTGGACGAGTCGATGTAAAAGAGTATTTTGGCAATGCTACGCAAGAGATGATGGAGAATGTTTGTTTTTTTTCTTAATGCACAAAAATGTCATCTTGTTTAGATGTTTATACGCTTTTATGGAGATAATTGCTCTGCTGATGACGCGGTGGAATTCGCGAGGCAAGCTGCTTCACTTGAAGTCGAGATTTCTCCAGCCACACTACAGGTACAAAGGATTTATAACGATACTGATTTTTACTGGTTCCGAGCTTTATCATTGCTTTAGGGCCATTTCCTCCTTTACAAAAAGGATCCGCGATTAGCGATCAGCCATGTGGCAGATATGAAACAACCACTTCTACGGTAACAAATTTTCTGATGGTTTTTTAGGTTTAGTTAGTTTTGATATGTAATGCTTGTATTGTTGTTTTTGAGTCTCATTTTTATTTTGGTTTTCTGTATGTTAAGTCATTTGCGTGTTATTGTTTGAAGCTTTAGGTTTATTGGATGAATAAAATGATTATTGGATTGGTCTTTTTGAAATGGCACTTTGAACTCTTTCCCTAAAATAGATAGTAGATATTTAATGGTAAAATTAAAACCAATTTTCTTGAGAGATTGCGAAAAGATGCTCGGGTGGGCGAAAACCGTTGAAGTTCGAAGCACAAGCACAACTAAAATTGTGTATGCTTTTAAAGAGCTACAAAATATTTATCTAGCCAATCCGCCTTATTATTCTACGATCAATCATGCCGTACTACATGTTAGTGGTCGCTGTTAGATATTACAGTTTTTAATTACCTATAAGCACCCATGTCTATGTAGTAGATCCATTCATTGGTGTTCATCTTTTCGATGAGGCGATCCTCCTGAAAAAGCTTTTCGAAAAACTGCTCCTAGCTACCGTACTTCCGGATGGCTTATAGTTAACCTTTAAATGTACCTCAATCTTATCCCATGTATCACACGTGGGCCCGAAAATAGTCGATCGCAGGTTTGGGCGATCTGGTTTTGGCTAAAGTTTAGCATCTCGAGTGCTTTGACTTCCTAACTCACATTCAACGGTACTCCTTCCGAGTGAAGGTACAAATTAAATTTGCATGCAAACGAGCCGAACACACCATCATTTAGATAATACTTCATGCAAGATTCAGTCGAGGATCCTAAACGGTTTTTGGAACAAAGTTTTCTTCATAAACTTACTCGTTTCATCGTATTCAGGTGGTACTTCCATCGAGTGGATCACATTTGCACAAAGGGTGAACGGTGCTGCGGAGAAATAGCTGGAGATTAAGGGTAAAAAAGACATTCACAACCTTCCCCAAATGTAATGCATAATTATCTTTTTTCACCCACCGTCCCGGTTCGGCCAACACTTGTACGTTTTTTGTTGAGAAATAGTCCCTCAACGAGTCGCGAATCTCTTTGGCACACTAAATCTATAGATCAGTTTTAGTTCTTCAAATTCTACAAACGTCTTCGAAATTTGCATTCAATTTTCCGCCCGGAAATCCGCCACCAATGTCAATGATTTGCATTGAATGGCCGAGCGATTTCCCGAAATCGTACAAAGTCTTCACCTAGAGTTCAACATGTAAAAGTTGAATTTAAAGATGTTATTAGGCATTGATAGGAGAGTGAGAATTGATGAACTATATATTCCAAGGTACTGTATCCCAAATCTCGCAACTTAAACCTGTTCCAAAGCTCGACGAAAAGACGTCGGATCGCGACAGCCCGAACCAACGTGAAAACTAAAATTCAGAACTGTTTCTGCGCACAAAATAGAAAACCTATCCAAACTTTGACTTTGAAAATTTTCCTTACCTGATCCCAGCAATATTCTGTCCCAACTTCTTCGCTTCCATCAACAAATCGGGGATTTGCCTCGTGCCTTCAGCTCCAAATTTCCCACTCAATGGAGTCATTGCCGATTTATCCGAAGTAGCCAAACGGATGATAAGACTAAAATTTTCAATTAAATCTAATAACCTTTTGAATACAATTTTCTTAAACTTTAACGAACTCGGCTTTTGGGTAGATTTCGTGGATCTTCAACAACTCTTCTCGACTGTCCAATGTCATCATTTTGACACCGACCTCTTTTGCGAAATGAAATGTGAAGAGAATTTTTAATATTCTTGAAGACATTTTATTGATTAGAACTAACTTTTATGTAAGCACTTGGCTTTGCCGGATTCGCGAAAATCATTCGATCTGAAGTGACGCCTAGATCGAGCATCTGAACTTTCAAATAAAACACGAGATGATAATTGTCATAATTTTTAACAAAATTTAACAAAATTACGATTATTAGATCGGAATAGTTATTTCATTTAATCATTTATTTTTTTTTTTGTATTACTTGCTCGATCTCTCCACGACTGGCGCAATCAAAGTTGACACCAAATGCGGCGAGAATACGCAGAATGACTGCACTCGGATTTGACTTGACTGCGTAAAAGGGCTAAAAGGGTAAGATTTTATGATTTTTTTTTTTTCAGAAACATCTTTAGTTTATAAGTTTTAAGAATCTGACAATGTATTTGTTGCTTTTTTCGCAAAAAATCTTACCATAACCCCCGGTAGCTCTCTCATCCACATATCGTATCGATCGATGAGTGTATCCAAATTAACCAGCAGAAATGCGTCTTGATTATTCTAAAGAAATAGCTTTAAATTCAGCTTTAAAACCTGTTCTACGAGAAGATCAAAAAATTCGAGAGGCGCCACCGGGACTTGAACCCGTGATCTTTCGGCTATCCGCCAACTGTGCTAACCACTACACCACAACGCACTTGGGAACCCTGGCCTCCCGAGGCAGTTAACTTACCGATTCCTCGCGGTTTTTTGCTATCTCTCGACTCAACTCCAAACTCTCAATGCGACTAGGATGCACACAAATCTGAATCTTTAAAAAAATCGCTTCCATATTTTGTTTTTTAATTTGTTTCCATCTTGATCAAATTTTTTATCAATAAAACAAATTCCCAACCTGTGTCTCATAAAAGTTTTCGATTCTCGTCCTCAATTCACTCGTTTTCTCTTTGGAAACCATTTTCTATAAAAAAAAAAGAAATTTTTTAAGACGTTTGAAAAGATTTACTTGAGATTAGCTGTGAAAAACTTTGCTTTGCTCAACTTTGCTATTCTCTTATCAACTTGAGACAATTTAATGGTCAATCATGCCTTGAAAATGAAATTTTATCAATATTTCTGGAATTGCAGAGTTTCGCAGAGGCGGTTTCTTTGATTTTCGCATTTGGTGTGTAGGGCTGAATAGAATAACGGACTTTCTAGAGAACAATTCTATTAAAAATCATTTAGAGATTAAGCTCGTTTAGAAAATAACGTCGAGTTTCAATTCTAAACTGAGTCGAAAAAATTCGACTTCTGCAGATTTTCAGGTACTCTTTTACTTTAGAAACCCGCAAACGATGGCTTCCACTTTTTTTTTTAAATTCAATAATTTACATAAAGATTATATCGATTATTTTTGAAAAAACACGTTAAATAATTATTCTTATTATCTCGCACAATGGATCCGCTCGACTTCTTCGACTTCCTTCAAGAGATGAATCAACAAAAGCTGTTCACTCGAACCCTCGGGGTCCAAAAAAGCAGACGCGCGCACTAACCACTATACCACCGTTGACTGGAGACAGTGCGTCGCGCCCATAAAGAGACCCTAAAAACTTGTATGCCAAATATCTCATGATAGAGAAGCGTTTGGCAAAAAGTGATTCCAGATTCGGAATCAGCGTGAAAAACTGCATCAGATAGGATATTTTCCAAGTCAAAAGCCACGATAAGTTAATAACATCCCCTAGTTAGATGTGCCTGAAAGAGTGCGTTTCTATTTTCTTGAACACAAAGCACAGCAATAGTGTCTACGATTTTCACTTTCATTATCTTTCTTGGCAAAGCTAAAATGTCTGTATTTAGTCTGTATTTTCTGACCTCTACAGGTCATCTCGATATCTGGGAAGCTCGTCATTACTTGAACACTCTCTTTGGTCACTTCTCGGAGTCCATCTGCGACCTTTCCCACCCAATTCCCCTTTACTTTCCTCTCCCTTCTTTCTTTTTTTCACATGATTTCTTCTTGAGATAAGAGTTCCCTTTTCACCAAATTCCCCTCTTTTCAAAAAGAAATGTTCGGGATTCCTTGCGGCTACTCTGGTTATTTCAATTTCGAAAACTTTTCAATACTGATACATTTTTCTTTTTAGATTGTAGACCTTAATACCGTATTTCTTCGAATAGAAGACCGGGTAAAGAGTATCATCGCGTACTCCTGCGTAGCAGCCCTTTTAAAAACTTCTTTTCTGCATAAAAGCTTTCAATGAAGTGCTATAGGGCTGGAAAATGGCACAAAAATCTGTTAGCTCATGTGGTATTTTTGAGCCATTTTCCAGCCCTATAGCACTTCATTGAAAGCTTTTATGCAGAAAAGAAGTTTTTAAAAGGGCTGCTACGCAGGAGTACGCGATGATACTCTTTACCCGGTCTTCTATTCGAAGAAATACGGTAAGTGCAACAAAATGAAACCAAAAGCATAAAGATTGGCCGTCTAATTGTAGAAGAAAGTTACGGCGAGTTGCGCAAAAAGAATTGCGAAAATTAGCCCACCTGCAAATTAAGAGGGGTACGGTAGTTTTGCCACGCTTTAAAGCGCCAATCCAGGATTTTCTCGGAAAAAGTTCGTAAGCCCGAAAACTTTTTCTTAAAAGCTAATGACCGTAATGATCATAATTCTTTTTGAATTTCCTTTAATTAACAACATTTCGGATTTCTTCTTGAGATAAGAGTTCCCTTTTCACCAAATTCCCCTCTTTTCAAAAAGAAATGATCGGGATTCCTTGCGGCTACTCTGATTATTTCAATTTGAAATTGAACCTTTCAATTTTCAACAATTTTTGTCCAAACTTTTTCTTTATCTATTATAATGTAAAATTCCTTTCTTTCTATTAAATGAGAGCTTTTCTTTTGGGTGTAAACGATGAGAAGTCTAATCTTCTCACTTCTCCTCGTCGGTGTCTACGGCGGTGCATCGAACACCGTAAACACTTGGAATGGAACTCTCTCTTACATTGAAGATTGGGGATATGTCAAGGTAAAGAGATTAGCTTTATTCTCATAAGAGACTAACAAAATATAAGAAAGAGACTTTGAAAAAGGACAAAAGTTGATTGATAGCAGATGAACGAGTTTCAGGTTATTTTAAAGACTATTTTAGTGTAAAGTTTAGCCTCGGTTTACTGCAGACCTAGCTTCTGACCTAGCCAGCTTATAGATCTGGATGATTCCTTGTCTAACTCTTGTACAACACATTTATTGAAGTGCCTTATTATTAAGGGATTTCAGATTCGTGACAACGCAAACACTTTCTGGTGGCTCTACTCCGTGCAACCGTCTAACAATCGACCGCTTTTCCTTTGGCTCCAGGTTTTCGTTCTCTATTATTATCAGAAAAGAAAGCGGAAATTAGAATTTTAGTTTCTGCTTTAGTAGTTTTATGAGAAGGCCTCGGATTGATAAGAAGCTTTTCATCCATGCAATTTTTTGATACTGTGACATCAGAAAGATAATATGGAAACGTTTATTAAGCCTCTTTGTCTAATCAAAACTTATACAATAAAGCAGTAAAAGCTATTTCGGAAATTTGTTTCATTTTGAATACTATACTTGTGAAATCGATGGTTTTATAGTTTTTGGATTTCGAGAGGAGAACTTCAATAGCTTTATTTTACGTTACTAAAGAAACATTCAATAGAATAGAATTAAGAGAATAGAAGAAAGAGAACAATTAAAGAATCACAGATTTCTGGTGATTCCCACTCGCCGATCCTCTGGATCCAGAGCTATTTCACTTCTCTCTGTGTTCTTTCTCTATTTCTCTGATTTAATACTAGCCAGTTATCTATGCTTCTTGCAAAGACCTTCTTTTTTTCTCTATTCCTTACATGATAAAGTTACTTAGGGAGGACCCGGCTCGTCATCATCTGGCTACGGTAATCTCGAGGAACTCGGCCCAAAAGATCTCGATGGGAAAGATAGAGCGAGTACTTGGGTGAGTGCTGAGCATAATGAAATTGAAGCAAAATCAAAACAGATATCTATAAATAACATTACATTGTCAGCTAGATATTCGATTCTGTCCTCGACAGTCAATGCGGTGGACTAAAAACTGAGCTAAGACGCAATTTCTGGTTCGATTTCGAAATCTAATACTACTCTGACTATAGGCAACACTATATCATGGCTACATTTCAAGTATAATCATATAAAATGATATAAAACTTATCTAAAAGTTCATTTCCAGCTCCAAGTAGCCGATTTGGTCTTTGTCGACAATCCAGTCGGTGCCGGCTTCTCCTACGTGGATGACTCGAGCGCTTACACAAAAAATGTGACACAAATTGGTGAGTTTCTTTAAGCTTTTCATCAATTTTAATTATTTGGCTTATGTTTAACATCTTTGTTTAACAAAATGAAATTTCAGGCCAAGATCTTCTCGCATGGGCGAGAGCCTTTTTCACTGTCCATCCCGAGTACCGAACTCGTCCCTTCTACATCTTTTGCGAGAGCTACGGTGGAAAGATGAGTGCCGAGTTTGCGAGAGTCATCGTGCAGGTGAATTTCACTCAAAATCAGCTTAGCTTACAGTAGTTCTTTAGAACAACAACATCTTGAGGATTAACTTTAAAGGAGTGGCGCTTGGCGACTCGTGGATCTCGCCGATGGACTATGTGAATAGTTGGGGGCCATATTTGTATGCTAATGTAAGTCGGATTTGGCACAAAACCTTTAGTAAACAATTCTCTGAATTGGTCACTCTATAGAGTTATCTTTTAGTCCTACCTGGACGATATCCAGTTGAAACAAGTGAACGCTCAGGCGGCTCATTGTCAGAAATTGGTTGACAACCAACAGTGGAGTCAAGCGACAAACTGTTGGGGAGATATGGAGGATCTGATTGGAACGGTGAGTACAACTAAAACTGATACAATATTTGAAAACATTCATCCTTTTATTTACAGGTAACCGGTGGAGTCTCATGGTACAACATTTTGAAGTACGGAGATCAAGATGATTGGTCAAAGAAGAGAAGAAAGAGGGAAATCGATCTGGATAAGGACAATCACGTGCTACCTGAGACAATTCGTTGGTTGAAACAACGATTTCACAGATAAAATTTGTGTTTAGAACGCTTGTACAACCGTCACGTGAAACCGATGTACGATGTGGATCTAAATGATTACATGGACACGGTGGTCAGACAAAAGTTAGGCATCATTCCGCCGAAAGTCAAGTTTGGAGGTGAGTTCTCGTTTTATTTAAGGTTTTATTTATTCTTTCAGGTCAATCCAATCAAGTCTTCTCGATGCAATACGGTGATTTCATGGTGCCTAACTATGATACAGGTTTGGTAATCTTTTAGGAAACTTTCTTTCCATTTTTCTTTACTGATTCATTACCTTTCTTGGGCTTTTCTTTAGTTGATTGGCTTCTCAAAAATCAAACGAATGTCATCGTTTACAATGGAAATCTTGATCTCATCTGTGACACGATTGGCACGGAAATGTGGGTGAATCGATTGACGTGGACGGGCATGCAAGGATGGAATACGGTTTATTTTGATATATGAATCTTATGAGTTTAAAAAGAAAAAAGACTGAAAAAAGCTGAAAGAAAACACTTTAGAAACACTAAAAAGTCTTTTGAGGGAGTTTTACGAAAAAATAAAGAGTAGGGAGAGGAACCGGAAGGAAAAGCCGCATTAGCTTGGTAGCCTATCGCACTAACCCCTAAACCACTACTGCTTTTCTTCCTCTCGGCGTGTCACCCTCTTATAGGTGGAACCGGAACCGGGAGGAAGAGCTGAATTAGCTTGGTAGCCTATAGCACCCAACCCCTACACCGGCGCTACTTTTCTTCCATTCGGCTTGGCGCCTTCTTATATGTCGGGTGCTTGCATCTCATCGCCGTTTAAAAGTCTCACACACTCTTTGGAACTTTTTAGTTGATCTTAGCAAGCAAGATTTCTGAATCTTTTAATCACTTAACTCCCTCTGGAGTGAGGGAGATCAAGTTAGTTGTGGTGTAGCGGTTAGCACGGTTACCTGGTAAGCGAAAGATCGGGTTCGAGTCCCGCCGCCGCCCAATTTTTTGATCTACCCTAGCTCCAACTAATCACTTTTTGTCTAAAGCAAAAATCTCACCTCTAACTTTGTAGCTAGAGAAATTTTGAGTATAATCAGCCAATTCTCGACATCATTTCAAAGTGAACGTCAAAATTGCAGTCAACTCGTACGCGTTTCGGCACGAAGAGCTTCCCATTGGCCGGCTACGTGAAACGTTACGGAAACTTTCAATTCTGGTGGATTCTCCGAGCCGGGCACATGGTTTGTTACACTTTTACTGCTCGACGTGTTCAAAAGTCACACTCGAACACCCGCAAAACATGACTGTTCCCCAAAAATTTGCAGGTGGCTCACGACACCGAGGAGTCATCAATCTACATGCTCTCACAAATCCTTAAAACAACCTAAAGCTCAAGTCTTGATCGTTTAAATTATTCTCAGAAAAAAAAGTCAAATTTTGTATATAAAATCTTTTTTTGAATTCGATTTTTGAAAATAATCGTAAAATGACAAATACAAAAAAAAACATGAAACTGCCTTTTTTCTTTTGGCAAAAGCTGACGAGCCGAGACTTCAGTATTTTGACTGACTGGAAAAGTATTTTCGGGGAATGATTCAAAAGAAACACACAAACCATACTTCAATAAATTCAATTTCTCCTTTGCTTTGTCTCATGTGTTGTCTCCAAAACGCTGAATTGACCAACCAATTTTCATTTCACATCTAAACGCTTTCAAATTCAATGCTTTCTCCATTTCTCTTGATTCTCACAATTTTATGCTTTGTTAAAGCTGCGCAAATACGATCGCCAAGCAAAAACTTGACAAGTGAGCTGAGTTAAAAGTGCAATAAGAAGCTGAGCATAGTCAAAGATAATCTAGAGTAATCTGAGAGTTAATAAAAATTAGTAATTGAATAAACTGAAAGAAATTCAAATAAAATGAATCTATTGCCTACAAACTAGCTTCTGAAATAAAAAAAAACGATCAATTTGTACTTAAAAAATGCTAAAGTTTAACGCTAAAGTTAAACGCTAAAGTTTAACGCTGTAGTTTAACGTTAAAGTTTAACGCTAAAGTTAAACCTTAAAGTTTAACCTTAAAGTTTAACGCTAAAGTTTAACGCTGAGGTTTAACACTAAAGTTTAACGCTAAAGTTAAACGCTAAAGTTAAGCGTTAAAGTTAAACGCTAAAGTTAAACGCTGAGGTTAAACGCTAAAGTTTAACCTTAAAGTTAAACGCTAAAGTTAAACGCTGAGGTTAAACGCTAAAGTTTAACCTTAAAGTTAAACGCTAAAGTTAAGCGTTAAAGTTTAACGCTAAAGTTAAACGCTAAAGTTTAACGTTAAAGTTAAACGCTGAGGTTTAACACTAAAGTTTAACGCTAAAGTTTAACGCTATAGTTTAACGCTAAATTTTAGAATGTGATTCAAAAAACGATACTTTCTCGTGTGCAATCCTTGGACTGAAGAATAAAGCTGATGAACAAGCTCACTACTGTGTACCTTCAAAGCTCGTTCACAAGTTTTCTGCGAAAGGAACCTGTGAAGTTTATGGTCAGTTTCTTGATTGATTTAAAAAACAGCAAAAAAACAAATTCATTTACTAGATTTCTTCTAATGACTAAGATTAAAATCGGCGAACCGAAAAAAAATTAGTAATTCAATAAACTGTAATTCCTCCACATAAACAAAAAAAAATTTCAAAATCGTTAAAAAAACCTTTATTAAACAATAGCCTATCGCTTAAAATATGCAAAAAATTTGTTTAAAAGTGAAATTATTTTCTTAACTAGACTCCAGAAAATTAAAAAATTTTTTTTTAAAAATTGATGTAGGGGACCACATAAAAATTTTCCGAAAAATTATTTTTAAATTTTTTTTGGAAAACTATGATTTCAATTTACTATTAAACTTAGAATGTATCTCTATCTATAATAGCTAAAAAGAAGTCATGAAAAGTCCCGAGGAGTCTTCTTTTGAGGAGTCTTCTATTAAAATAATATGGTACTTTAGTGTCGGACAAAAAAAACAAGTTATGCGCAAGTGACATGGTGGCTTGCCCCAATGGACTCAATGGGTTTGTGGCTAGCTTGTGCACAATTCTCAAAACTAATGCCATTCGATTCCAGTCGACAATGTGTTTATTGGTTGTTCATCAAAGATTACGATTTGGTTGCTGATAAATGTATTTACTTGACAGGTAGTGCAATTGGGGTCAGAAAAAACGAATGAGTTTAGATGATATTGATACTTCAAAGTTAAACGCTAAAGTTTAACGCTAAAGTTAAACCTTAAAGTTTAACCTTAAAGTTTAACGCTAAAGTTAAATGTATTTACTTGACAGGTAGTGCAATTGAAATCAGAAAAAACGAATGAGTTTAGATGATATTGATACTTCAACTCCAATTGTCAGGACCACAATAACCACAAAGTAAGTTATCAAAGTAAAATGGAAGCTGGTTTTGGAGGAATTTGAAAGTCGGCCAAAAGATTACACGCTGCCGGGAGTCGAACCCGCGACCTTCCCCTTACCAGCCAAATATGCTAACCAATACACCACAAGGGTCTTGATCGCCTTGACTCTAGAGGGGGTTAAATTGGATGACCAACAATCATTTTCACAATTCACTAAACATTTAGAGAACAATCAAACAGTACATTCTCTGCGGATGATGTGGTGGCAAAAGAGAAAAGGTTTGAGTTAACATCCTCTGGATGAATCTACATCAAATGGGTTTTGGTGTAGAGGTTAGCACAGTTGCTTGCTAGGCGAAAGGTGCGGGGTTCGAGTCCCGGTAGCGCGCGATTTTTTTGCCCTATTTCAAACTTTTGTGTTTCTCCTTCACCGCTACATACTTTGACTTTGAGCAAGATCTAGAGCAAATCCTAGTCCAATAAGGGACTAGGATTTCCCTATGAATCAAATCCCTATGAATCCTAGTCCAATAAGGGACTAGGATTCATAGGATTTGATTTGGCTTATCGTTGATTTCCTTTCAACACCGAGCTCTAGAAATCATTTGGTTCGATATGCCAAATTTCAGCGCCGCTCCAATCTCTTACTCGTCGACGCCGTGGTGGATGACAATCTACATGATTCTATGCACCGTTCTACTCACTTTTTGTGCAATTTATCAACTTTTTAAGTACTTTTTAAGGGAGAAAAAGTCTGGAAAGTACCCAGTGAAACGGATGAATGAAGTGATTGCGGGAAATGATCGATGAACATTTCAAAAAGCTTATTTGCTAATAAATCTTTAAAAGACAAGTAAAATAGTCAAAACTACACTCTCTTTTTTGATAAGAATCTTTTGTTTTCTCTTCTTTCTTTCTCTTCTTTCTCTTCTTTCTCTTCTTTCTCTTCTTTGTTTCTTTCTCTTCTTTCTCTCCTTTCTTTCTTTCTCTCCTTTCTTTCTTTTCCTCCTTTCTCTTCTTTCTCTTCTTTCTCTCCTTTCTTTCTTTCTCTCCTTTCTCTTCTTTCTCTCCTTTCTCTTCTTTCTCTTCTTTCTCTTCTTTCTCTTCTTTCTCTTCTTTCTCTTCTTTCTCTTCTTTCTCTTCTTTCTCTTCTTTCTCTTCTTTCTCTTCTTTCTCTTCTTTCTCTTCTTTCTCTTCTTTCTCTTCTTTCTCTCTTCTTTCTCTTCTTTCTCTTCTTTCTCTTCTTTCTCTTCTTTCTCTTCTTTCTCTTCTTTCTCTTCTTTCTCTTCTTTCTCTTCTTTCTCTTCTTTCTCTTCTTTCTCTTCTTTCTCTTCTTTCTCTTCTTTCTCTCAAGAAACTTCTCAGATCTCATTTCCCCAAAAATTAACATAAACGTGTCGATTTGGTGAGAGGAAATAAAACCGGAAATTGAGCAATGAAATTTCTTTCAAAAGATAAAAAGAACTTAGCAAAAAGAATCTAAAAAAGGATTGGATTTAGAGCTTTTTTGGATATCGTTAGATCTCTAATTTGTTGAGATCTTTGCTCAAACTATTCTCTCCATTAAAAATGAAAATCTTTTTCTTATTACTGTTTCTTTTAAAGTTTACTGTTAGTCTGAAAGATTTTGAGACTTTTCCGAAAAGTTTCTTTGATCAAAAGATTCGATCGTTTGATGAGGCATTTGAAGAGGTGAGCGGCATTCGATTTCTGAAAAGATTGCTGAAGATTATCGTAGACTTAAGACTGTAGACTGTAGATTTAAAGAAAGCTACAGTAATCTTTCCCTCAGCTTTTCTATTTTGATCTTTTCCTCAGCTTTCCTAATTCACAATTTGATTCTCGATTAAATGAGAACAAAATTAAAGAAATCAAGATTAAAGGGGAAAGGATTACGGTTCACTTTCGAAAATCTACCGTAATCTACCGTAATCTATCGTAATCTACCGTAATCTACCATAATCTACCTTAATCTTGACATTTGCAAGACTATTTAGCCACTATCTGGGTTTGAGAATGACGAGAATTTGAATCAAATTGATTCTGATGAAAGACGATTCACGAATGAAACTCTTTTCCATTCCTCAGCTCGTCATCATGCAGTAAGCTTTTTGAAAATCTTTAAAGAGATAAGATTATGGGTTTTTTTCTTTTTTAAAGATCTTAGAAACTAACAGAATATGTCAGACTCTTTCTCTAGAGTTTCCCAATCGAAAAAACTTCATTTTAGATCTCACGTCTATCGCGAAAAGCCACCAAACATCGTTTGCTCGTAAGATTTACCCGAAGATTCTAAATTTTAAAATTGAAAACTTTCAGAAATCCTTTTCCACTACCCAATCCCATTTTTAAGATCCAATCTTTCTTTTTCCCATTTTTAGGAACTAATCTTCACCCGTTTCCCCCAATTGCATCGGGTTCAACGCAAAGCGATGCGTTTTGTACTTAAAAAAGCCTCAAAATACGAATTGACGAATGCTCTCGTCATCTTCAAGAAGTTGTGCCCGACAAAGCACAATTGTGATTTATTGCCACCGCTTCGTTTTATGGAATATCCGATACAAGTGGGAATTTGAAACAAAAGTGTAGTTTTGCTATGAGTTCAAAAAGTTTTATCGAAAATTCCGTCCTCGGGGATCGAACCCAGGGGGCTTCGAGAGCGTTCGCTTTCAAGGCCAGAGCTTTACCACTGAGCTATAGCCGGTACTGGAAGCTGTCCCTTCCAAAAGGCTCATAACAGCTCACTATAAGCCTCTCTTTGGGATCCTTGTCCAAGTAATTAATCAATAAAATCAATAAAATCAATAAAATAAAGCCAATATCCAGTACTCGCGTCAACACCGGATTGCAATGTGTATGATCCCGAAAAGCATTACAAAAAAAACATGACATTACAAACAGTTCTGTCCAAAATTCCGTCCCTGGGGATCGAACCCCGGGGGCCTCGAGACCATTCGCTTTTAAGGCGAAAGCTCTACCACTGAGCTATAGCCGTACTGGGGTTGTCCCTTCCAAAAGGCTCATAACAGCTCATGATAAGCCTCTCTTTGGGATCCTTGTCCAAGCAATTAATCAATAAAATCAATAAAATAAACCCAATATCCAGTACTCGCGTCAACACCGGATTGCAATGTGTATGATCCCGAAAAATATGTCCACTTTGATGACAGCAATTATGTGCTATCTTCATGATAAAGAACGGATTAAACGAGTGAAGAATAAACGATTTTACGAGCAATGGGGAGATGATCGGTGAATGGAAAAGTTTATGAAGATAGATTAGATTCAGGACTTGTACCAACAATGAGGCTCGATCATGGGGAAAAGTCGAAAGAGGCGTTGGAGCAAGTCGACAGAATATCCGCAAATTCGTGCTCGTTCGAAATCCGGCTGAGCGTTTTTTATCCGCCTATGAGCATTTATGCGTGTGAGTGCTTGAAATTAGCATCGAGCTTAGCAGAAAGGGCTTAACATAGAGCTTAGCGGAAAGGGTTTATTTTCGTTTTAAACCCAACTCAACATCTCAAATTTTACTCGTACTTTGCGTTCTGAAAGTAGAAACATATCTACCCTGGCTTCGTCATTTACAATTAATGTTTTTCCAAATGAATACAATCTAAAAACAATCTTAAACGCATCATTTCTTGATTCAAGTACAATAATATTAATGATATGATATAATGATAATGATTTTTCATTTCAGTGATGCTCGATATTGTCTTGGTTGCAAGAATCAAGCTTGTGTGATCGATACTCTCTACGAGAAATCGAAAAGTTATCTTAAAAATGGACAATCGATCACTAAATTGAGACACGAAGTCTATCACTTTGATGCGCATTTCTTTCCACAATCATGGTAAAGTGAAAGTTCTCTGTGACTGTTCTCTGAGAGACTCACTTTCACTCTCTTCAGTTTATCAGAGATCATAAAGGGTGGCGCACAATTACCCACACTCAATTCAAAATCATATTTTCAACTTTAATCCTTATTGAAATTCCTTGTTTTAGAAATAGCTAGATTTTAGAAATAATTAAAAAGGAGTAAATGATTGCTTTTCTTTCATTTTAAGCTATTGAAACTAGTTATAAAAATCAGAAAATCAAGATTCCGCTACAGGAAACGCGTTTCGCAACTTTGCAACGCTCTAGCCGAAGTTTAGAAACTTTTCTGATCAAATTCAGAAAAAAACATTGCAAGAGAAAGATTCAATTTGATAATAAACAAAAGAATTACGTCAATTGATTGACTAATTCTTTGTTTATTGGCTAAGCTGGAGAAACTGAACAAACTGAACTGAGTACCGGTAATTGTGCGTCACCCTGTAGAAAGTTATGGTCAATGTTATGATAAACATGACCATAAAACTCGTAAATCCCTCTTCCTTAAGGCGTTGCGATTTTCAAACGATGCGTACCGCTTATACACTCATTCATGTGACGAGCAAGAAACAAGAAAAGTTAGCTGATGATATGGCTCACTATTTCAAATGGAAAGGCGTTTCGAGTGAAGATGTGAAATTTGTGAGTTCATAAAATTGATAATAAAAGAATTTCGAATAAATCAAAAAGACTTGTGCTCAAAAGTGTAAAGTTTCCTTTTGTTTTATCCTTTTGTTCCTTTTTATGAGGGTGCAAAGATTGTAGCCGCAAAAATGCATCAGAAAGCATTCTATCGGCTCAAATCGAAAACCCACAAAGCAGAATGATTCCGATATTTGGTAGACTATAAAATGAATACCTCCAATCAATTGGCTGACCCTGAAAACCCAGCTGAATATCTTTTTGTAACATCAACAGAATCCCTCAAAATCACCGGTGTTCTTTGTGCGCGTGCACAATCGCTCTCCATCTAGCAAAAGGCGCTAGCATAAGGGACTTCCCTTTTCTCCCTCATCATCTCTCTTCCAAATCACTGGTGTTCTTTGTACGCGCGCATAATCGCTCTCCATCTGGCAAAGGGCGCTAGCATAAGGGACTTCCCTTTTCTCCCTCATCATCTCTCTTCCAAATCACTGGTGTTCTTTGTACGCGCGCATAATCGCTCTCCATCTGGCAAAGGGCGCTAGCATAAGGGACTTCCCTTTTCTCCCCTCATCATCTCTCTTCCAAATCACTGGTGTTCTTTGTACGCGCGCATAATCGCTCTCCATCTGGCAAAGGGCGCTAGCATAAGGGACTTCCCTTTTCTCCCTCATCATGTCTCTTCCAGGTTCACAACCATATCGCAAACGGTCGAAACAGTCACTCAACCGTCAACAAACATCGATCGATGAACAAGAAAGACCGGTCGAATCTCTACCATACCCCATCGACGTTGAGGAAATTTCTCAGTATTTTCTACTTTGATTACCTGATTTTGGGATACTCCCTTCCAAAAGAATCATTGATTTGAATCATTGTGCTATCATTGTGCATTGAATGCAAAGAATCATTGTGCTATGAGTTTTTTTGCAATATTTTTCTGCTTAAATAAATTATTCAGATCGAATCTCATTCCCTCACTTCACTAGTTCGCAAAAGTTTCGATTCAAATTGCTAATGCCGGAATTTTTTCCTGAAATAAAGCCTCTTTTCTGAAAATTTCTGAGATTCGTATGGAAATTTTCGTGACAAAGAGATCGTTATCGTCGAAGGAAAGGCGTGGAAACGTTGCCAAATTTTTTCTAGATTTAGAAATATTATTGATCATCTAGAAAAAGATTTCAATTCTCTGAAATTCTATAAATATAGCTTTCCATATAAGCCGAATTTTATTGACCTTTTAGCTCATCTTTTTTTTTCGTTCTTTTACTTCACTCTATTAAGATTTATGGAAAGATAGACTTTTCGGAAAGACGAAAAATGATGATGTTTTCTCTGAAATATTTCCCAACTCGAAATGGAATGCATCGAATCATTGCCTTGTTTTGTTTTCTTTTATTCATCTTGTATCAAACGAGACGCTTTCTACGAGATTTTACCGCAATTCGACCACCGTTTTTCGATGGATTTGTCGATTCGAAACATTTTGAGGTACGATTTTTGAATCTAAAGCCACTCTGGACAACTTTTTCATTTATCCAGCAGAAATTGAATTACTTATGAGCTTTCTAGCCCGTTTCAGTTAAGAAATCTTACAGTAAGCAAACTATTATTTTATCTAATGCTTACTGTAACAGCTTGGACTTACAAGGTTGTTAGTGCGAAGGCTAGCGGCTAGCGCGCTATAGCGCCTTCGCGGTCTATTTGGGTTTGGGCTTTAGGCTTTGGCTTAGGCTTAGGCTTAGGCTTTGGCTTTGGCTTTGGCTTAGGCTTAGGCTTAGACCTGGACTTAGTGCGAAGGCTAGCGGCTAGCGCCTCTCACTAAGTCTATTTGGGTTTGGGCTGAACCCCCATTTTCTGGATCTCAACCAGTTCCCGGTTAGGCTTAGGCTTAGGCTTGAATTAAGATTGTTTAAAGATAGGAAAACAGATTCATTAAATACTTTCATGTAAGAATATAGCAAGAATAAGATTTTTTTTATCCAATTTCCAGACCCTCACCAAAACCCATAATCTCAGCGTCGAACAAGAGCTCTTTTTGGTAAATTTTTTGTTTCAAAAACTTTGCATCTATTTTTCTCGATTTCTAGAAAGAAATGATTGCCCGTTTCCCACTTCTCGAGAAACAAATGGAGATTTTGGTGGCATCAACTAGTTCACTTTCGTTTAAAGAATTAGAGAATGCTCATAAAATCCTCAATCTTCTGTGCCCTATACCAAAAATGAATGCGAAAACGTGCTCAATTTTACCTCCATTTGCCTCAATGCCTTCACAATATAAGGTTTGAAGTTTGAAATTAGATTAAAAAAAAAGCGTTTCCTTTTTTTATATATAAGATTTTTCTAGGTTGCTTCAAAATATCGCCTCGTTGCGTGCTCAATCTTCAAAAATATGTCAACATTGCTTTCTTGTAAGTGTTTTTATCTGAAAATCTTTATAGTTAAAAGATTTATCGAAAAACTGAAATTTGGGCAATTGCCGAAGACAAACAAAAAAATTGAATTACTTATGAGCTTTCTAGCCCGTTTCAGTCAAGAAATCTTACAGTAAACAAACTATTCTTTCATCTAATGCCTATTGTAACAGCTTGGACTTACAAGGTTGTTAGTGCGAAGGCTAGCGCTTTCGCAGTCTATTTGGGTTTGGGCTTTAAGCTTAGGCTTAGGCTTTGGCTTAGGCTAGGCTTAGGCTCAGGCTTGGACTTAGTGCGTAGGCTAGCGGCTAGCGCCTAGCACTAAGTCTATTTGGGTTTGGGCTGAACCCCCATTTTTTAGGCTTAGGCTTAGGCTTTTGGCTTAGGCTTAGGCTTAGGCTTAGGCTTAGGCTAAGATTGTTTAAATATAGAAAAAGTTAAAAGAGAGAAAAGTAGTTAAAAAATTAAAAATTAAAAAAATTCAGCTTTAATGTGCTATCTTCATGACAAGAAAATGATGATAAATCACACGAATTTCTACATGGGATGGGACAGTAAAACGTTCGTTTTAAAGGCTAATTTATGTTTTTAAATCTTTTTAAATGTTTTCATATTGATTCCAGTGCTTGTTTACATGAGAATAACGCCGGTTCGTTGATCGATTTGGTGTGGCGATTTGGGATAAGCCCTACTGGCAGCCATAAATTCTCCCTTGTGCGCGAACCAAAAGAGAAATTCATCTCTGGTCATGTCAATCAATGCAGGTTTCATTTTAAACTTTAAAAATCAGCTAATAAATAGAAATCAGATTTCGTTATGAAGTTTTCCTGTTTACAAGAGCTTTTACAATATATAAAAGCTTCAAATTTCGATTTTCCCAAAACTACAAAGGTACAGAAAGACAGGAAAATCAAGCTTTAGTGAAATTTTTGTATAAAATTGAAATCAGAGGAATTTTCTAGCAATCTTTATCATTCTAATTCATTTTAATTTACCCTAAAGTCGCGAGTATAAGTTCTGTTTGGTTTTCGCATGCAAATTGACGGCTGTCATGCAAATTGACGGTGAGTCGAGGATTCGAACCCCGCTGCAGCATAACTTTTTTGCTTTTTAAGAACAATAGAAGTAAATTTATTGAGGGTTATAGCAATTTTATGCTGTTATTTGTTGCTCCGGGCGTGGCTCGGCGCGTCCGCCCTGCTCCTCTCCGGTGCTCAGTCTTATGGATCCCTCCCTGGCCTCTTCATCCGGCCAAAGTCCACGTCGACGGTCGAAAGAGATGCTTTCCAGCGTCTTCTTCAACACTATCGTCTGGATGTATCCATGCACATAACAAATAGCAATGGTCATAGGCTGTCACCCTGTAGTATCCCGCGCTCCAAGAACAATAATAAAAGTTTATATAACAATAAAAATGTATAAAAACCCAACAAAAAGAAATTCAAAGCAATTAAAGCGAATGTAAATTAAGGCAGAACTTATACTCGAGACTTTAAGGTACAAAAAGAAAGGCTTAGGCTTAGAGGAAAAAGATTTGAAACTTTTTTGAAATCAAATTTCGAAATATTTCGGGAAAATCTTTATCGTCAAAGTATCTCTTGTTTCCAGTGAGCTGAACCGTTGTGATTCGTGTCGAAATACGACGTGCACTTTGGATAAAATCGATCGCTATGCAAGGGATTTCCTGAGAAGTGCTCAATACGAAGGACCCGAAACGTATCGACATCACGTCAATGCGCATTTTTTCCCTCAAAACTGGTTTTAGCATTCATTTGTGGCAAATTCTTCTTTTTTTTTGTCATTTAGGCGTTGTGAGTTTGGATCACGTTTTGATGAGTATCAAATCATTCGCTATCACAGTGAAAAGAAAGATGAGTTGAAGAGGGATTTGCGGAGAGTTTTTCAGCTCTCCAAAGTCCCGGAGGGAACGATTCAATTTGTGAGTGCTTGAAAAATGAAATGTTTTTTCTTTTTGGATTTCATTTCATTTAAATCCAAATTTCTGAATGTGATTTTGGATTTGATTTAGTGAGAATCCCATTCGTTTCCCATTATCAATTGCGTTCGTGGTGCAATTCTTAGCATGGATGCCTTTCAAGCATTCGACGGGGGTTCGATTCCTCTCGAACGCTATTTTTGTTTTGCTTTTTCAAAATCGGCACGTTTGAGAGTACTTCGGCACATTTAAATCGGCACGTTGTCGAGAAAAATGCGCCAAAAAAACCCCTTTCTACGCACTGAACTTTCCTTCTGAAAATATCCTTCTTCCTTATTTCCTTCTTCCTGATTTCCTTCTTCCTTATTTCCTTCTTCCTTATTTCCTTCTTCCTTATTTCCTTCTTCCTTATTTCCCTCTGAGAATTTAATACGCATAAAAGCGTGCACCAGAAAGGGTATTTTGATCGATCATTAACGGGCATAAAGTACACCAAAACGAGTCAAACTTTTGCAAAAAAAGGCATCCAAACGAAAGTGAAACCGAAATTTTCTAGTGATCTTATAAATGTAAAAAAAAACAGAGAATAAATAGAATTTCAGCTTTTGGCGAAACTAGATGAAGGTCGAGGAATGCACTCGACGGTTGGCAACTCAAAAACAGCAAAAATCGACGACGATCTCTTGGCAAATCCTCGTCAACTCCGAAAGCTTGTCTCCATCTTTTACTTTGATTATCTCATTTTTCAATATGCTCTCCCGAAATTGACGCATCTTGTGAATACAAATGAATTCCTCGCTCAATAAATGTAGAATTCGATAAAGATATTCAGTTAAATACTTTTTTGTTTACAAGTACAAGTACAAGTTCTCCAAAACTTCCCCCCCTCTTGCCCTCCCCTTTTCCCTTTAAGGATTTGCATTTTTGATTTGGAAACACAGAAATGAATGAGCCAAAGTTTATATTTTAATAAAAAAAATTTCAATTTAAGTTGAAATCTTTGAGTATTGAAGATCGTTTGACAACGTTGTGCACAGTTTGGCGAGTGACCGGAAGCTTCATCTCCTTGCGAACCTCTTCGAGTGATGTCGTCGTGTTGGAAAGACGTCTCGTAATTGCGCGTTCGTCTTGATCGGTCAACTTTTTCTTCCGGTCCCGTGTTTCTTTCTTCTTAGGAGTCACTTTGGTCTTGAGATACGTGCGAACGTCCGATGACGATGAGATACGTGCGAACGTCCGATCTCAGAACGTCCGATGCGATGAGCAATGTCTCTGTTGTTGGAAAGAAAATAATCAGATCTGCAAGGAAAAAGAGATAGTGCATTTTCGAATGTCATTATCCAACAATTAATTGAGCCATTTATTTGGATGAAGAATTATTCGCTCAAAATTATCCAAATAATTATTTATCCGATATCAAGGGCAGCTCTCCACAAATGGGAACGCAATTTTAATCGTCTTATAAAAATAGTTACAAAAGTTTCACAAACGAACATCTATATTTTTATTTTTTTTTTGCCCTAAAATGCTTCGAACTTTATTGAACTTGAAACTAGACTTCGGAAAACAAAACTTAACCAAAACCAAAACTACCAAAACCAAAACCATAACAAAACCAAAACCAAAACAAACCAAAACCAAAACCAAAACAAACCAAAACTCGCCAATATCTCGCGACTGGGAGGAGCTAGCGAAAATCTGTGTGCAGATTTGAAATCAGCATGCAAAAATCTATCCCATAGGCTATTTTTTGTTTCGAAATTTCGAGGTCGTGTTTTGGTCCTTTTTTCGGCCGCGAGATTTTGTGGAGTGAGAAAAAGTGAAAGGCAAATTTGCATTTTACATTAAAATTTGCATTTTACAATTTTAAATTTACATGTTAATTTATATGCAAATTAAGTTTTGGTTTGTTTTGGTTTATTTTGGTGTTTTTTTTAAAAAAAAAATAAAAATACCGACTGGGGCTACCAGTGGTGAATTTATCGCATACACGAAATATATCAATCACAATACAACGACACACACAATACTAGGCTATATCTTAACTTAACCCACGTCATGACAGACGGCTCCCTAACCCTAAGCTCAATGGGGAACTAAATAGCTTTTTTGGTGGTGAAGGGAAGATGACGATGAAGGAGTGGCTTGTCACTTTAAAGAACTGGGGCCACAACCACCAGACTGCCCTCCAGAAAACCTCTCAACCCGAAGGGAAAGGAAATCCGAAGGGGGTGACCATGTCGCATGTGGGGTTCGAACCCTCGACCTTCCGATTAAGATAAAAGACACTTAACCAGTCAGCCACACGTGCTCTGTGTTTTGGTTTTGGTTTTGGTTTGTTTTGGTTCTGGTTTTGTTTGCCGAACTCTACTTGAAACTAAAAAATGAAACTCAGGGAATTCGTTGCAGAAAATAAAGAAATATCTTTTCTTACATTGCTAGAGGTTGCTCATTTAGTTCAGTTTAAAAATCATGGCTATTTCAGAATAATTACTGAAAGACTGAATCAGAATGGGCAATATGAGAACGCTTAAGTGCAGAAATACGCAAAAAAGATGAAATTACGCGCTTTCTTTTATACCTTCAAGTTAGGAGAGGTACGGTAGTTTTGCCACACTTTAAAGGGCCAATCCAGGATTTTCTCGGAAAGCAGGTCGCAAGTGTTTTTGGGGTTTCATGAAGCCTTTTTGCCTAAAATATTATATCATAGTTAAGCCTGATCAGTGACATAAATGACTCAAAGTGATTTTTGCGCACAAGCATAAGTGTTTTTGAATACAAAACATATTACCATTTGTGCCTGTAAACCTTTCTCTGAGCATACCGCGACACCTGAACACTTGGATGCTGTTTTTCATCGATCCTTGACTTTTGTACCTTATCAAAAGTGCTAAATTACATGAAATTTTGCGACTTTCTTTCAGAGCATCTCAATATTTCTTTCTTTATTTCTCGATTTGATCGACGCCATTGCGTTTGTCTTCGGCAATTGCCTGAATTTCAGTTTTTCGATCAAAATGATCAACAAAATGATTGTTTTTCATCGAGATTTTGAAGAAATAGTTTCCACCGAAAAAGTGATGCATTTGAACACAAAAGCGAGTCATTCTAAAGACTATTTTGACTGGCTCGAATTGATAGGAACTGTTAAAGAAAAAGATTCTATTTTTTTCATTATACGATTTTTCAGCTTTTAGAAATGTGGAACTTTTTTGTTTTTTGCCTTTTTCTTTGTGCTGTCGTTGTTGAGAGTCAAAAAGGGGACTCGGAAAATGCGCTGGTCAGTTGAATGGTAATGAAAAGTAGGGTAGCTTTCTAAAAGATGCCAACAAGTTACCGTACTTTGGTTTAATAGTCATCCTGCTGGTGAGATTACAGTAGTTTATCAAGAATGTATGATTTAGAGAAATGGTAGCAATAAAACAATAACCACAACAACAACGTCAACAACTACAACAACAACAACAACAACAACAACAATGCCAACAACAACAACAACAATAACTACAACAACAACACCCATCACTACCACCACCACTACGTATGTTCTTTGAAGTCTTCCTTACTAGTATTAAGCAATGGAAAGCGGGCTACGTGTTCAGTTCAATTTTGATCAATCGACCTAAACACTGAAAAGTGCTTGAGCGTTGTTAGCAACGCTCAAGATCAATGAAATTTAAACCAAAAGAAATTTTAGGCCTGAAAAGAGCTCAGCTGGACTTGTGATTGGAATCATTATCGGTTAGTAAGATAACCCCAAATCTTATTTTTCTTAAATCGAATCTAAAAGCCAGAATATCCTTTCAATTCACCAACTCTTCCAGGTGTTCTCATCTTGGTGATCGTTCTCGCTGGTGGATTTCATTACTGGAAAAATCGTCGCTCTCTCCACTTCTGACTAGCACCCGTTCGATACTCGACCTTGATTTGCTAGGATTAAATTGTTTCCTGGCAGCTTGTCATTGCGAATTTCTTTTAATGAGCTTTATCTTTTTTATCTCTTTTTTATCATTCGAGGTTTCACTGTCCAATAAATATGTACACACGGTTTTGGATACAGAAAAAGTATCTTATTTGAACGCCCCTGACTTTACAAAGAGCCCAATTTACATTCAATTCTTTGCCCTTCGTAAGCAAACTCATGACAGTTTGTGTCGCTTTTTTCAAAGAAATCAACTCAAGGTGCTAGCATTTGCCGACTCGTCTAACCATTGGAGCAATTGCACCAATTTTTTTTTTGCGCCGCATATCATTTGATTTGTGTCAAATTTGCGCTTTTCAACACACTTTCCTACCAACTCTGATTGTTTATTTTATTTTTTTTTACTACTTTGACGCCTTTCAAGGATCTGTAAATGGCATAAAATCGATATAAAGAGCAAAAAGCCCAATCGGTGACACAGAAATGAGTGTTTTTGAGGCTGTATACGTGTTTAAACGTGTTTTCTAATTGAAAAAAGTGTGAATTTAAAATTGTGAAGCGGAAAACTGAAAAAAAAAGTTGGTTAGAAGTCGGGAAAAAGTGATTTGTTACAGTGATAGGCGTAAATTTGGCGCAAATTTATACAAGGCGCAAAAATTTTTGACGCAAATAAAAGGTGACGTAAAAAACGGCGCTTTTGCTAGCACTAACTTAGGGGGGTGGGACAAATGCGACCTTTTTTTTGCGCACCTGGACATTTGCGCACCTTTTTTTTGCTGGAAAAGGCCTTAGGAAAGGTCGTAGAGCTTCAAAAATGAAATTTTTCATAGGAGGAATCGTATGCGTAGATTCCGAATTTCGACAAATCAGACCTAGCTGACACGTCAAATTTGGGCTAAAAGGCAAAAACTACGCAACTTAACGCTTTTCCGCAGTTTTTGCCTTTTAGCCCAAATTTGACGTATCAGCGAGGTCTGATTTGTCGAAATTCGGAATCTACGCATACGATATAAGGTATGGAAAAATTTTCGAAATATTTTCGAAGCTCTACGGTCTTTCCTAAGGCCTTTTCCAGCAAAAAAGGTGCGCAAATGTCCAGGTGCGCAAAAAAAAGGTCGCATTTGTCCCACCCCCCTAACTTAGCCCAAAAATTAGCCTACAGTTGCGGATAAACAGCAAAAAGTATCGTTAAAAATGAATTTACTTTAGTAGAGTGAAGTTTTATCACACTTTCGTGTCTAATTTGGCTAAAGTGTAGGTGAAATGCTAGTTTATAGTTTATAGTTGTCAAGCTAGTTTATCCATTTTTCGTTTTGCTGATTGAAATTCGATTCTTGAGACTTATTTTGCGACTAATCTTTCCAATCTTTCCAATCTTTCCAACCCGCTTTTCCAATCTACAGAGTCTTTAGTACAGACTACAACTTTTGAACAACGTTTAAGCGAAAAGGGAAAATCTTTCGTCAACAAAGTTGTTTACTCAATCACTCTACGTGTTTTATTTGGAAAAATTTCGTGAATTGTTATTCCTATTATTCTTGGTTTCTTTATTTTCTTATTTATTTCAGTTTACCTTTTTATACACTGTATTTTTAGAAATCATGGCAATGTTCGGGTACGGAGCGCTGGCGGCTCTCGGTGGTGTGGTCATCTACGCAAATTTGCCGACTCGTCTAACCATTGGAGCAATTGCGCCTACTGCAAGGTAATCTTTTATATGAAGTCATTAAAGATTTAGGTAAGGAATCAAATTTCATTAAAAACATAAGGGTTGTTTAGCAAAGATCTTGTAAGCTATAAGTTTGTGGTCTTTTTACGGATTAGAACTTTGAAGGATTTGAAATAAATGCAATATTATTCACTTTTAGTTATCTCGCTTCCGCAAAATTGGTGAAGATTGACGACGAGAAAAATGTTGATAAATCGAAGGCCGTTGAGGCTAGTTGTTACACGTTTTCTAGAGTTCATTCAATTTTAGGCTTCGACCCTTTTCAAAGGTCCAACAATGGTGATGGCTGTTCGTCGACCAGGCTGCATTTTGTGTCGTAGAGAAGCTGCACAGTAAGTGGCTTTTGATTGTCACAGTTGATTTGAAATTTAGTCTCTCTGAGCTGAAGCCTTTGCTCGACGAAAAGAAAATCGGTTTGATGGCCGTTGTGCACGAATCGAAAGGAGTCAATGAATTAAAGCCGTATTTCAAGGGTGATGTCTACTACGACGCTGAGGTTTGTTTACGAGCTTATTTTTGGCAAATATAAAGCTTGACTTTAGAAGAGCTTCTACGGTCCCAATCAGCGATGGCTACCACTGTGGATGGGCTTTCTGCGAGTGAACACGTACCTAAACGTCTGGAGAAGCAAACAAGAGGGTTTCCACGGGAATATGGACGGTGAAGGACGCCTCTTGGGAGGTGAGTGACTTGAGGAAGATTCGAATAAGTTTTGGTCCGATTTGGAAAATTAGTTCGTCATAAAAATTCTCAACATGTGATGAAGGCTTTGCGCAATGTTTTTAAGCTTTCTATAACGTTTTGAGAGCTTAATTATCTTTCATCAAGTACATTTTGGAGAAGTCATGTGTTTGAAGCGTTAAATTGTAGGATAGTGAGCTTTAGCTAACAATAGAGTTGAAGCACAATCACTCTTCTCTCGGATTTTTTTGTTACAGTATTCCCGGAAAAGTTAGCAATAATTTATCTGAAATACGGCATCTTTTTAAGAAAACTACTTATTTTTATCTTTTAAATTTAGGAGTGTATCTGATTGACGGTGATCGTCTCGTTTGGCATCATTTGGAGAAAGAATGGGGAGACGCTGCAAATATCGACGAGGTTTGAGCGTCAATTTAAATGAATATGTTATAAAATCTATTGTAGGTTCGCGATGCGATTAACAAGTTCAAATAAAATCAACGGACATTCTTCATTAACGGCACCGGTATCGATTGTTTTCAATGTGTCATAGTTAAGTCCGTTAAACCTGTATATTTTGTTTGTTCTTATACGATACGTGTAGATATTAAAATGGTGTGAATAAATCTAGTCGAGCTTGAAAATTAAATTTCACTCTAAAGGAACACAATCTACTGAAAAGTATGATAACTTTTCTCAACGTCATTTTTTCTAAAAAATCCACTAGACCATCATCATCAAAAATTCACTTTCAATACTTGTCACTTTTTCAAAATGCAGAAACTATTGTTTTTATTGGCGCTTTTCAGTTAGCAAGGATCGATGACATTGATGGATCAGGGCCAAAGATCAAGGGAATTTTGTAATGGGTTTAACTCGGGATTGATACGTTGACTCGAGAATTTGCTTGTGAAAACCTAGTTCACTAACTACCAGCTAACTTTTCTAAAGGTTTACCCTAGAAAATATAAACCTAGGTTATCGATCTCGATACTTTTACAACCACTATGGCGACAACTACGACAATAATCACTACAACAACTCCAATAACAGCCACAACAACGTCAACCACTACAACAACAGCTCCAACGACTACCACAGCATCCACCACAACGACAACTACTACAACTGCTCGACTACGACTTCAATAAACGACAACAACTACCACCACAACCCCGACAACAACAACTACGACTACCTACAACCACGTGTGTGCAATAAATACAATAGTTGTTCTACGCGTGTTGCTATTATTTATTTTTACATTTCAGACAAAATGTAGAGCCAAGCAAGAACACTGGGGCTGATTGGGTGATCATTTTATTCATTGCTGTTTACGGTGGTCATCAGTACTGGAAGAATAATCGTCAAGACTGATTTGGACAAGAAATACATTTTTGTTTATAGTTTTTATTACACATCAAACCAACATATCCACAAATTCATCCTTTTCGTCTCTCAGCGTCAAATTGAGCTGCTCTAACTCGTTTCCCTCGAGAGGATCGAGATTTACCTGAATATCTTGACTTTTCTACTAGATAATTACTACATTTGATCCATTTTTAAAATACCAACGATATTTGTGTATTCAAAGATTTATTTTAAGCTAAAGCTTGCAAAAACTTACCATATGCCCGACAGCCGAAGCCACAAGGCCATCAGCCATTGTGCAAATTGCGGTTCGGACGCGATCCCTGAGAATTTGGTCTAACCGATAAGATTTAAAATTTAAATTCGTCTAATCGATAAGAATATGATCGTTTTCATCATTGATGAGTTTATTTTGAAAAAGCAAAACAAATTTGCGTTCGGGGGGAATCGAACCCCCGTCGAATGCTTGGAAGGCATCCATGCTGACCATTACACCACGAACGCAGCTGATGCGGAGAAACGAATGGGAGTCTTTATAAGGGGATCTGATCTGATCCGGTTTTTTTTAGCTTTTGCGTTGATGGGTGGTCTGGGTGGGGAAAAGAAAAGCAAAAAAAAGAAAGCGCTCGATTCTATTTTTGAATTGAAATTTCTTTAAACGAACTCACAAGAACCAATCGACAGCCACGATGAGTGTGATATCAGAAACAGGTAATCCAACCGTGTCCAAAATGACGAGCATCGAGACGAGTCCGGCCGGTACAGCATTTAGACCGGCCGAGGCAAGGGTAGAAGTGATACTGAAATCGTTTACGAAATTGTTTCATTCTAGAAAGAAAAATAGTCATCTAGTAAAGTCATCTAATAAAGTCATCTAGTAAAGTCATCTAGTAAAGTCATCTAGTAGAGTCATCTAATAAAGTCATCTAGTAAAGTCATCTAGTAAAGTCATCTAGTAAAGTCATCTAGTAATGTCATCTAAAGTTCATCTAAAGTTCATCTATTCTTCTATTGTTTTGTCTGTTTTTACCTGATCGTGATTAGCTCACGAATCGACAAGTCGATTCCATTGATTTGCGCGATAAAGATCGCAGCGACCGCCTCGTAGAGAGCGTTTCCATCCTGTAAGAAAGGTCAAAAGGAAAAAGTTCAAGAATTTGAATATAACAGAATAAAATCTATTATCATAGACAATAGTTACCGTAACTACTTATAGGAATCAACTTTTTTTATTGATTTGTCGTGAATAAGAGGTATTACTTGCTATTACCCTAAAGTCGCGAGTATAAGTTCATCCGAGTATAATTTCTGCCTTAATTTACATTTAAAGGGCTCTGATTGAAAATTTTCTTCTTTCTTTCATTTTTATTTTACTAACGTTTTTTCATTTTAGATACGATGAGGAGAAAGTCGTACACCGCCGAAACGAAGCTCGAAGCGGTCAAATTTGCGAGGAAATTTGGAATGAACGCTGCTGCAATCGAATTTGAAGTCGCTGAACAGATGATTAACCGCTGGAAACAAGCTGAGCCGGCACTGGATGACTTCATCAAAAAATAAGCGAGCTTTCCGAGCGAGCGAGCGAGCGAGCTAAGCACAGAAGTCTTTTTTATGTCGCTTTAATTGCTTTGAATTTCTTTTTGTTGGGTTTTTATACATTTTTATTGTTATATAAACTTTTATTATTGTTCTTGGAGCGCGGGATACTACAGGGTGACAGCCTATGACCATTGCTATTTGTTATGTGCATGGATACATCCAGACGATAGTGTTGAAGAAGACGCTGGAAAGCATCTCTTTCGACCGTCGACGTGGACTTTGGCCGGATGAAGAGGCCAGGGAGGGATCCATAAGACTGAGCACCGGAGAGGAGCAGGGCGGACGCGCTGAGCCACGCCCGGAGCAACAAATAACAGCATAAAATTGCTATAACCCTCAATAAATTTACTTCTATTATTGTTCTTAAAAAGCAAAAAAGTTATGCTGCAGCGGGATTCGAATCCTCGACACACCGCACCGGAGACAGCCGTCAATTTGCATGCGAAAACCAAACAGAACTTATACTCGCGACTTTAGGGTACTGTAATCCCAACACTCATTCTTACCATATTCGTCGATGCGCCTAGAGGAAGAACAAATTTCACAACTCTTGCATCAGCTTTTCCCTCCATACATTGAAGACCGACTGGTAGAGCCGCTCCACTGGAATCTGATGATTTACGAAATTGTATCGTTTGAATGTAAAGAACATTTCTTTCCTTCTTTCTTCCTTTCTTCCTTTCTTTCTTTCTTTCTCTCTTCTTCCCCCTTGTCTTTCCCACTTTTTCTTAACAGTTCGGTATCGGATAGCTAAGTGATTAGAGCAGGAAATGGGGAATTGACGATTCCAAAGGGAAAAGGGTCTTGAAATCCAGGTTTACACGAATTCGGGGCAAGGAGGCTTGCCTGAATTGTGTACATGGGATGGGCCTAGTCGAGGCTTCAATCCCCTCTATCTTTTCTCACCAATTTCTTCACTTTATCGCTATTCAATCTAATTTTGAACAAACTTTACTCACCTGGAAGCTGTACCCAAAGAGGTCATAAACGCGGGCAGCATAGCTTTCATGATTGAGAGTGGGTTTTTACGAGTGGCTGGAACGATATTTATGATTTAGGGTCGAATTTCATCATCGACACATCGACGAAATCTACCTAGAAAATAAAAAACAGGCAAAACGATGAAGATGTGGATGGTCAACCCAGCGAGCACCGTTCCCACGTAAGCGGAAAGGATCTAAAGGTCCTTGGGTTCGTTGGGAACCAGATTTAGAGCTGAATTCAGATCTGCTTTATCTATCTACCTGTAAAATCAAGAGCAAATCGTGAACCTCGGAAATGCTGGCCGCGACAAGACTGCTTATGCCAAATGGAGCAAACCTAGCTTTAAGCTAAAAGTGTTCGTTGTTCTGGAGCTTACCACATCGCTCCTTCAATAAGTAGAAGCACGATTTTTTCGAGACTAGCGAAAAATTGGCGTACCGGTTCTCCCGTGGCACCAACCTATAAAAAACAAAGTTTGAAATCGTCGAAATCGCTTCTCACCTTAGACGTGCCGATTCCAATGAGTGCACAAAAGGTAATAATCCCAAGGATATTCAGTCCATCAACTTGATCAACTCGTTTCACCAATGGCCCAGTCAGCGTTTCATTCACCATTTTTGTCTGCGATCTCCTTGTCGCTGCACCGATAATATTCTCTGGGATCAGGTTTCTGAAAACGTAACTAGGTTTCTCTTAATGGCTCAAATCAGTCGCCACTTTGCTCTTGTCGTGGTGTGCTGATTAGTATCGATGCCTACAAACCATTCGACGGGAGTTCGATTCCCCCAATCGCCAAGTCGTTTTGCTTTTTTAAACTTTCATTCAGCTTACTTACCGTATCACATCCAAAATATTATCAATTGCCTCGTGGCTTAAATCTTCGGGTCTTTTCAGAACTTTCCCGGCCTAAAATCTGGATAACTTTTGACGAGAAAGTGAGCTTTGATGACCTTAATCGATGGATCGCCTGGATGAATCAATATCACTAAGGCTAAACCAATCTAAAATCTTTTATTTTGTTAAGAGTTCAGTTTTTCTCACGATTGTGGCTAAAGAGGCTGTGCATAGGTAGTAAAGAACAGTTTTAAGGCCTAGTTGTTTCGCCGTTTCCGGATTTAGTTGAGACAGGGCTGAAATGAAAAACGAATGAGTGAAGTCGCCAGAGAAGCGAGCACAAAGTCACCTGAAATCAACGAGGCGCAAACGAGCGGTAAAACGAGTAACTTTAGCAATCGCATGAAGATCTCGCCAGGGAAAAAGATCAACGTTTCCACGAAAGGGCTCACATTTTGAACTCTATAAAGCATTAGCTTTTGGTAGCTAGCTTTTGAGGTGAGCTAGCAAGGCTCTAGAAGAGCTAGCATTAGCTGGCTTTTGTTTGATTATCAAAAAATGCCTTAAGAAAAGCTAGCATTAGCTAGCTTTTGCTTGATTATAAAAAAAAAAATGAAATTTTCGCTTACCGTAACGCGATTCCAATTGAAATACCGAAAAAAACGGAAATAATGGTTAGAATGACAAATTTGTGGTTGTTCCAGAAAGATCTTTTTGTGGTCATTTCAATAAAAAATAATAGTTTATGAAAAAGATTTCAACTTTTAAATTGAAAAGTTTTATCAAATTATGCACTTTGGGTCATTCGTTTCTGTGTTTCCAAATCAAAAATGCAAATCTTTATAGGGAAAAGGGAAAAAGGGGGGGGGGGGGGGGGGGTTTGGAGAACTCATTGAAAAGTTCAATATTTAACTGAATATCTCTATCGAATTCTACATTTATTGAGCGAGGAATTCATTTGTATTCACAAGATGCTTCGATTTCGGGAGAGCATATTGAAAAATGAGATAATCAAAGTAAAAGATGGAGACAAGCTTTCGGAGTTGACGAGGATTTGCCAAGAGATCGTCGTCGATTTTTGCTGTTTTTGGAGTTGCCAACCGTCGAGTGCATTCCTCGACCTTCATCTAGTTTCGCCAAAAGCTGAAATTCGATTTATTCTTTGTTTTTTTTCGAAGGTAGACAGTAGTGAGCTTGTTCATCAGCTTTAAACTTCAGCCCTAAACTTCCGCGTTTTTTTTAAGAACAAATTGATCGTTTTTTTTTTAATTTTAGAAGCTAGTTTTTAGGCAATAGATTCATTTTATTTAAACTTTAGCGTTAAACCTCAGCGTTAAACTCTAAGGTTAAACTTTAGCGTTTAACTTCAGCGTTAAACTTTAGCATTTTTTAAGTACAAATTGATCGTTTTTTTTTATTCCAGAAGCTAGTTTGTAGGCAATAGATTCATTTTATTCGAGTTTCTTTCAGTTTATTGGATTACTAATTTTTATTAACTCTCAGATTACTCTAGTTTATCTTTTACTATGCTCAGCACATTCCCCGAAAACACTTTTCCAGTCAAAACACTCAAGTCTCAGCTCGTCAGCTTTTACCAAATAAAAAAAAAGGCTGTTTCATGTTTTTTTTTATTTGTTATTTTACACTTATTTTCAAACATCAAATTCGAAAAAAGATTTTATTTACAAAATTTGACTTTTTTTTCTCTGAGAATAATTTAAACGATCAAGACTTGAGCTTTAGGTTGTTTTAAGGATTTGTGAGAGCATGTAGATTGATGACTCCTCGGTGTCGTGAGCCACCTGCAAATTTTTGGGGAACAGTCATGTTTTGCGGGTGTTCGAGTGTGACTTTTGAACACGTCGAGCAGTAAAAGTGTAACAAACCATGTGCCCGGCTCGGAGAATCCACCAGAATTGAAAGTTGCCGTAGCGTTTCACGTAGCCGGCCAATGGGAAGCTCTTCGTGCCGAAACGCGTACGAGTTGACTGCAATTTTGACGTTCACTTTGAAATGATGTCGAGAATTGGCTGATTATACTCAAAATTTCTCTAGCTACAAAGTTAGAGGTGAGATTTTTGCTTTAGACAAAAACTGATTAGTTGGAGCTAGGGTAGATCAAAAAATTGGGCGGCGGCGGGACTCGAACCCGATTTTTCGCTTACCAGGTAACCGTGCTAACCGCTACACCACAACTAACTTGATCTCCCTCACTCCAGAGGGAGTTAAGTGATTAAAAGATTCAGAAATCTTGCTTGCTAAGATCAACTAAAAAATTCCAAAGAGTGTGTGAGACTTTTAAACGGCGATGAGATGCAAGCACCTCACCTATTAGAGGGCGCCAAGCCGAATGGAAGAAAAGTAGCGCCGGTTTAGGGGTTGGTGCTATAGGCTACCAAGCTAATTCATCTCTTCCTCCCGGTTCCGGTTCCACCTATAAGAGGGTGACACGCCGAGAGGAAGAAAAGCAGTAGTGGTTTAGGGGTTAGTGCGATAGGCTACCAAGCTAATGCGGCTTTTCCTTCCGGTTCCTCTCTCTACTCTGTATTTTTTCGTGAAACTTCCACAAAAGATTTTTTAGAGTTTCTAAGGTGTTTGCCTTCAGCTTTTTTCAGTCTTTCTTTCTAAACTCATAAGATTAATAAAAGCTCAAAACGAACCGTATTCCATCCTTGCATGCCCGTCCACGTCAATCGATTCACCCATATTTCCGTGCCAATCGTGTCACAGATGAGATCAAGATTTCCATTGTAAACGATGACATTCGTTTGATTTTTGAGAAGCCAATCAACTAAAGAAAAGCCCAAGAAAGGTAATGAATCAGTAAAGAAAAATGGAAAGAAAGTTTCCTAAAAGATTACCAAACCTGTATCATAGTTAGGCACCATGAAATCACCCTGTTGCTTCCAGATGACTTGCCTGGATTGACCTGAAAGAATATATAAAATCCTTTTGCGGAAACGAAAACTCACGTCCAAATTTGACATTTGGCGGAATGATGCCTAACTTTTGTCTGACCACCGTGTCCATGTAATCATTTAGATCCACATCGTACATCGGTTTCACGTGACGGTTGTACAAGCGTTCTAAACACAAATTTTATCTGTGAAATCGTTGTTTCAACCAACGAATTGTCTCAGGTAGCACGTGATTGTCCTTATCCAGATCGATTTCCCTCTTTCTTCTCTTCTTTGACCAATCATCTTGATCTCCGTACTTCAAAATGTTGTACCATGAGACTCCACCGATTACCTGTAAATAAAATGTTTTCAAATATACAAGAACTTTTCTAAAATATTGTATCAGTTTTAGTTGTACTCACCGTTCCAATCAGATCCTCCATATCTCCCCAACAGTTTGTCGCTTGACTCCACTGATTGTTGTCAACCAATTTCTGACAATGAGCCGCCTGAGCGTTCACTTGTTTCAACTGGATATCGTCCAGGTAGGACTAAAAGATAACTCTATAGAGTGACCAATTCAGAGAATTGTTTACTAAAGGTTTTGTGCCAAATCCGACTTACATTAGCATACAAATATTGTCCCCAACTATTCACATAGTCCATCGGCGAGATCCACGAGTCGCCAAGCGCCACTCCTTTAAAGTTAATCCTCAAGATGTTGTTGTTCTAAAGAACTACTGTAAGCTAAGCTGATTTTGAGTGAAATTCACCTGCACGATGACTCTCGCAAACTCGGCACTCATCTTTCCACCGTAGCTCTCGCAAAAGATGTAGAAGGGACGAGTTCGGTACTCGGGATGGACAGTGAAAAAGGCTCTCGCCCATGCGAGAAGATCTTGGCCTGAAATTTCATTTTGTTAAACAAAGATGTTAAACATAAGCCAAATAATTAAAATTGATGAAAAGCTTAAAGAAACTCACCAATTTGTGTCACATTTTTGTGTAAGCGCTCGAGTCATCCACGTAGGAGAAGCCGGCACCGACTGGATTGTCGACAAAGACCAAATCGGCTACTTGGAGCTGAAAATGAACTTTTAGATAAGTTTTATATCATTTTATATGATTATACTTGAAATGTAGCCATGATATAGTGTTGCCTATAGTCAAGTAGTATTAGATTTCGAAATCGAACCAGAAATTGCGTCTTAGCTCAGTTTTTAGTCCACCGCATTGACTGTCGAGGACAGAATCGAATATCTAGCTGACAATGTAATGTTATTTATAGATATCTGTTTTGATTTTGCTTCAATTTCATTATGCTCAGCACTCACCCAAGTACTCGCTCGATCTTTCCCATCGAGATCTTTTGGGCCGAGTTCCTCGAGATTACCGTAGCCAGATGATGACGAGCCGGGTCCTCCCTAAGTAACTTTATCATGTAAGAAATAGAAAAAAAGAAGTTCTTTGCAAGAAGCATAGATAACTGGCTAGTATTAAATCAGAGAAATAGAGAAAGAACACAGAGAGAAGTGAAATAGCTCTGGATCCAGAGGATCGGCGAGTGGGAATCACCAGAAATCTGTGATTCTTTAATTGTTCTCTTTCTTCTATTCTCTTAATTCTATTCTATTGAATGTTTCTTTAGTAACGTAAAATAAATCTATTCAAGTTCTCCTCTCGAAATCCAAAAACTATAAAACCATCGATTTCAGAAGTTTAGTATTCAAAATGAAACAAATTTCTGAAATAGCTTTTACTGCTTTATCGTATAAGTTTTGATTAGAAAAAGAGGTTTAATAAGCGTTTCCATATTATCTTTCTGATATCACAATATCAAAAAATTGCATGGATGAAAAGCTTCTTATCAATCCGAGGCCTTCTTATCAAACTACCAAAGCAGAAACTAAGATTCTAATTTTCACTTTCTTTTCTGAAATAATAGGTAATGAAAACCTGTAGCCAAAGAAAAAGTGGTCGATTGTTAGACGGTTGCACGGAGTAGAGCCACCAGAAAGTATTTGCGTTGTCACGAATCTGAAATCCCTTAATAATAAGGCACTTCAATAAATGTGTTGTACAAGAGTTAGACAAGGAATCTTCCAGATCTATAAGCTGGCTAGGTCTGCAGTAAACCGAGGCTAAACCTTACACTAAAATAGTCTTTAAAATAACCTGAAACTCGTTCATCTGTTATCAATCAACTTTTGTCCTTTTTCAAAGTCTCTTTCTTATATTTTGTCAGTCTCTTATGAGAATAAAGCTAATCTCTTTACCTTGACATATCCCCAATCTTCAATGTAAGAGAGTGTTCCATTCCAAGTGTTTACGGTGTTCGATGCACCGCCGTAGACACCGACGAGGAGAAGTGAGAAGATTAGACTTCTCATCGTTTACACCCAAAAGAAAAGCTTTCATTTAATAGAAAGAAAGGGATTTTACATTATAATAGATAAAGAAAAAGTTTGGACAAAAATTGTTGAAAATTGAAAGGTTCAATTTCAAATTGAAATAATCAGAGTAGCCGCAAGGAATCCCGATCATTTCTTTTTGAAAAGAGGGGAATTTGGTGAAAAGGGAACTCTTATCTCAAGAAGAAATCCGAAATGTTGTTAATTAAAGGAAATTCAAAAAGAATTATGATCATTACGGCCATTAGTTTTTAAGAAAAAGTTCTCGGACTTGCGACCTTTTTCCAAGAAAATCCTGGGTTGCTTTTTTAAAGCGTGGTAAAACTACCGTACCCCTCTTAATTTGCAGGTGGGAAAGGGGGTAGGCTAATTTTCGGAATTCTTTTTGCGCAACTCGCCATAACTTTCTTCTAATTGGGCCAATCTTTATGCTTTTGGTTTCATTTTGTTTCACTTATTAAGATCTACAAAATGACACCACAAATGGCATCTTTTAGAAAGCTACCCTGCTTTTCATTACCATTCAACTCACCGGTGCATTTTCCGAGTCCCCTTTTTGACTCTCAACAACGACAGCACAAAGAAAAAGGCAAAAAACAAAAAAGTTCCACATTTCTAAAAGCTGAAAAATCGTATAATGAAAAAAATAGAATCTTTTTCTTTAACAGTTCCTATCAATTCGAGCCAGTCAAAATAGTCTTTAGAATGACTCGCTTTTGTGTTCAAATGCATCACTTTTACGGTGGAAATAATTTCTTCGAAATCTCGATGTGAAACAATCATTTTGTTGATCATTTTGATCGAAAAACTGAAATTCGGGCAATTGCCGAAGACAAACGCAATGGCGTCGATCAAATCGAGAAATAAAGAAAGAAATATTGAGATGCTCTGAAAGAAAGTTTCATTTAATATAATATTTCATGTGAATTTCATGTAATATAACATTTTTGATAAGGTACAAAAGTCAAGGATCGATGAAAAACAGCATCCAAGTGTTCAGGTGTCGCGGTATGCTCAGAGAAAGGTTTACAGGCACAAATGGTAATATGTTTTGTATTCAAAAACCACTTATGGTTGTGCGCAAAAATTACTTTGAGTCATTTATGTCACTGATCAGGCTTAATTATGATATAATATTTTAGGCAAAAAGGCTTCATTAAACCCCAAAACACTTGCGAACTTTTTCCGAGAAAATCCTGGATTGGCCCTTTAAAGTGTGGCAAAACTACCGTACCTCTCCTAACTTGAAGGTATAAAAGAAAGCGCGTAATTTCATCTTTTTTTGCGTATTTCTGCACTTAAGCGTTCTCATGTTACCCATTCTGATTCAGTCTTTCAGTAATTATTCTGAAATAGCCATGATTTTTTTAAATGAACTAAATGAGCAACCTCTAGCAATGTAAGGAAAGATATTTCTTTATTTTCTGCAACGAATTCCCTGAGTTTCATTTTTTTCTTTTATAAAACTATCTTTTAGTTTCAAGTTAATTAAAGTTCGAAGCATTTTAGGGCAAAAAAAAAAAATAAAGATATAGATGTTAGTTTGTGGAACTTTTGTAACTGTTTTTGTAAGACGATTAAAATTGCGCTCCCATGTGTGGATTAGGGTGATTATTTAATATCGGATAAATAATTAGTTGGATAATTTTGAGCGAATAATTATTTATCCAAATAAATGGCTCAATTAATTGTTGGATAATGACATTCTAAAATGCACTATCTCTTTTTGCTTGCAGATCTGATTATTTTGCAACCACTTTCATTTTCGTTATAATTTTTTATGGATTTAAAATAGTTCAGAGACGAAAAAATATCACAAGGTAACTTATTCCAAATACGAGGAACACGACAAGCAAAAAGAATGATACAGTTGGCGGTTATGAAAGCTTTGAAAGGGGGTAATCTGAAAGTTGTGACTACGAGTTCTTCTGGCGTGATTCGAAATCTTAAAGAGTCCTTTAAGTTTAACATCACTCATAAAGAACCACATTAGAAAGACAGAAAAAGAATGAAATGAAATGAAATGAAGAACATGAATGAAAGAATGAAATTGCGCGCTTTCTTTTCCCGGGGTAGGCTAATTTCTTCCAATTTTTTTTGCGCAACTCGCCATAACTTTCTTCTAAGTCGGTCAATCTTTATGATTTGTGGTTTCATTTTGTAGATCTTAATAAGTGCAACAAAATGAAACCAAAAGCATAAAGATTGGTCCACTTAGAAGAAAGTTACGGCGAGTTGCGCAAATGACCCTGTTGCGCAAAAAGAATTGCGAAAATTTGCCTACCCCTTTTCCCATCTGCAAATTAAGAGCGGTACGGTAGGTTTACCACGCTTTAAAGCACCAACCCAGGATTTTCTCGGAAAAAAAGGTCGCAAGTCCGAAAACTTTTTTAAAAGCTAATGATCATAATTCTTTTTGAATTTCCTTTACTTAACATCATTTCGGATTTCTTCTTGAGATAAGAGTTCCCTTTTCACCAAATTCCGCTCTTTTCCAAAAGAAATGATCGGGATTCCTTGCGGCTACTCTGGTTATTTCAATTTCGAAAACTTTTCAATACTGATACATTTTTCTTTGTTTTTTTACGCAAAACGGACTCTTCGGACTCATTTGTTCCAGGATTCATTTTTGCTCATTTTCCCTTTTTTCTAATCTCATCTCTTTTGGGGAAAAAAATCGGTCACAAATTATAAAACTCTTTCAAATTCATTTCGTTTTTTTTTGATCTTCAACTAATCATTTCTCATATGAATTTCCTGTCAAAAGACTTCAAAGATCATTTTATTTGAATCGTTGAAGTGAAAAAAAAATTCTCGTACTTGAAGGAAAGAAATTGAAAATGCCATTAAAAAGTTCAAAATTTTAAAATTTTTTTTAATTAAATTACGTTTTTTTGAAAGATCATGATGAGATTTTTAAAGTTAAAACTAATTTTTTTTTTAAATCCAGACATTTAATTTCTATTGTTAAACCAAATAGATTCAAATATTTGCTTTAATATTTGCTTTAATATTTAATAAGCTGCTGCTTTTTTGTGAGCCGAACTTTCTCCTTGTTCGCGTAGACGGAAAATAAGGGCGCAAAAATGGCGAACAACTCGTAGCCGGTGTTGAAATAGTGCACATTGTGGAGGATGATGAGACGAGGCTGAGTGAACACCGTTGATGAGTAGATCTGCAATTCAGGAAATATTCGCTTTTTTTCTTTTCTTTGAGCTTTTTCTTAGGATCAGATAGGAATCAGATTTGAATTGTTTTCTTAAAACGTTCATAGAAAACTACCGTAGCTACCATAGTCTTTCCTTTATTATTCTACTCAATTTTCTTCCAATTCAATTCACAGTTTGATTCTTTAGCAAAAGCCGAAAGAAAGATTACGATAGCTTTCCAAGTTGGACACTATATAGAAAACGAGACACACGAATTTCATCAGCTCACCTCCATCGCATTAATCGCAAAATAAAACCCCATAATCGCTGTCACTTTCCCGATCGCTTGCAATTTGTGCCCAATCGTGTATTGCAGTGATTGATAAATGGCTCGACAGTATAAAAGGATCGCCGTCGCCACGTTCACGAGGAAGAGATACGTGCCCGAGACAGCTTGTACTTGTTGATAGCTCTGAAGACTCTAGTACCGTCTTTTCTCTAATAGTAGTGCACTTCAGCGAGCCGAGTTGGTGACTATTTTACAGCTTTCAAAGTTTTCCCAGAAACTCAACACTCAAATCCTCCGCTAGATCTGATCGTCAGCTACATTTTCCGACCCCACATCGATAGGTTCTGATAAGCGCTTTTCGAGATTTCAAGAAATCTAGGCAACGCTCACGGTGCACTACTATTAGAGAAAATACGGTTTATGATTTCAATCATTAATCCCCAATTTACTATGAACTTTTTGATCATTAAATTGTTTAGAAAAAGATCCAATTAACTTTAATCACGAAAAAAAAAACGCAAACATAATTCTTGATGATTTCAAAAGCACACAAGGCAAATGTTTAATGTACCAAGCAAAATGCTTTTCACCTGCATTACTCTACTTGCATTAAGCGGCCTCAACACGTAAACCGTTAAATAAATCGAGAAAGGCAGTGGGAAAAGAAAAGCGATCAGATAAATCGTGTAGTCGGGGAGATTTTTACCCTGAAAATCGAATTTTCACTTTAAACTTTCGATTAGTCATTCCAAAAACCCGCCATTTTCTTGCGATACTTCTGTGCAAAGCATTTGACAATTGCATTGGCGAAAGCTGCAGTGACTGCGGACTTGACAAGATAATGAAAGATCACATATTCGACGAGGGCCACTTTGGCATCGGCCACTAAACGGTACATCCAAAGCAGCCAGGGAGCGGTGATGGCATAGACACGGACACGATTAAAGATCCCGTTGAGGAAGAGGATAAGCGTTGACTAGAATTCATCGGATTTGATAGGCCAATTTTGTTCTAAATGCTATCCAGGCGTATCAGCCATGCCTAGGCCTATCTTACAGGCCCTGGGGCTCGATTGGAACATCCAGGGATATGTCTAGATCCAGTATGTCAACTTTTAGCTATTACTACAGTTTACGTTAGTGTAAATCTATTGGGTTGGTGAATTGAAAACTGCGGGACTTTGAACTAAAATTTATTCAACATAAAACCATCAATTCATTCCAAATAATTTCCATTATTATTGACGACTTCTGCCCATTTTACAGGCAATTTGAGGATTCCCTTTCGCGGTAGGATTTTGGTTTGTGTGTGAGACAAGTGTGAGACTCAAAAATGGAGGACTGGAGATGTCCCTGGAGGACGTTTGAGCACTTTCTTCAAAATAAACCCATTTTGGTGTCAATAGAAAAGTTGTAGAGAATCAAAAATCAGGCTTATAGCCAAATTTCCAAAAAGATACACTTAGTAGTTTCGCTTAAAATGCAAGTTTTGTGAAAATTCGTAAATTTGGCATTTCTTGAAAACCAGTTTTTAAATCGTTCTGAAAATTTGGCTATAAGCTTGATTTTTGATTCTCTACAACTTTCCCATTGACACCAAAATAGGTTTCTTTTTGAAGAAAGTGCTCAAACTGTCACATATGACAATAGGCGGCGGTTTTCAATTCACCAACCCAATATAAGAGGAAAACGTTTTCAAATAAAATCCCTTACCGTAACACACGACGCATAGATGTACTGCTTTGCAATGTAGAGACCCTTTTTGAAACATAAAGCGAAAATCCACGCGTGCACACAAATCGCCGTGATATCAACGATCGTTTGGAAGATGAAAAGAGCCTCGATAAGCTCCATTATAAATTCAAGAAAAGTTTTCAATTTAAATACTAAATAAAAGGAGTTTAGTCGAGTTTTATAATCTAGAAAATAAAAAGAATTCAACTGTCTAAAGAAAAGAAAATATAAAGAAAAGGAAATATAAAGAAAAGAAAATATAAAGAAAAGAAAATAGAAAGAAAAGAAAATATGAAGAAAAGAAAATATAAAGAATTCATTTTGTCTAAAGAATTCGAAAAAATTGAACCTCTAAATTCTCTTGGGATTTACGAAAATTCTCGCTAATTCTTGACAAATCAATTTTCGCAATTTTACTCGAAATTCTTTAATTAGAAGTTGCTTTTTAAAAATCTATTTAAAATCAATTTTTTTTCGTGAATACCAATAAAAACAACAACTTACAAAAATCACCCGAGAAATATTCAATGTTATTGGAAATTAAATATTATAATTTAAAGCATATCAAGAGCAAAAAGAAAAAAAAAAAACACCAGCAGCAGCAGCAGCAAAGGTGGGATTCTCCATCAACGATCATCAACATCAACAAAAGCAAAGGTGGGATTCTCCATCAAGAATGCTTGCGGCGTCGAGGTGATTCGATCGGAGATTTGCTCAGCAAGATCCGCTTCTCGTTTCGTGAACAAATGCCTAAAACAAAGTTTTAATATGCCATTTCTCTTTCAAGATGGCCAATCGGAATGTCTCACAAATAATATAAATATCATAATAAAGATGACAACAATCGATGAAATGAGTAAAAAAAATCGTCCAATACTACATTTAGCACAACACATAAAACTAATGAACGATGTCGATTTCTCAATTCATTCAAGAGAAACTTTCCTACGGTCATTTGGCCACTTTAGAATTTAACCAGTTTTAATAATAATACTTTATTCAAACGATAAAGTGAAAGAAATGATAGAGAAATGCACAGTGATACTTAATCATACAATACATACTGAAATCAATAAGCCAATTACTTACGGCAAAGAGCCACTAGATCTAAAGCATCGATACGTTTCTTGAATATGAAAAGCGACTGAATTTCTCGTATGTCGTTTGGGAGCAAGTTCCATAATCTAGCGGCTCTAACGGGAAATGAATTTGATAAAGAGGCATTGGAAGCAAAGGGAATTTGCAAAAGGAATGAGCCACTTCTGGGCCCTGACCGCGGTTTAAATTTGAAAAAGTCTATAAACAAAGGGCTAATCTGTTTACAACGGAGGATTTTGAAAGTTTTATCCAAAAATCAAGTCATAAATACCAGAATGATTCAGAGGAAAAATTCGCATATAAAGAAAGTTTTATAAAATTAAACGTACTTTAAGCGAAATCTCGAACTTCTGAATTCTCTTGGGATTTGCGAAAATTCTCGCTAATGTTGACAAACCGCTTTTTCGCAATTTTGCTCGAAATTTTTTGATTAGGAGTTGCCTTTTAAAAATTTATTCAACATCAAATAATTTTTTGGGAAGACAAATAAAAACAACAACTTACAAAATCACCCAAGAAAAAAAGAGAAATATTCAATGTTATTGGAACTTAAATATTATAATTTAAAGCGTATCAATAGCAAAAACGAAAAACAATACAAATATAGATCGGTCGATTCTCCCATTATGCATATGCATCACCTCAATCTGACTCGGAGCCCTGAAAAGAAATGAGTAAAATTTTTAGTATAATAAGCGATAAACCCAAAAAAAAATATGCAGTAGAAAGTCAAAAGTTATACTTCCGAGTAGGACCCCAAAATCTATGCTAAGTATGTGGTTTAAAGTTGTGTAAAACTAATTAAGGGTACTGCATCAATATCGCCTCATAATTAATCCAAGGATAGCTCTCTAGCCCATAGTACCAGAAAACTTATTACCCTTTGTTTCCGTCTATCATCATCGTCACTTCCGCTTCTCGATCGACTTCGCGAGTGTCGCCGAGACTTCTTTTTCTTCTTCTTTTCTAAAAAATAAAAGTTAGACTGTTGACGGTGAACGGTGACGGTGAAAAGTAGTCTAGACTAGACCCACAATTTATACGTTAAGAGCACACAACCAAAACCATACCCGATCTTTCAGCATCATCATCATCTCCATCTCTTGTTCTCTTTCGTTTCTTCGGCTTCTCCTCGTCACTTTCCGATCCCTAAACCAATCAAAGATCATTCCTAGACGTCAAAATGCTCTCTCCGGTCAAAACAACATGAAAACTTAAAATATACACTCACTTTTCTCTTTTTACATATTTACACTACCTGAAAAGGGATAATTTTAATTAACACGCGTGTTTTGCAGAAAACCCACACTGTCGGCTTTCTTCTTCTTTTCCTTCTTTTTCTTCTTTCCGCCATGATGATGGCCACATGATTCGCCGAGTTGTTGAATGAAATCGGCAAAGCATTTCTCACGCAGCTCGGGATCAACCTAAAGTTATTTGATCATTCTGTAGTTAAAGCTATTTTAACAAAGCAACCGATCTTTGCAAAAAAAAAGCTCACCGCTTTGAATGCGCTCTCGTTTTCAATCTTTGGCAAAATCGACGCCCATTCGGTTTGGGCATCGACAGGCGGTTGAATCGAACGTAACAAATTTCTAAACAATCACGTACAATCATAGCTTTTGTGATTGTTTACCTGAATTCTCCCTCAAATCTCTTCTTTTTTCGTTGTTCTTCTCTTTCCAATTCTTTTTCCCGTTGTTCAGCCTTCTCAATCAGTGAATTGTAGCATAGTTTCATATTGCCCGCATCGACTTTTTTCCCCGTTCATCCGCTTGCACCCATTCGACCAATTGATCGTAGGCTGTGTCTATCTAAATGTAAACAGTTTTAAATTTTTCGCTCAACAACTCACCTTCACATTCTTTCCTTGATCGGTGAGAATGTCCTTGATGATTCGGCGATGTTCCGAATATTGTTCTTTCAACTCTTCGACATAGAACTAAACTTTGAAATGGAATCAATATTAGTTTCCCCCGGCCAGTTATGATAAATAAAAATACCAGTTTGAACTCTTTTCTTAAATCCATTTTACTAAAGTGCTGTAATGCAATGATCTAGCAAACTGAACACCTTTACACCGGTATCTACAAGTCATAAAAAATCTCACCTTAAACAAATCAAGTGGTGTGCTGCCCGATTGCATCAACATTGCATCAAAGCGTGGATCGGGAGAGATCGTCGGATATAGTGATGACCAGAGTGACATTGAGTGAAGAACACCTGAACATGAATTATTGAGAAACAGTCAATCTTCAAAACTTTAAAACTACCTTTCTGGTGCAATTCCTCCAAAAACTGTTGAAAAGCTTCGCGCACTTTGCGCTCTTGTCGTTTCAATCGTCGCTCTTCGACTTCCTAAAAGTTCAAGCGAATGATTTGATTCGCAAAGTTTCACAAACCTTTTGCGAATCATGAACTTTCTCGGCGTTTCTGATGAAATCTTCAAAGACAATCAACGCATCCTCCTTATCCATACTTTGCAGTGTGACATCATCAGCAAAGGCGGGATTCTCAATCAACAATCGTTGCGCCTGGGCCCAGGTGGTTCGATAGGTGATGTCACGCATTCCATCAAGAATATCGGACAAGGCCTAAAAAATTGTGATCTTGAATATAAGATTGCATTTTATACCTGAATATTTCTCTTTCTCGTTTTCTCAGCAAACTCCGCCTCTCGTTTGTGAACAAATGTCTAAAACAAAGTTTTAATATGCCATTTTTATACTTCACATAGCATTGATGGAGTTAGTCAACGAACCTGAACATCAGAAAAGATATCACGACGATCCGCATCGGAAACCGCTTTCCAGATTGGCTCTTTATCGAAAACTTCCATAGCTTTTTGATATCTAAACAAAGCACATTACAAATAGTCAACTCAATCCTTTACCTGATATTTGTCTTCATTTTTGGATGCTCTTGCAACCATTTCTCGAGATCCTCTTTCGCTTTCTTCACAGCTAATCGTTTTTCATCCTGAAATGTAACAAGAAAATATAAAAACCCAATAACAAACCCTTTCTTCCTTTTGTCTTTGTACTTTCCACGCATTGAACACTTGCTTTTTCTCGCTGACCTAAATTTCAAACATAAAAGCATTCAACAAAATTAATCCAACCTTTTGAAGAACTCTAAAACGTGGATCCGAGCCAATAAATTTCACGGCATGATCCCACGAATCAGTGGACGAGATCTTGCCTAAATTTATTAGTTGTTCATTTACATTTAACAATTTGTACCTTCATCATATTTGATCCGAAGGAGCTCGCGAAAAACATTAGCCTGTCGCTTTTTCAGCTCTTGTTCTTCATCCATTAACGGAACGTCGGTTCTCTAAATAATACGTTTGTGGTAGAAAAACCCTCAGAATTCACTCAAGTTCACTAATCTCTAAAGTTCAACTCACGGGTTTCGGTGCCTCAGGCGGTAGGATTGGGTCCAAATTAGCGGCCAGCGTTGCCTGGATTGCTTTGTCGATGTCGTCCATTTCCGTTTTCACTTCTTCTTTCACCGTCACTGGTTCCATCGATGAGCCCGGCATTGGAACTAAAAAGAATCAATTTTAAAAAGACAAGAATATCTATCAAGCAGTGCTTAAAAATGCGCAAAGCGTAGGAAAACCTTGTTTTAATGTAAAGAAAGGAGAAATTTGAAGAGACGAAGAAAAAAAAGTGTGCCAAATTTGGGAAACTCGAATTAACCGAATTGATGGACGGGAATTTGATAGAGAAATTCCGGGTGAAACATTGGCCAGATTGGCGGTGGGAACTCCACCAGGTAATCTATTTGAATGATTAGTCAAATAAAAGAATCATTCTACTTTAAAAGCTTGTAAAAATGAAACCAACTCCTTTGCGGATTTGGTGGGCTGATTGTCGCAGCAGCAGTAGACGGCGTTCCTCCAGCGTCGTTAAAACTAAAAACTCTCAATTTTCTAAATCCTTTAAAATAAAACTAACCCTTCCGGCATTGTCCACGTGGTTTCCTTCGTCTCAGTGTTGTAGTAGTACGGCTTTCCCTGCTCGCTCATCGCCAATTTCCATTTGCCAGTCACTAGTCTCTAAAAGCATTTCATTCAGGAAATAAATGTGCTCGAAACTACCTCAGCTGGTGTTTTCAACTCATCGGGTTTTATCCACGTCGACTTGTTCGTTATTTTGTTGTGGTAGAATGTTCGACCATCCTCTGCCCTGTGAGCGGTCCACTAAAGAAAAACTATTATTGGATTGATAAAATAGAAACCTAGTTATTTTAACATACGCACCCTAGCTCTCCTTTTCTGCAAAACAAAGTTCAACTCACCGGTGAATCAGCTCTTGGACTAGCCGATGTATCACCGCCCATCCCTGCAGCAGCCGCATCACCCATTCCAGTCGGCACAAGCATCGGCTGTGGAGTAGTCGACGCCGCTTGTTGTTGTGCTCGAGCCGCCGCAATAACCTTAGAAAACATAAAAATGAATTGATAACTTTAAATTTCATCTATCCAAACAACTTATAACTGCTTAAAGAAACCCATTCGGTAAATAATCTAACAAATTTTTGCCTAAACAACGATAATTACGTAAAAATTTTACCTGTGATTGCGCCTGGAACATTACCTGTGCTTGCGCCTGGAACATTTGTGTTTGTTGAGCCAATGAATAGGGCACTAAAATGTAAAAATTAGATTTGAAAAGCTATAAAACTAGCTGTTTAAGTGAATTGGAACGATGGTGGGAAAAGTGCACAAATGAGGGAAGAACACGCTATCGGGAAGGGGACATTTAATTACTATTCTACTTGATCACATCTTTGTACGAGCTAAGCAAAGGAGTGTTTTAACAAGCAAAACAGGGTCATTTTTACTTTTTATTCAGCTCTAGAAAAGACTTTAACTAGGCTAGGAATGTGCGACGAGCTGCATTTTAGCACATTTAGACGATTTAACCAGCGCAACGTTAGCATTAACTTTGCCAGAGGCTCAGCTCTTTTTTTAGCATTACTGTTAGTATTGTATTTGTAATTTTTGAAACAAAATATGCCGTGACAAAACTAGCCACGAGAGTGGGACAAATGCGACCTTTTTTTTGCGCACCCGGACATTTGCGCACCTTTTTTTCCGCACTTAGCCCATTAGCGCACCTTTTTTCGCGTTTTAAAAAAGCTCTAAAAGCTAATATTAACCAATTTCTATTCCAAAAGTTGTTTTTCTAGGTAATTTTAGGGCGTAGAATCGAAATTTTGGCATATCAGAGCTTGTGGAAGCGAACGGACGGAGTTATACAAAGAGAAAAATCAACAATTTTCTGTAATTTGACCTAGCCGTTTTGTCTTTCAAATTGGTTCCACACGCTCTGTTATGTCAAAATTTGAATTCGACACCCTCAAATTACCTAGAGAAACAACATTTGGAATAGAAATTGGTTAATATTAGCTTTTAGAGCTTTTTTAAAACGCGAAAAAAGGTGCGCTAATGGGCTAAGTGCGGAAAAAAAGGTGCGCAAAAAAAAGGTCGCATTTGTCCCACTCCCCTAGCCACGCCGAAAATCTCGCAACTCTTCTACGATAATTTGACCACTTTTTAGAATTTAACCAGTTTCTTCCCATTTTGATAACCCACAATTCAAGAAAGCTAAAAGATAATGACAAGAGAAAAAAAGAATCAAAAAAAATGAAGCCATCCGAGAATGATTAAGAGGAAAAGAAAAGCACCGTTTTATAAAATTGCCAAAACTATCGTACTTTTTAGTGCCATTCTCTACATCTAAAAGCCAGCAAAAATGGAAATATACAAAGGAAAAGTGCGAGAGAGAATTCACGCTTACTGATTTTACCTTCGACACCTGACACCGGCACTGCAACTTTTATAGAAAAACTACAAGAGACGCGAAAATGCTAACCATTATTGAAAACTATTAGACCAGATTGTCTGCGAGTTAGTATAGAAATCGTTTTTTTAATCCGATCTTGAAAACATGAAAATGAAAGTTCCAACCGTTTTCTAAACCGTAGTGTGATCAAGATCGAAACCAAAATCGAATCGAAACCTTTACAACTTACAGACCCCTGTTCTTGAAAGCTTACGACTTTTTCAAAGGCGTAAATTCTTCTTATATTGGCTTAATTCTTTACCTGTTGGAACAACTCCCGGGAGAAGACGAAGCCCGGGTGGAATGAGGGGAGTCCCGAAAAAGCTGTGATTGAATGGAAGCATTCTTCTGAAAACTTTTAAAATTTATATCACATTTAAGAAAATGAAAAAATTTCATTTGAAAAGAATTGATCAAAAAGTTGACCAAAATTAAACAAGATCTTCCCCGCTTTGCTTGTGTTCGATAATTCAATACGAAGGGAGGAGCGCAGAGAAGAAAAGATTGGGAAAGTCGGGTAGACGACGGAGAGGGCACGGTTTAGAATGCAGAAAAGGGGAATTTAAGAAACGATTGCAAAACTATAGATTTCCCAAATCTAACACAGAAGCGTTAATTGACATATAAGAAGAATACTTTCACATAAAGAAGCTAACTTATGGCTTTTATAAGTTGCCAAAGCTAGTGTCATTCTTAAAATATGCTGTTCCACTTAGCCATTTGACGAATAAAGTTTACTATACCGTATTTTCTGTAATAGTAGTGCAGTCTGTAATAGTAGTGCAGACTGTAATAGTAGTAGAGTCTGTAATAGTAGTGCAGTCTATAATAGTAGTGCAGTCAGTAATAGTAGTGCAGTCTGTAATAGTACTGCAATCTGTAATAGTAGTGTAATCTGTAATAGTACTACAATCTGTAATAGTAGTGTAATCTGTAATGGTAGTGCAGTCTGTAATAGTAGTGCAGACAGGAGGGGGTTGAAAAAAATAGATCATTCTGCATAAACAAACTCTTTTTGGCACACTACAAGTTAAATTCTTCATTCTCTGTCGAATTGCTGTAAGAAAACGAAGAAAATCGGTGTGTCAGAAGACGTATGTTTAGATTTGAAGAGCACAAAGTACATAAATAGCTGATTAAATCTGAATCAAATACAAAAGTACAAGCCATTAATTTAAAAAAATGATTTGGATTAACAAAATTATCATTTTCAAGTGCCAGATGCAAGATTGGTAATTGGATTGATAAAATAGAAACCTAGTTATTTTAACATACGCACCTTAGCTTAAAAAGCTTAGCTCTGCTTTTCTGCAAAACAAAGTTCAACCTCAATTCTTGATAATTGTCGAAATACCATCAGAAATTATCATTGTCTTGTTGGAATTGATTTCTTGCTTTTGATAAAAAGTCGAAGATTTATTGCCGTAAAAAATATTGGTACCCGATTGGAAAAAGGAGAGTTTTACAAGAGACGAAGAAGATGAATCACAGAATTAATCACTGAAATTTTGCTAGGCAAGATTTTTTTTTTGTTGTTTTTGATTTGATTCATGAAAAAGATACAGAAATTTGAAATTTCTCATCCTTTTTTTCAGATATTTGCGAGCATTTCTCGAAATTTGCTCGGTCGACGCGGTTTGAGCAATTCTTGATGCTCCTCATGGAGATCCGTCAAATAGGTGACCTCGGCCGTAGTCTCCTCTTCAATTATTGGACCCTGAAAAGATTTTTAGTATTGCTTTTAAAAATAAGTCCATTTTTGAAGAGATTTAAAACAGGTTCAGTCTTCTCAATTTTGTATAGATAACCAAGCAATTTCATGTCTAGGGATGTGCGACGAGTTGCATTTTAGCACATTTAGACGATTTAGAATTTAACCAGCGCAACATTAGCATTAACTTTGCGTGAGGCTCAGGTCTTTTTTAGCATTACTGTACGTATTGTATTTTTAATTTTTGAAGTCCACTTTGAAGACATTTAAAACAGGTTCAGTCTTCAATTTTGTATAGATAACCAAGCAATTTCCTGTCTAGCACAATAATTGTGATTTTTCGTATTGAAATTCCTATCGTTAAGCTAGTTTATCTTACCATTCACTTTGCGTTTTCGATCTAGATTTTCGATCGTTTTCGATCGATTTTCTTTAAAAAAAAAAATAAAATAATGATTTGATCTGTCTTCGCACTTAGCGCAGATCACAACCCGCTTCCACATTTACTGAGGCAGAAGTGTAGTTGTCGTAGCCGATGATACTCCGATGGCCGGGCTGGGGCGCTCGGAGGGGAGCCCATGGGAGTCGAACCCACGACTAACCCGCGCCGACGTTGCTCAACTTGGCAGATCGGACGGGGTCGACCACAGACCCTTCCCTTTCTGGGCCCCGATTTTCTTTATTGTCAGTACTATTTCCCCGCTTTTCTATTCTGTGAAAAATTTTGATGTTTCACTTATTCATTTGCCGAATAAAGTCTACTATACCGTATTTTCTGTAATAGTAGTGCAGGCATGAGGGGGGTTGAAAAAAAAATAGTAGTGCACACTACTATTACAAAAAATGCGGTATATAAAAATAGTGTCTGTCCAGCTGTCTGTACGAGGATTTTCTCTGCTGTTTTTTGACCAATAAAGCTAAAACTTCTTTAGAAAACCTTAAAATGTATTGTAGTTGTGTCATTTAAAGAAGAATTTTTAAAAAATCAAACTTGGGCGAAACACCCGGGGGAGCCGAACCCGGGGCTTGTGGGCCCTAGACAAGCGCGCTTCCGACTACGCGACGGCGACAAAGCATCGAGCCAGAAAAAGCAGCTGTTAAGCGGGTTTTTTTAGGCTGGTATATATGTCGTAGCCGCTGACGAATCATTCGTTAACGGCTGAATTTCGTTAGCGGCTACGACATATATATAAAAGTTTTGTGTGTGTTTGAGGCGAAATTTACCCGATCGGTGCCCAGGATGAGCGTCATGTCGACAAGAATCTTCCGGCGATTCTGTAAAAGTAGTGCCAACTCGTCTCTGGCTCTCGGTCGACCATTCACCAAGTCCTGAATGAGAACATTAAATTAACTGGGGGTGGGGGGTTAATGAATTATCATTTTGTGTTTCGCTTCGAAAGCTTCATTTCCATTACGCTATTTCTACGCTCATAGCACAAAATAGTATTTTATACTCCGAAATTTCAGGGTGATGGTTTATCGAATGAGTTTTGTGAATGAATGAATGAATTCGAAGTCGAAGTGAAGAAAAGTCGAACCGAATGAATTTTGTGAATATAAACATAACACTTAATTATCGCTTATTTTCTATAGCTTAATCAAATGATACAATGTCTACGAGTTTTATTTGGCTCAATGTTTTGGAGCTGGCAGAGATGTTTTGGAGTCTTTTTGGACCGTTTGCCATTAGCAATTTACAGATTTTGCTCGTATCTTATTCAGTTTTGTCTGAATAACGTTGAATTTTCTTTTATTCGATAGAGAATTTGATTTCGAGTCAAATGAAAGAAAATTCAAATTGGGTGACAACAAACCATGACTGGGTTTGTTTTACAAACAAAACCAGTCATGGTTGAGGAAAATTCGTAGATTACTAACGGCAAAGAGGTTGAAAAAAAGGGATGGAGTTAATATATTACTTAAGTTACTTAAAGTTACTTAAAGTTACTTAAAGTTACTTAAAGTTACTTAAAGTTACTTAAAGTTACTTAAAGTTACTTAAAGTTACTTAAAGTTACTTAAAGTTACTTAAAGTTACTTAAAGTTACTTAAAGTTACTTAAAGTTACTCAAAGTGTAAAAGTTACTTAAAGTTACTTAAAGTTACTTAAAGTTACTTAAAGTTACTTAAAGTTACTTAAAGTTACTTAAAGTTACTTAAAGTTACTTAAAGTTACTTAAAGTTACTTAAAGTTACTTAAAGTTACTTAAAGTTACTTAAAGTTACTTAAAGTTACTTAAAGTTACTTAAAGTTACTTAAAGTTACTTAAAGTTACTTAAAGTTACTTAAAGTTACTTAAAGTTACTTAAAGTTACTTAAAGTTACTTAAAGTTACTTAAAGTTACTTAAATCACTCGATCATTATAATAATAATGATTTGATCTGTCTTCGCACTTAGCGCAGATCACAACCTGCTTCCACATTTACTGAGGCAGAAGTGTAGTTGTCGTAGCCGATGATACTCCGATGGCCGGGCTGGGGCGCTCGGAGGGGAACCCATGGGAGTCGAACCCACGACTAACCCGCGCCGACGTTGCTCAACTTGGCAGATCGGACGGGGTCGACCACAGACCCTTCCCTTTCTGGGCCCCCTCACTCGATCATTTTCAATCATTTTACCTGACTATTAAACATTTGTGGTTGATTGGTGAGATTACTGCGAAGACTGTTCGAGACGACAACAATCGAATACTTTTCAAGGTTTCTTTCGAGCACCTAGACTTTGGATTTGATTGATTGAACGATTTGATTGATTTCTTTTACCTCAATTGGTCGTGCTTTATGTTGCCATCTGAGTAAAGCTCTCATCAGCGCTTTTCTTATCCTTTTATCCGCTACACAATAGATCGGTAAACGGCAAGCACAGCCACAGATTGTGAGCTAAAAGAAAATACCGTAAATACTGTAATAGTATCCCACCGCCCCTCGTACAGTCGCGTAGTCGCAAATGTTAAATGTTTTTTAGTATTTCATTTTTTCAAAGCGCCCGTACTTGCAAAAAATGCGTCTTTGGTATCAAAAAATAGCTGAAATTCAGGGCTATTTTTTGATACCTAAGCGCGCATTGTAGCATAAACCAGTGTCGAGAAAAACCCGTTCAAAGCTAGACTACACAACACTCCGCACCGTCATTATAGGGGTGGGGTATTTACAGTAGTTATATTTCGCAAAACCTTTAACTTACCAAAGTCGAGAAATCGGAGATGACCAAATAAAGATAGTAGTTACTTTCAAGAGTGACTGGATCGAAAAACAACCAAAAGTTGACAATGGTTGAGATGAGATTTGAGATCAGATAACAGCCAACAACCAAGAGAAGGGTTCTTGTTGCAACTCTGACACCTTTCTTCTCATTGTAGTGTTTGCGAATTGATCTAAATTGATATATTGATATATTGATGACAAAAGTTTACTCACTATTCAATTGAAACCCTTAAAATCTTATTTGAAAACTATCAAATGTTACTTTGTAAGAGAATTTGTTGAAAATTTCTTTAAATTTTCTTCAAAACTTCAAAATTTCTTTAAAACTTCAAAATTTCTTCCAAATTTTCTCTCAACTCTCGCCTAATGAGCTTTTAAACTCTCAAAGGATTTAAAAAAAACGAATCTTTCTTTGAAAACAGTTTTTTATTGTTTTACTTGCAAAACTCTACTTATTAGATTAAAAGATCTTGAGAAAATGCACGTCAAATCCTATTTTTCAAACTTATATAAAGCTACTAGACTTATATTTTGTGCTAAAGCACAAATTTCAAATGAAAGTTGTACTTAAGCTGTACTTAAGTGCACTTAAACGTCAAACAAAACACTAAGACGAACCCAGTTGTGAGCAGTGCTCCTCGAAGTGATCGTTTCTTCATCGATTGTTCGCGTGTCTCTTCGTGCTTTTCGCGTAATTGGATCACGATTCGAGCATTGCAATAGATCAACGAAATGAATGGAACCAAGACGGTGAAAATCTAAAACATATTCAATGATCGTTTTCCCGCTTTTCGAGCATTGCAATAGATCACGATTCGAGATTCGAACAGATACGATCACAAACGCACCTTTCTTGACCAGAATCTCATCGTGTCCCAGTGTGAGTTCATCTCAGCCCAAACGGGAATGTAGCTGCAATTTGTTGGGGATTAGGAGGGAAATTAGTAAATTTGAAAATTAGATTTAGACTAAAAAAGACGTTCAAAAGAAGCGATCTACTCTTTTAATATATTTATTCTAATAATCTAATAATAATCTAATAATAATCTAATAATAATCTAATAATAATCTAATAGATCTAATTCTAATTCATCAATGACTCGAAGAATTGATATTTTAGATTTTAATGATTACTCTTTAATAGTTAATTCTTAAAAAACAAATGAGAAGTAGTTTGAAAAAGATTTGTATTTGAAATGGAGATCAATTGCCTCCTAAACAGCAAAAGAAAGAAGCAAATGCAGACTCGAACCCAAGTGGATCAGTCACTCGGCCAGCAATGCTTGCTAGCCCTTCTGAGAAATCTAGTCATAAACCTCCAAAGCCTCTCAAAAACCTTGAGCGCTTATAACTTTTGACAGAGTGCTACTTTGCAAAAACGGAAAGCAGATTCGGAATCAGCGCAAAATTGTGCGTCTAATAGTTTATGGCTTCTTTCATTTGACCACCACATTCAACTTTAAGTTCAAAATTCGTTTCAAATACCTAATTGCGAAAAAAAAATATCAAAATTGGCATTACTTTTGCAAAATAAATGATAAAGAATGTAGTTTTCTCAAAGAAATTCCTTATATACCCTTAAAACTTCGGGTATTCGGTTTAATAAGCTGACTATCTATAGTTATTCGCTTCTATTGGAGGCTGTGCTTTTATAAGAATAAATATTAGATTACGGTATTAGACTACGGCATTAAACTCACCTTTCCAATAGCTCACAATTCGGTAAATGCAATATAGTTGTCTCTAAAAAGAGTGTCCCCTTGAAAATGATGGAAAAAAGCACGGCGCCAGATGTCACGAAAACTTTTCGTCTCACCATAAAAACCAAGAGGTTTTTCTAAAATGAATACAAGACTTTTGTTTTTTGATAAAATATTATCTAAGTAAGCTCAAATTGACACACCTGTGCCCCATCAGAACAGTTAGCGAAAAGGCGCTCAATACTGGCGATCACTAGCAAAAAATTGCAGATATTCACGCAAATATGCTAAAAGTTTTTAAATATTGAACTAAATATCGAACTAAATATCGTCTTTTTATCTGTAAATGAGAAATTTTCACCTGTAAACAATTAGCAACTCTGACATAGTGAATCCAAGCCATGATCATTGACTCAAAACGAAATCTGGAGAGGTTTTTGAAGTTTTTGAAGTTTTGAATAGTTTTTGAATAGTTTTTGATAGTGTTTTCCTCGCGAGTAATGCGTTTTTTAAAAAGCGAAGTTTGGAAAAAATTATCGTACTTTTAGCAAAAATTATTGCAAAAAAATGACGCAAAAATCACGAGCCTCCCCTTATAAACAACTCTTTTTAAAGATACTCAGCCGTTTAACTGATTTGGTGGCGAATTCCCTTCCAATGCAGAAAATGATATTTTTTTTTGAAAAACCTTTTTTTTTTTTAATATTAACCAATTTCTATTCCAAATGTTGTTTTTCTAGGTAATTTTAGGACGTAGAATCGAAATTTTGGCATACCAGAGCTTGTGGAAACAAACGGACGGAGTTATACAAAGAGAAAAATCATCAATCAAAATTTTCTGTAATTTGATCTAGCCGTTTTGTCTGTGAAATTGGTTTGTCTTTGAAATTGGTTCCACACGCTCTGTTATATCAAAATTTGAATTCGACACCCTCAAATTACCTAGAAAAAGAACTTTTGGAATAGAAATTGGTTAATATTAGCTTTTTAGAGCTTTTTTAAAACGCGAAAAAAGGTGCGCTAATGGGCAAGGTGCGCAAATGTCCGGGTGCGCAAAAAAAAAAAGGTCGCATTTGTTCCACTCCCCAAATTATTGCAAAAAAATGGCGTAAAAATGACGAGCCTCGCATTATATACGACACTTTTTAAAGATACTCAGCCGTTTAGCTGATTTGGTGGCGAATTCCCTTCCAATGCAGAAAATGATATTTTTTTTTGAAAAACCTGCGCAAAAAATTGGTTTTATATTTTTTTTTCGCGCAGGCGCACTTTTTAGAAAACGCATTACTCGAGCTATTACTAATGCGAGTTTACTCGAGTAATTACTTACTCGCGAGGAACACACTCTAGTTTTTGAATAGATCTTTACATATCTAGAGTTTTTTTTTTTCTTACCTGTATCCAATAACTTGTATCGATTGTAGAATTATATAACAAAATGAGACGATGATATCGAAAGTGGCTAATAGGACTGGATTCGCGTAGTTTTGTCGCCTCAACTTGCGCGAATTCAAGAAAATATAGCAAACGATGATGTTGAAGAGAATGGCCAACTGAAATTTCGATTATGATTATGCCTTTCTTATTTCTTCTTGGGCAAAGTTGGCGCCAATGGCTCGCTGGCAGAGCGTCTACGCGATGAACAAACGGCCGAGGGTTCGATTCCCCCTCGGTCCCCAAACTCTTTGCCATTCATTTCTTTACTTTATCACTATGATTAGACATAAATTATGATTGGATTATAATTAACTTTTAAAGAACGATTTGTGCCCAAATTTGTACGTGCAATTGCCCGAATACGTGAACCTCTCCAGTGGAAAACGCGAACGTTAGTGAGAGTTTCTATTGGGGAGGTCCACGTTTTCCATGCAAGCTAAACCATGCCCCTTTTTGCCAATGGCTTCGCACAGACGGACAAACGGACAAACGGACAGACGTAATTAACGCCCGAATTTGTACGTACAATTTGTGCCCCGAATACGTAGACCTCCCAAGTGAAAAACACTCACTAACGTTCTCGTTTTCCACGCAATCTAAACCCCCGCCCCTTTTTGCCAATGGCTTCGCACAGACGGACAAACGGACAGATCTCTCTTCTCCTTTATATATAGTTGATTATGATTTTTGTTTACAAATTCAAGTCACAAATCTTTTGTTCACAAATTCGGGCACAAATCTTTCTTTAAAAACCCAATTCATTTTACTTTCTTCAGCTGATTTAAGTCTTTTTTTAAGGCCACTAACAATCAGCAAAGTTAAATAAGGATTAGTTTAATAAACTTTAATTATCTTATACTTAAATCTAGTCATGATTTTTTGATTTCATTACACTCACCATTGCAATCACCGCTCCAATCACTCCCACCAAAATGAAGCGAAAATTGTTTGCGTGCTCGAGTGGCCGTAGATTACACTCTCGCGTAAAGGTGTCATTTATGAAGAAAACATCCATTCTATAAAATAAAGCAGGCATTTGATTTTTTGAGGATTTCAGCGATATTCAGCGAAAGAATTCTCAGATCATGTGACGAAACTCGGCGCGAGAAAAGAGAGAAATGAAGGCAAAGAAATGAGAAAGATCGTATTTTTGTTTTTCTCGTTTTTTCACGACGTTCTGGGGATCACCTCTTCTCCGACCAAAATTGAGTTAACCTCTTTAAAACCCCTTTTTGCCCTTTTGAGTTTTGTGAAATTGAACAAATGGCCCACTCAAGTGCCTGTCTCTTTTCCACTTCTTCAAACAAAATTTAATCTTCTTTCTCTGAAGTTCCGGTTTTGAGATGAACGAGTTGCGTAATAGTTTGATAGAAAGATTTGATTTGATGGATTGATTGGATTTGATAGATTGATTTGATTTGATGGATTGATTTGATTTGATAGAAAGATTTGATTCGATAGATTGATTTGATTTGAAGATTTGATTTGATAGATTTGATAGAAACGGCTTCAGTGAATCAGTTTTTTATGAAAATTGTTGAGATTTGATGAATAATTGTTTAGAGTAATGCTGAGAAAGGAATTCAATCAATGGACAGAAAAGAAAAGAATTTCCTGAGAGATTGTAAAGAGATTCGAATAGTTAGATCTTCAAATATCAAATAAAAAGATATTCAGATAGGAATCGCAATTGTGCGATAGGTTTTAATCGATTTTCGGTTTTAATGCAATTGTGCGATAGGTTTTAAATAAAGTTTTTCTCTCACTTTCCAGAGAATCTCCTCGATCAGTTGTTTTGATGAAATTAAGAATCTAGAGTATTCAGTTATCGTATTCGATATCGTTTATCGTTATTCAGTTATTTAGTTTATCGAAATTGTTTTTGATATGAAATAAAGCTATTTTATTAGTTAAGAGATCAATTTTCTTTCTTCTTTTCTTCTTATTTTCTTTCTTCTTTGAAAAATTCTTCTTTTAAGCTTTCCAATTCTTGGAATCTTTGGATTCTTCGATAATAATTACGTTGAATTACGAGTACGAGTACGAGAATTCTACGTATTCTATAAGTAGCTTTTAGTAGATTTTAGTGATCAATTTAAAAGCTTTATCAACAATAGAAATAGAAATAGAAATAGAAGTAGAAATAGAAATAGAAGTAGAAATAGCAACAGCAACAGCAATAGCAATAGAAATAGCAATAGCAATAGCAATAGCAATAGCAATAGAAATAGCAATAGAAATAGCAATAGCAATAGAAAACAATCAATAGCAATAGCAATAGCAATAGCACAACAATAGCAATAGCAATAGCAATAGAGAAATAGCAATAGCAATAGCAATAAAGCAATAGAAATAGCACTAAGTAATACAAAATGGAATTTAAATATAGAAGAAATGAAAATAGTTCTCTGAATGTGGGGGTAGAATCAGAATTCTTTCAAAAATTCTCGAAATCTTTCTCCTTTCCTTGGTGATTAGGGGGAAAAGAAATCGACTCGAAAATGAGTAATTGGCCTTTCCAATTGCAATTATTTGACTGTAGAAAGGGAGTTGAGTAAATTTGGAAATGTTTTTCGAATTTAGAAAATGATCAATAATTGGCTGTTGATTTATGGAAATAATTGCCGATTTTGAAAGGTTCATTTTTCGAGAAATCGGTTGCTAAATTTTATGAACTTGGAAATAACAGTTAATAAAATAAAATAAAATAATAAAATAAAATAAAGCCCACCGTAAATACTGTAATTGAACCCCACCGTAGACATGGGAAAATTCCAACCGAAACCTAATTCCACCTTCGTTTTCTCAGCCGTCTCTTGGTCGATTGTTCTGAAATTTTGTTTACAAACAGAGAATGCTAATTTCTATTTGTAAACAAAATTTCAGAACAATCGACCAAGAGACGGCTGAGAAAACGAAGGTGGAATTAGGTTTCGGTTGGAATTTTCCCATGTCTACCCCACCGCTCTAATATTGGATCGGTGCATTGAAAACTGCCGCCTATTGTCATATGTGACAGTTTGATCACTCTCTTCAAAAGAAACCCATTTTGGTGTCAATGGAAAAGTTGTAGAGAATCAAAAATCAAGCTTATATCCAAATTTTCAGAACGATTCAAAAACTGGTTTTGAAGAAATGCCAAATTTACGAATTTTCACAAAACTTGCATTTTAAGCGAAACTACTAAGTGTATCTTTTTGGAAATTTGGCTATAAGCCTAATTTTTGATTCTCTACAACTTTTCCATTGACACCAAAATGGGTTTCTTTTGAAGAAAGTGCTCAAACGTCCTCCAGGGACATCTCCAGTCCTCCATTTTTGAGTCTCACACTTGTCTCACACACAAACCAAAATCCTACCGCGAAAGGGGAATCCTCAAATTGCCTGTAAAATGGGCAGAAGTCGTCAATAATAATGGAAATTATTTCGAATGAATTGATGGTTTTATGTTGAATAAATTTTAGTTCAAAGTCCGGCAGTTTTCAATTCACCAACCCAATAGTATAATAATACCGCTCTAATAATACCCCACCCTAGATGGGGGGGGATAGTACCCAATGGTGCTATTTTTTAGTACCAATTACAGTATTTACGGTATCTTTTTAAAGAGTTTATTTTAAAGAATTCACTTTTCCTATTTTCTCATTTCAAATCGAATGAATTTTGTGAAATTGTGAAAGTTCAAAAAAAATGAAAGGAGCTTTAAAGGAGCTTTAAAGGAGCTTTAAAGGAACTAAATAGGAACTAGAAAGGAACTAAATAGGAAAGCTAAAAAGCTAAACAAAAATGCTTTTCAAAAAAATATTTTTCAAACAAATTTTTGTTTGATTTCTTTTGTCTATTAGATAAAATTTGGATTTTATAACATAAATAAACTCAATGTTTTTGTTCTTTTCATTCAATGAAACAGTGAAATGCCGCGCAAATGCAAATCCAATCACAAAAACCCCCCTAAAAGTGCTTTGTCTTTTAATTGAGCTTTAGCTAAAGCTCCCTAGAGCTCCCTAGAACTTTCCCTCATTCAATGATTCGTTCAATTGATCTAGAGATTCGTCGACTCAACTTTGAACTCTCGAATTCTTTACACCCTCAACTATCATCCCATTTTCTAAAACAGATCAGATGACCCATTGAAAAGCCATCTACATGAAAAGCCATCTATTTGTAATTAAGATCAGAAACGGATTTGACATTGAAAACTCATTAGGACAGCTTCAGGATGAAAATCTAAAAAGGAAAAGAAAAAAATTAGCGATTGTTTGAAAAAAAAAATGATATCAGAGCTGAGAAATAAGTTGAAAAAGAAAAAAAAAATCTCTGAACAGCTATAGCTTTAGGGAAAACTGGGATTTTGAAATCCGGCAACCATCAGCTGGATTGGACAAAGGATCGGATAACATTCAGATATGAGATAAACAAATAGATCAAAATGGGTAACACACATGTTTTCCTCTTTCATAGATTTCATATTCAATCCGGGATATCAAAAGAGAACGCGGGTGGGCTTGTTTTTTTTGGCTCGAACAAGAAAAAAGGAATCTTGTTTTTGTTGGAGAATTCGAGAATCGATCAGAGCCTAGTAGTTATTCCAAAGTTTTTGTAGTTATTCCAAAGTAGTTATTCCAAAGTAGTTATTCCAAAGTAGTTATTCCAAAGTAGTTATTCCAAAGTTCTTTCAAAGCTAAAACTTTTTCGGCTAGGCTTGGCCGGGCTACAACTTCCTGAAATCACTATCAGAATGATTTTTGATTAAACCACACAGTCCTAGGGAAATCAAAGGACAAAGCCTTCACGTTAGAGTGCATTTTTCTCTCGTTTTGGCTGCTGTTTTAAGTAAAAGAACAATGGTTTAAGAGGATGCAGAATTTGTAGCCTAAATATAGGATGTCCAAAAAAAGAGGCCTTTACAAGCAGGTTTTTTTGAAAAATTTTAAGTGGCTAGTGGAGCTTTAAGCGGCTTTAAGGCATTCCGGTTGCCAAAACTGTTTTTGGTATTTGTCGGTTGTACATCCACAAAGACTCATCTCGGTTAAGCATCCCCCATGCGAGTCTTCTCGGTTATCGGTTTTCGTTCTGATGAATGACTGATCGACTGATCACTTCAGGCACTCTACTTCACTGAACATTCACTGAACTTCACTGAGGCTGTCACAATTTATCAGCTCCTTGCTTAACCGAGTTGAGTCTCTGTGGATGTATAACCGACGAGTACCCTGTTTTTTCTGTGTTTCATTTTTTTTTTTTGACTTTTTGCTTAATCACCACCATGAGATTTTTGCCATAAAATTAAAACTTTCTATTGGCTTCGTGGTGCATAATAAATACTATTAGGATAACTACAAATTTAAGCCATTCATTTTATTGATCAGCGTTTCCATGGAAAACGGGACAATTCTTTTTTTAAAAAAAAAGGCGATTTGAAAATCTATTATTTATGAAAGATATGTAAATGAATAAAGTTTTTGGCTAAAAACAAATCTTATTTTATTTATTAACTCTAACACCACAATGCAATTTAATTTTATGACAAAAATCTCATGGTGGTGGTGGCCATGGTGGCAAAAAAAAATTTCACCAATAGCGGGGGAGGCCATCTAATCAAAAAATTCTCACAAAAAGTCAAAAAATTAAGACACAGAAAAAACAACAACAGGAATGCCACCTCTAGCCATTTAAAGTTTTTCAAAATAATCCATTTATAAACGCCTCCTTTTTTGGCACATCCTGTAGAGTCAAAAATTGATCTCAAAAATTTGGGCATAGTCAAATTTAGTTCCTTATCTCTACAAATTTGGTTCCTTATCTCACTAAATCTAGTTCCTTATCTCGCTAAATTTTGTTCCTTACCTCTCTAAATTGGTTGCTAATCGCTACAAATTTGATTTCTTATCTCTCTATAGTTGGTTCCTTATCAGCGCAAATGGGAAAGCTGGCTCAATCGCTGACTGATTCCCCCCGGTTCGAAAGTTCGAAGTTCGAAGGGCACCCTACCCAGGGCCGTTTGCCAGATAGAGA